TGAGGAGCTCATGGTTGAGTCCCATCAACACGCAGATCAAGAGCAGGTCGCTTCATCCAAACCATAATAACCAGCCGCTGTACTGGATCAAAAACCATCGTGTGTTTCTAGGGGAGTATATTTGTAATCTAAAGTTAAAATCAAAGACGAATTTTGAATAAATTAAACATACTAAACTACATTTGCTTTTACTTTTTCATAAATTGAGTAAATAATACAAAGATTTGTCATTTTTTTAACAAGGCTTGTGCTTTTTATGCTGCTAAAAGCTGCTGCTGGGGCATAAAAAATACTAATAAGACTTTCCTCTGTGGTCACAAACCATAAACTTAAATTATTCTGATAGATGTGAAAGACGACTGATAATGTCCTTCCTGCCTGCAGCTGTTTTCAGTCACAATGACTCTTTGAAGAAACTCCAACATTAATTTTGACTGAATTTTCTTCTCCTGTTCCTGCAGCAGAACTTCTGATAGGTACATTCAGCTCTCTCGAACACAACTAGAACCGCAAGCACAAACACATGACTCTAGCCAATAGATGGGAGGAACGCTATCTGGAGATAATGGAATAAAGCTTTGACTTATGGGAGATTCTGGTCCCATTATAGCCTCTGTAATGAGATTGTTACAAGGAAATCTTGATGGGAGTTTTCAGTTAGTGGATCTCTGACTGCAGGACTGAATAAACGATGAACAAATGTAAAACTGGTGATTTTTATTTTCTTTCAATTATTAACCTTTTAGTTTTCAGAGAGTCAGTCGATGAAAATGAACCACCTTTGTAGCATAAATGAATGGATATGTATTATTTATGTGTTTCCATATAAAAAATTTCAATAAGCCAACAGTTTTTTAAGTTTATGTTCAGTAGTGAGAAAGAGGTGAACAATTGAATGGGTCAACATTTCTAAGAGTCCAAACAATAAAAAGGAACTTAATTCTAGTGTTGTGACTCCTGACTGGGTGCTAGTCAGAGGAGTGTGTGGTATGTGCTGACATGAGGGGAACCCGACCAATGAATGAGGACAATAAAACAGATAACAGGCTGAGAGAACGGCCCACACGGTGCTCAGATAGTTACAGCTCTGGGGCCTCATTTATCAAGCTTGCTTAAGGAAAAAACGGGGTTGGAAAACTGCGTAAGCAACTTTCCACGCAAACTTTGGGGTTTATCAAAGAAAACTTAGCGGAAAACTGTGCACAACTTTAAGTTGACTAAGGACCTGGCTTACACACATTTTGAACATGGAGAGCACCTGCAGTGCTGCTGCTGAGAAGGATAAAATTATGAAATCCTGCAGCATTATCACTTGTACTGCTTCGTTTTCACACAGAACAAGACCCCCCCCCACACACACACAACTGTACACACACACACACACACACACACATACGCGCACACTCACACACACACAGCCTGAAGCACGGAATACGGAATGCAGAATATCAGCAGGGGGGCAGATTGAGACAGAATGTCATGCGTCTATGACCGTGTGTGAGTGTCCTGTCACTGACCTGATTGATCATGCGCTCTGGCTACTTGTACAAGGGAGATCTCCGTTTGGGTGACTGGTTAGCGCACGTGACTTTCACCTGGGAATCTGGGGATCGAATCACGATTGGACCATTTTGTTATATCCGCCACAGATCTCTCTGAAGAATTCACAACATTGACGGCTTCAGCAACGCTGTGCCACTCCGTGGATTTTCTCTTATTTGTTTTGCAAAAGCACTTCCTTTCATTTCTCCACCTCACCCACAGGTACCTCAATTTTTGCTTCTTTGAAATTGCGCTTCCTTGATCTGCCTTGATCTACGGTCGCCATCGTCATTGGTGGAGCGCTGCAACAAGCTGGCTTATGTATATGTATGAGATCCACAAGGCACTTTGCATTGAATATTTATGACAGTAAGTGGGCGTGGTGAGGGCGGGATGTGACTAAAATGCAGCTGAGAAACTTTCTCGTTAGTCTCCGATTTATGAAGCGGAGATTGCGTGCAGCTGTGCGTACTCCATGTTTGATAGATCACAAACCTGCTTGGCATGAGTACATTTTTTTTGCTGAGCTTAAGTACAGTTTTAGTAAGGATTCTACACAATGTTTGATAAATGAGACCCCTGGTCACTACAGGCCCAAACAATCCTCTGGTTAGTGATGGAAACGGGTCAAACTGATCCCTGATTTGAGTCTGACAGGCTCTTAAAGCCACACTATGCAGCTTTTTCATATTTTTAAATCATTTTCTTGAGCCAGTATGTGCTAAAATAACCCATTACAGGGTTAATGAAATGTCATTCAGACCCCCACCGCCCTCTGTGGCCAGAATATCGCACCTACAACTTCAGAGTGCTGGTCCGGTCCCTGTTGGATTTAGCAAAGAGGAGCCGACATGCCATCCTTGCAGTCGGCTTCCAGTATGTCTCAGCGTGTTTTAAATCATGAACACAGCTGATTTGTTTAATTTAGTGATGAATCGCTCCTGTAGAAACCAATGAAGGCTAAGGGGCGTTCCAGTAGTTAGATTAAGGTGTTAAAAAGACAAATGCAGAGAGGAGATAAGTTTCACTTTAGGTTATACTAACAGACACTAGAGGGTGCTAAAAGCAGGCCAAAACTGACCCTTTAACACTAGAAAGGCCTTGAGCTGTCTGCCAGTAAGAAATTCTCTGGCAGTCAAAATGACCAAAGTAGGTATAATTATTATTATATTTATTCTGTCTTTTTCATAAAAAACATGAAATCCAGTTTTAACGAAGATTTACTCTGATTATGGAGAAGAATTAAACATGCTAACTGAAAAGCACTCAGAACTACTGCCACGGCCTTTCTAGTGTTAAACCTCCAGACGTGTCGGCTAAAACTATCCAAACCTTCCAGCGTTAGACTGAGGTGACTAATTTTAGCAAAGCCATGACAGATATAGGCATTTTAAAAATGTCGTCTCCACCGCACGTTTGCATGTCTCACTAAATATTATCAGCAGCTGTGTTGAAACTATTAATAGTTTTTGTTATTTTCATATCTGGGGGGGGGGGGGGGGGGGTAATTAGTCGATGCTCCTCCCACAGATGGCTGAGAATAAATGATTGACGGTAGGCCATTTAAAGAGTTAGTCATTAAAGTTTTTAAAAAGGATGTTCCTGCATTAAGCAACAGTGCCATAGTAAAAGCTGGCACTGATTTACCAGAAAAACCACGAGGTAGCATAACAGGACAAACTGAAGACCCGCTTATATAAGAGACGGGTTGGGAATTAGCAGTTTTGCACATTAACAATTGGAATAAAGACAATAATTGTGTCTGCAGGAGGAAAATAATCAAAGTCCTTGCTGCCAGATGTGAGATGAGAAGGAAAAAACTGATCCTGGGAATCCAGCCAGGCTTTTAGCAGCTTCATCCCACAATAAACCAGGATCATCTGACAGGAGCCATACTAGAGGCATTACAAAGTATGGAATTTCCCTCTCACGGCACCCAAAAGCCTGTTTATTCAGAATATAATGAATGTAACCAGACTCTAACCACGCCCTGTGTGGACACAAGGCCCATCAGGCTGATATCAGGACCCAGAGATGAAGAGCTGCTGACTTGTGTAACTAATGAGTCTCATATCACTGTTATTTTACTGTTATCACTGTTGACATCCCACAGCAGAGCGCAAACACAGTACATAAAGTACTTTAACTAAAACAACAAGACTACAAATGCTAATTGTTACACCTTTTCACATGAAGCTCATAGAAAACTGAATGCCAGCTGATCTCTGCTTTGAGTCCCAGATGGATGCCTGCAGCACCGCTGCAACAACCCCACGATGAGAGAGGTGAGCTGACATTCATGCAGCGAATCTGGCCCTTCTGCTGCTACTCATGTGGAACACATTGAATTATACTCAGATGTGTTAACTGCAACGAGCAGCAGCTCTGGATGAGGGGTCAGGTGTCGCGCCTGACGAGCACAGGGAGAAATTTTGCATGTTTTCCCTTTCAAACATCCTGCACAGAGCTGCACCGCCTTTCAGTCAAATTAGGGGCGAACATGAGACTGCTGCTCCCCTTCACACCGTCCTAAAGTCAGATTTGTGTGATCATTCACATTTTACATTTATACTTTTGGTTTTAATGTTTCAATCCACTAGAAAATAATCATTTTAGGGAATTATCTGATCATTTTCCAGCTCCTGATCACCATCAGTTTTCCAGCCCTACCTGTTTGGTGCTCTTTGATCTCCCAGGGCTCTTTTATGATCGCCACAGTCCAGTAAATCTTTTTAGTAGTTTGTATTGGATTAAGAGCATCTGGGAGGAAGCTGGTAAACCAGACCAGCCGAGAAATGTCACACTTGACTGTAAAAAGCAGTGATAATGTGATAAATACTGAGGTTCAAACCTGCACCTCGGTGATAAAAAAAACCCCACACATCTAAATGAGCTGACTGAAGAGTCACCAGCAACTTTTACTCTTGACATAAAGGGTTTGAGGTTATTATAATAAGGATGATTCAGCATTTTGGTTCTTCCCTTTATAACATTTACACAAGTTCAGACTTGCCTCATTCTTCAAACTGTCTCCACTTACTCAACGAGCCAGAAAAAAATCAAACACTTCCCTTTTATTAGAAAGCAGAGGCAAAAACTGTAACCATAATGTAAAGAAAAATAACACACCTAACACTGATTGGTCACAGATCGGTCAAAACTCATCTAAAAATCCTTCAGTTATCACGGAAATCCTGAAAATAATAAAAATCGTGACCGTTTTAGGTCTGATTATTTGTTTTCTGTGAGTATTTCTGATGAATCCAGTCATTAATAAGTTGGGAACACCTTGTATCGGACTGGAAGCTGAACAGCTGGATGACTGTGTAAGCACCTGCAGTTTTTCACCTGTCGCGACAACACCTGAGACTTCGGAGCCAAACAGCAGGTTTGGTAACTAATTTAAACAATAATATACATTATTTATTTATAAGGACTAAAAGTAATTCAACACCTACGTGGTTTTCCGGGCTGAATCAGTGAACTGGTCGCCTTCTCGTCTTGTAGAAAGGTTTTCCTGCGTCACAGAAGCTTTTTTCCCCAGACAGCTGATCTCCGGTCGGTGAAGAAAGGCGCTTCACGCTGACTTCTCTCCAGCGCAGGCTGGCTGTTGTGATGAGGAGTTCCTCCTCTGTTGAGTGCAGCAGCAACCCTCAGGGCTTCTGAGCTGTCTGCTCCTGTCTCTGGTCTGGATTTGCGTCTCAGTGCGACACTGGAGGACAAGCATGCCTCAACCACGCCCCCTACTGGTGAGAATAAACATTTTCTCTAACAATGTTGAAACAATTTATTTAACACCATTTAGCAGAAGGGTTTATGACTTAAAAGGAAAAACAGGCTTCAGGAGAAGACAAAATGACAAACGCATCTCTCTCAACAAATGCAAATTAATCAATCACTGCACACAGAAAAATGTCTTTTGCAACAATGTTCTGTTTTCTCCACAGAAGCCTTCTGATCCACTTACTGTTCCGCCTGAATAAGATAAGTTTTTTTTTACATCAAAGCAACTTCTACAACTATTAAATTATTGCTAATTGATTTTATTTCACATTTTACACATCCACATCACACACACTGCAGAAGCACCACCTACACAAAAAGTATAATTTGGCAATGTCAATTTATTTGTAAAGCACTTTAAAAACAGACATAGCTGCACCAACGAGTTGTACAGCAGCGGTCAGGATAACCGTAAAACAAAACTGGAATACAAACAAGGGCATAAAACTAGAAATAGAACATACAAGATATTAAAATGAATAAAAGTTAAAAACACTAAGTTAGGATAAAAATCAATAGAATAAAAGTGTCTGGCTCTACTACTCGGTGTAAATGTGAGTTTTTAAAATTTCCAGGCTTTTTGGCAGATTTGATGCGGGGTGGTAAACTGCTTGAAAAACATGTGCAGCCATTGCAAAAGCGTGATTGCCTTGGCTTTTTAGTTTGGATCTTGGAACAGCCAGGAGCTGCTGGATGCTTGATCTGAGTGTTCTGAAGGTGGAGAAGGTCCAGAAGAGAAGAAGAAACACACTTTAAAAACCAACATACATACACTTTTTCTATTTGTGTTTCCTAAAATACCAATTTTTGTTATTTTATGTTTTTCAGAAAAAAACACACACAAAAGCTAAAACAACAACAAGGCAAGGCAGCTTTGCACATTTCTTACACAGACGCAGATCCATGTGCTTTCCATTAATGAGAATAGCACAAACATTAAAATCAACGTGACAGCATGAATAAAATACACAAATAAATTTGGACCATCATCAATAAATAATTTAGATTTAAGAATCAGACAAAAGACAACGTTAAAGGGGAGCAGTTACAGTGCAGAAGGTGCAGCATGAGAAACAAAGGCGGATGAATACAGCACACAATGGGATTGAGCAGTGAACAAGAAAGAGAAGGTTAGGAAATAAATAGTAACAGTTACTTTATATAAACATTGTCTTTACAATAATATTATTCATCCAATCACAAAACCAACAGAAGCCCCACACTTTCTCACAATGAATACTTCCTTCCTCAGAAGCAAAAATTATTTTAAATTAAAGTGTCAGAATGAGAAGTGCTGATGTTTTTGGACAACATGGTTAAATGGTTTTGTTGTGTTTTCATTATGACAGAGTTCATTTTGTGATTTCCAGATGAAATAAAGCCCGTTTTTGGTGACGCTACCCTGTACAGTTAGTTATACATGACTGCATCATTCACTTTGACGGACATAAGCCCATAATGTTTTAAAACAGCTGATAAATGTATGGAAGCAGTTGATGCATGTCCTACAGCTTCTGTAGTTTGTTGGAAGGAACAAAATTACTCTAATCAAATGACTACATGATGTAGAGGTAGATGAGTTATGAGAATTTTGATCCTGATCAGAAAAAAGCACCAAAAAGACTGAGAAAAACTAATGGTTCACCATCAAACTGCTTGAGGTTGATTTCACATGTAAATTTAACAAACAGCACCCCCAAGTGGCAAAAAGAAAACACAGCATGATATTAATCTGACTTGTTTCTCCTCCAGAAAGTTAGTTAAAAGTTAAAGTCCCATTAGTTGTCACACACATTGATGTGTGTGCGAAATTTGTTCTCCGCATTTGACCCATCCCCTGGGGGAGTGGTGAGCTGCAGACACAGCCGCGCTTGGGAACTATTTTGTGGTTTAACCCCCCAATCCAACCCCTTAAAGCTGAGTGTCAAGCAGGGAGGCATTGGGTCCCATTTTTCAAAGTCTTTGGTATGACCCGACCAGGAATCGAACCCTGATCTCCCAGTCTCAGAGCGGACACTCTACCACTAGGTCACTGAGCTGGAAAAGGATGCAGATTTGTTCTTTGGTTTTGTCTTTGTTTATGTTTTAAGGTTCAATTTAATTAGATCAGAAGATAAAAAAAAACTAAATGTAACGGAAACGCACAGCTGAAAATGTCCCGTTAATCTCCATGGCAACGTTGAGGTACGATGATTTGCTGCAGTTGTTCATCAGCGTGATTGCTGAAAGGAATAAATGTAGCATTAAAAGATGGATATACAGAAAAAGTCCATAACTAATTAAAGGAATAGACAATGGTTTGTAGTTAATTCAGTTTTCACTGACTTCTCACTGATGTCTCCAGTGGTCTGAATTCCTCCTAAATGCATTTCCTCATTAAGATTCCTGAAATTAGTTTGTGTGATGTGACATTAGTTAAAAATATCAGGGTTATTTTTGATGTCGTTCATTACCCTGCAGGTAGGTTTTTGCTGTATTGGCGTCGTCTCCAACAAGAAATTAGCAAACCAACCACGATCAGACCTGTGAAATATGGCAGTAATATTTAGGAAGCAGAAATAAAACATTCAATTTAGATCTCACCTGACTGTTGTCCTTTAGAAGAATATTGCAGCAAAGTAAGAAAGCAGGTGGTAAACAATAAGCAAGTTGGGTTAGTAGCAAAGAGCTAGAAAAACATGGAGCTTAAAGAATCACAGAGATGATCAAAACTCACAGATTACTGCTAAGAAAACGTGTCCCACGATGGTCCCTTCAGAGGATCCTGCACCGTCTGAAGTGACTGGAGATGACGTTGGAGCTTAAATAAAGGAGAGACTTTAATGAATGACCTGTGAATAATGAGCAGCATTTTTTTAAGTGTGTGTTTAAATGCAACACTCACCAGGAGGTAAAGAACAGATTGGATCCTGGTCTAAATGACAAAAAGGGAGAAAGAAGGTTGTATTAAACAAATAGCAACAGCAGTCTCCAGGCACAAGCTAAGATGGCTTTAATGATCTACATCATCTTACAGAACTTGTGTTTACAATAATTCTCATTAAAATTGTAATGGCTGCTACTAAAATAATCAATGTTTAGTACACCATTGTTGGCTTGCGTAAAATGTTTTGCATGAATTTACAAAGAAACTGAAATTTTTAAAAGATGTTTTGATTATTGTTTATGTTTATGTTTAAGTATTTAGGAGACGCTTTTGTCCAAAGCGACTTACAAGTGATAATCGGCATGTTGCACTTGAGGCTAACAACAACAATAACATCAACTTGACATCAGTGGAGAGGAGGGAACAAAGGAGTGGACAGTAGAGAGGGGGACAGGTGCGGGGAGGGTGCTAGTTGAGAAGATGCTCTCTGAAGAGCAGGGTCTTCAGGAGTTTCTTAAAAAAAAGGAAGCCCCTGTTCTGGTAGTGCTTGGAAGGTCATCCCACATTTGTGGAACGATGCATGAGAAGAGTCTGGATTGTCCTGAGCGTGGTGTAGGCACTGCTAGCCGACGATCCTGTGATGACCGGAGCGGCCGGGCCGAGACGTAAGCATTTGCAAGACGATTCAGGTAGATGGGAGCCGTACCATCTCGGACTTTGTATGCTAGTGTTAGCAATTTGTAACTGTAACTGTTTAAATTTATGTTGTGAAAGATTGAGAAACAATCGTTTTGAAAGAAAATCATGAATACCTGAACATGTTTTTGCTGGAATGTTATAATCTATTCCCTCAAATTCACAGCAGACTCCTTTAGGAGCAGACACAAAAGCCCGACCATCGTGCTGACAGACGTGTGCGAGGGCCGGAGGACCAAAGCAATCTGGAACGGAGTCGTTTTCAAAGATGGGCTTGTCTTCACAATATACTCGAGTGACGTTGGCAGCACATGCTGCAGCGCTGCAGTTCCATGACAGCGTCTCCACCTGTAAATTATAAAATCCACTGTATAAAATATACTACATGTTTTTAAATAATAATGAGAGTTTTAACACGAGAAAAGATTCCTGACCTGCTGTGACGGGAAGGCTCAGAGACAGTCCTACAAGCATCAGAATGGTGATCAAAGCTGTGACGACAAAATCATAAAATTAAAAGATTTTTGTAGGTATTGAGAAAAGTTAGTTTTATAATTAAAAAAAACATTCCACTGATACCATGGATCACAGACATCACTGCAGAGTTCTGGCTGCACGATCAAGAGTCCTGTTTTCTCTACAGAAGTCTTCTTATTGTTCCAACTGAGAATAGAATAGAATATTGTTCCAATAGAATAGATTAGAATATGATAAAATAGAATGTATTAATCCCACAGTGAGGAAATTAACTTGTTAATGCAGCACATGAACTTAAGATAATAGGAAAAAATTATGAAGAAAAAACCCACTATTTTACAGTTTGTTATTCACAGTATAACACAATAACTTTCTAATAGTGGCATTATGGCCAATTCTAAACATTCATAAACACCTGCACTTGTCTCTGGGACGGGGGGTTCTTCCTCGGTGAGCATGAATGTCCCAGGTTCATTCTGGGCCAAACACCTTTCGAGTGCGTTGTTTATGAATTCATAATCAGCACAATATTGTTAAAAGTTCTTATTTCTCCAGACTCCCTCCTGGACCCCCAGCAGTTTGCCTACAGAGCCAGCTGGTCTAAGCCATCAACATGGCTCTACACTTCATCCTGCAGCATCCGGACTCCCCGGGTACCTATGCCAGGATCCTGTTCGTGGACTTTAGCTCTGCCTTCAACACAATCCTCTCAGACCTCTTTCAAGTCAAACCTTCCCAGAGGAACGTGCTTGACCCAATCTGCAGGTGCATCACTGACGTCCTGACAGACGTGAAGCAGCAAGTGACGGTGGGGAAAAATGTCTCGGCCCTGCGGACCATCAGCACCGGTTCCCCACCGGATCCTGCTCTTCTCCCTGTACACCAACGGCTGCACCTCCAACCACGAGTCAGCCAAGCTTTTCAAGTTTACGGACGACACCACCATCACTGGACTCATCTCTGACAGGGATAAGTCAGCCTACAGAATGGAGGTCGAACGGCTGATGTCCTGGTGCAGCCACAACAACCTGGTGCTGAATGCCCAGAAGACAGAAGAGGTTGTTATGGACTTTAGGAAGCACACAGCACCATTCCCCCCATAACCCTGTCTGACACTCCCATCACGATGGTGGACTCATGTCGCTTCCTCGGCACCACCATCACCCAGGACCTTAAGTGGGAGCCCTTTAAACAGTCCAGAACCAGTGTAATGCAGGTTATAGGTTTGTTTTACATTTTTCAATAAAAAAACTTTTTTTTATCTAGTACAGGTCAGCATGCACTGTGCTGCACACCTGCCTCTGTGCTGGTGAAGTTGTGGGCCTGGAGGATGAGCCTGAGGAAGACGTGTGTGGAGGAGGTCAGTGGTGTTCTGTCCTGCAGGAGGTACCAGCAAACCACCACTACTGTTAACAGGCAAGTCATTTATGTAGGAACCTCTATTAAAAACAACACTGTGGTTTTATTTGCTGAAGAGTCACAATTTTTATACCAGTGGCTCCATAAACCATCTCCTCATTTCATATTTCTGAATGTCTTAGAGATGTAACAGCCATCGTCTGAGGCAGCCCAGCAGTCCCTGTAGGTGGACAATAGAGTGGACAGTGAGAGGAAGCGTCCCAAAGCTCTCTCTCTGCAGACCGTCCTGTATGATGTTCCACCCTCTGACCAGAAACGTCCAGCCACGGGTCTGTTCCAGCTCTCCGTCCATGTCTGGATCCTCCTGCAGCAGATCCAGCTACACTGCCAAAGACTTTCTGCTCACTCAGTTTAAATACATGATCCAGGAATAGAACACTCAGGTGAATCCAGCTTTAAAACAGGTCCATATTTGTTTTGATCTGCAAATAATTGTCACGCATTATAAATTATCTTGTCTCCGTACCATCTTTTCATTTTCTATTCATGTAACATGTTCAAAAACATCTGTAATAATAAAACTGGTGATAAAATCAATGACCAGAAAGAGTTATCAGTTAGTATTTGTTTTAATAAATGTGTTCAAATATCAAACAACTAAATAACATTAACAAGATGACGAAGAAGATCTCTCTCCCAGGAGGACCATCAGGTAAAGCCTCTCCTGACCCTGGACACCTGCAGTCCCAAACAGAGAAAATCAGAGACCACAGGTGACAAAAAGGCAATAAACACACTTTTACATTTATCCACATGAGAAGATAAAACTTATATTCTTCACACAAAATATTTTTAATTGTTATTTAAAATCGCGTCAACTGTGCAAATCGCTGAATGTAGAATTACTTTTCACAGCAGAACACAGATGATCTATTGTAGTCATGTGTAAACAGCTTCCCTCTTCACCTCTAAGCTTAATAAAAAAGCTTCTTTGCTCTGTTGATAAATGTTGACAAATGATAAGAAGCGTAATTTGCTAAACACACACACACACACACACACACACACACACAACAGGACTTGCGTTACAAGCTCGTTCTGGCTGATTTCTGCTTAAAATGTAAATTAAAAAACAAATATACAAACGACAAATGTCTACAAACAGAACAGTTTTATTTTTTTTAGTTTTCTACCGCTAGTTTTTAAACAAACTTACGTTTAAAACTTCATTGCTCTCCTCATTTTCTTTTCCTCTTGAAAATCCACAGCTGTTACAGGATTTGTCAAACTGTCTAAAATGTGATTGGAAGCTCTGTGTGCGTAGTAGAGTGAAAAGTGGACATGTCCGGGGAAAATAGGACGTATGGTCACCCTATGTGTTGACCCCTAAAACTTCGGCTCTGGATATTCTCCCCTGTGTCATCCAACCACGGTCAGACAGCTGAAACAGGAATGGTTAACACTGGGATAGCCTTGTTCTGTGAGGATACAACAGATCCATCCTCGAAATGTGGGTGGAGTGAGGACGCATTTTAGAACGCGAGAATGAGTATTCTTGGAATCAGCAGTAAATAAACCCTTTTTCTTTTCCCGCTAACTGTCTTCTGGCTAAATTCTCGGGTCCTCGTTACTCTACATTTCCATGGAAATATAGTACCTACTATAATATAAAATCTACTTGTTGAGTTGTGAGTCCACTGGTGTTCCATATTTGTGGACTGAATTCAAAGTTAATAAAAGTCACGGCCCACGTGTTACTCGATGATGGTCAGCGTGTGACGACTGAGAGTGGACAGGACTGTCAAACACTGTGCTAGAAGTTGCTCTGCTAACATGTTATGTTTCCAGTCTGTTGTTAATTGGTTACAATACCGTACATGCTATAAGCGGTTATATACGTCGCTAAAAACATTTTATGTTGCCATGCCACATGTCTAAATGCTGCAACCTTTATAAAATACACCATATATTTTAAACTCTCAAAATAAGAAAGATTGATTCATTGAAAATAATTTGAAGTTAAATTGAGATTACCTGTTGGTGTTTGCCCAAAATCTGCTCTAAAGCACCGCTTTTTGCAATCAAAGTTCAAGTATGGGATTAGATTTGTGCCAATAGGATCAAGAAAAACACTTTGGAGAGCAAACAAATTTTAAGACATTGAGAGAAAAAACATTGGTTTCAAAAGAAAAACTTACGATCTGAATCAGATTCTTAAAATGATCAAGAAAAACACTTTGACAGTCAAACAAAAATAAAAAAATTGACAAAACAAAAATATTGACTAAAGGAAAAAAACATGTTTCAAAAGTAAAACTTACTTTCTGAATCAACTTCTTAAAATGAGTAACAAAGTATGTTTCCTTTTTCTGTTTGCCTCTATGTGTTTTTGTTATCAATTTCCTTAGTTTTGTTCTCGCTGCTCAGAGCTTTGCTCTCACTACCAGATTTGCACTTACACTGTCTGGCTTTCTCCTTTGCAATCCCTGAGTTTTTGGTTGCAATTCTGACACAACCCTTTCGGGTGGGCGGGACTTCTGAGAAGTCCTCTCCCATAGGACAGTGGTTTCTCTTGAGTGACAGTTCAGTGACCTGGAAGTGATGTAGCCTCCAAGACATTTTTTTTCTACCTGGTCAACAACATGAATTTTGAGCCTCAAACACGTTATTTCTGCTGTCTGTGGTGTCTACTGAGGATCTAAAGTGAGTATTGGTAATATATTTTATCTTTTCTTAGTTAATCTGTAAGTTAAACCACTTTTTAAGTTGGTTTTAAGCAGACGTTACCTCACTAGCTAGCTGCTAAGCAAGCCATTGTGCTAGCCTCAGGACAATGGTCTACTGTTCCAGAGAGACGTATTAAAAACTCATCTTAACATATTCATTACTGGTTTCATGGAATAAATAATTGCAGTTTATGTTAATAAGTTTGCTAATTTTTCAGGAACCTGTGGAACATCAGAGACTTTGCAGCTATTAGAACTAACCTGTGTACTGCTTACTTGCTACAGAAGAAGCAGCAGAAAGCTGAGCTAACAGGCTGTTTTGCAGGTAAATACTCTTTTAGTGGAACTGCAGGACTTTTATGGTATAACTCAGACAGAATCTACATGAGCTATTGTGGGAAGACATTTAAACTACATTTACATACAGATAAATGTATTTTTTATTCCATGTTACTTGGATGGGCTAAACAAGTTCATAGTTCTGCCTGCTCCTTTTTCAGTGAAACGAATGGATTTTATGATGTAACTCAGACTGAATAATTATCTAAGTGAGTATGTTTGATAATAAATTTCTTTCCAGTATACAGATCTGACATTTGTTTGTCAGAACAAGACAAATCAGATTCAATGTGCTTTCTGTCACGTGTTCTGTATTCTCCATCAAAAGAATGTTATCCAAGGCAGATAATCAATAATGAGTTTAATACATGCTTTTAATTAATTTTTACATTAAATCTATATTTTTATCTAAAAGCTATTTTAGACTGGCTTTCTCAGTCCTAGCACCGTTACTCTGGAACCAGTTGCCACCCTCAGTTAGGCTGTCCCCCTCTCTGCTAGTCTTTAAGAACCACCTAAAAACACACCTCCTCCGCTTGGCGTTTCCAGAACATGTTTGATTTTGGCCCTCTTTTATGTTGAATTTATTTCAGTTTTCATTGGTTCACTCAATCCATCCACTCAATCCAAATGTGTTTCACACATTTGTCCTGTACCAGAGTGTTTCATCTATCTTGTAATTTCCATTTTGTATTTTGTAATTTGTATTTTGTAATTTGAATTGCTTTTATTGTTGATTTATTCAATATATTTACCTACAACTGTACCATGTTCAGCGCTTTGGGCTTCCTGACAGGGTTGCGGAAGGTGTTTTATAAATAAAGCTTGATTGATTGATTTTTTATTTATTTGTTCTTTCTTTTTAGATTGAAAACTACTGCATTGCATTACAATGGAAGTGCTACACGGCCACATGCATCAACTGCAGCTGGTGAGCTAAGACACACCATAGTGTACACAAAGTACACTGCAGACAAGGGATGTAAGAAAATATCAATATGACAATATATCGCGATATATTTTCCCAGTAATATTGTATCGATATTCTCAAACTGTGTCTCTAAAATATCGATATGGCAATATATCGTGATATTTTTTCCTGAGATATTACATCCATTTTCAAAAGCAGTGTATCTAGTTTTTGGAAGAATTTACATGCAAACATTTGTGTATTTTCTTTGTTTTTGGTGCACTTTAAATGTCGACCGCTGGTCGGCAGCAGTGTGCATTGGGTTTTGTTTCCACCATTGAAATTTAAATCTCGCTATTATGGTTCAGATAAAGCCGGGCGTACACTGTGCGACTTTTTTACTTGCAGCGTTCAGCTCCAGCTCACACTGTACGACTTCATCACAGGGCAGATCTCACGAGTCAGGCGCTCACACTGTACGACCCAGTTCTCGGATGCGACCTGACTGCTCACACTGTACGTCTGGTAGCAACACGTCGGCCCTAAAAATATGCTAAAAATAGCAGTTTTTACTCAACACGTCAGACGTTTTTGTCTTGTTTTGCCTGTTGTCCTTCGGGAGTGCTGCAGGAGGACACACAGGGATTTATGGGGGTTGGATGAGGAAAACGAAATAAAGAAAGTAAATCTGTGTTTTGTGATCAGTTTAGTTTGACATGAACACGACAAACGCGCTTTCTTGACAATCCTAAAACGTGTAGAAACAAAAACGAACAGCGTGTGTTATTAGGGAAATAGCGAGCGAGCGGCATTGATGCATGATTGCGCATGCGGCTTGAGCGGTTCTGACACTTTTTGGGTCGCAACTGCTCGCAGCGCCGCTTCAACAGTGCAATACCCTCACGAGGGACGAGCTAAATATTAAACACGCCAGAAGTCCGTGCGACCTCACGATTGCTTATCGGCAGCTGGTCACGTGGTGTTAATCGCCTCTCGTAACCCCCTGTACACTACACGACCGCTCGGCGCAAAACTCGCCCCGATGTCGTGGATTCTCGCACGACTGGAAAATCGGCTCAAAAAAGTGAAAAAGTCGCACAGTGTACGCCCGGCTTAACTCATGTTACATATGTTAAGTATCAGTTTGGACTGTTTATTGAATATTCCTACAATAAATTCTGTCAAAAATACACATCCCCACTGCAGACCAATCCCACCTCGTGTAGTTCATAGGATGTATAATAAACCCACAGTGATGGTTATGGATAAATATCTGTACTAATGGTAATCTTTTTCCATTGTTTCCAGTTGACAAGCATATGGACCTATTGTTCGAGTCGGTGGTGGTGGATGCTCTATCATATCAGGAGTCTGTGGTGGTGGATGCTCTATCATATCAGGAGTCTGTGGTGGTGGATGCTCTATCATATCAGGAGTCTGTGGTGGTGGATGCTCTATCATATCAGGAGTTTGTGGTGGTGGATGCTCTATCATATCAGGAGTCTGTGGTGGTGGATGCTCTATCATATCAGGAGTCTGTGGTGGTGGATGCTCTACCATATCAGGAGTCGGTGGTGGTGGATGCTCTATCATATCAGGAGTCTGACTAAGTACCTGTGCCTGAACCTCTCTGTGTCTAGTTCAAAAGACCTGAAAGACCTGCTGTAAGCAGGCACAGGTTAAGATTTTAAAAGAACCTGTAAGGTGAGCAACACAACACAATATAAATCTTTATTATTATTGTACGCTGTACAGCTAGAATAAACTTGCATGCTCAGAAGCCACGTATGATTACATCGCCTACAGGTTGCCTGATGCTGAACTTCGGGCAGCTGCGTGTGACTGTACTCCCGAGGAACAACCGCCTGTTGGAGGAGTCGTTGTGTTGCTGTCAGGAGTTTGGGTCGGAGTCCTGGGTTTGTGTTCCCTTTAATCTCTTCATTAGCCTTGCTAGTCACCATTGCAGAGCACCATGGAGAGGCTTACCTAAAATCTCTTCTCATGGGGCAGGCACATCCTCACACACCTGTAACCCCATCCTTGAATAAAAGCTGGTAGCTGGTCACTCATCAGTGTTTTAACCCATATCTAGCCCATGACTCTGTCGTTTTTCAAACTTACGTTCTCATGTTCTATGCAGATCTATGGGAATTCTTTCCTTGAAGCTCCTGATCACACAACCATACTGGCAGTCGGCTTACCCACTACCTTCTGCTCACCCGCTTGCAACTCATGCTGTCATTCTCCCAGACTTCTGGTTGTTGCTCCACCATTCTGCTGTCTCCCGTCTGCTCTACAATTTCAGACCGTAAGTACCTAAACTTTTCCTTTTGTAAGTCATTCTTTAGTCATTACTAACACTCAATTTTACCTCAGGGCCTTCTGATCTTTAAACACTAAAACCTGTGGCGTTTTTTCAGTCTCTGTAAGCTACCTGCACAGTCTAAGAAAAACCTGACCTGTTGCCTCTTACTAACCTCTGCTCTTCCTCGCAGAAGCTTCTGGTTCCTGATCTCCCGCTGTTACCTCTTCAGTCATCCGTCAAACATTTTAATAAACAGTTTTTAGCTCATTTGTCTCCTGAGTTTCTCTGCATGAAGTTCAGGTTGTTGCAAAAATCATGACATCAGCAAATACTTTGCACCACTCTGTTAAACAGCTGATATTAATTTCAAGTGTATCTTTAAAAATACATTGAATGTCAAAGTGAATGAAAGGCATCCATTCAGCTTTTGGTGTCTAATGCAGGATTTTATGGACAGGCACCAAAACAGGACATTTATAAATTGAGTTTTATTTACTAAATCAGGTAAACCATAATAAAATACTAATGTTTAAAGTCCGGAGGAGGGAGGAAGGCTTTATAGCAGGGGTATTCAATTCTAGTCCTGGATGGCTGGTATCCAGCACGTTTTAGTTGTTTCCCTGCTCCAACACACTTGAATCAGGGGTTGAATTACCTGTGCCGCAGCTCTGCAGAAGCCTGTTAATTATCTGCTGACTGAAATCAGGTGTGTTGAAACAGAGTTAAAACTGAAACGTGCTGGATACCGGCCCTCCAGGCCCAGAAGTAAATACCCCTGCTTTACAGGCACAGAGAACTCCATCAGGATCCTGGAGACGGCACAAGGAGATGACGACATGAGTGTGCCCTCCCAGATCACACCAACACCACCTGACCACATGGAGGCATGTGTCTGTAAGAAAGAAAAACTGGTGATGTATGAGATCTAAACAAAATCTATGAACAAAATCAATTTTACAGTTGTTTAACCTGCTGAGCATCGCCTCCCCAAAGAGCAGCACAAAGGTGCAACTGGCTCAGAACCAGGGTGCTCCGTTATGCAGGTGGTCACCTCCTCCTGCTGACACCCGAGGATTACCTACAACAAAGGGAAAGCTGATATCAATAAGGAAATAATTAAATCAGAGCTAAAAGTTTAATTTTAGTGTGACATTTGAGATTGTGGGAAATAAATGTGGACATTATGATTTTCTATTGTGGGGTCAGTACCTTGGGCGTTTCTCTGCAGCAACATTTTGTCTGGCTGACAATGAAGTAGAAAAGTCACCAGTTGAGGCAGAGTTAGACTATATTACTCCAGCTAAGCTAAATGTAGCTAAACTAGACACTAGTCACCAGACTATGGTTACTATAGATTTACTAGAGAGTTACATCATATAATCCATTCGTTTCACTGAAAAAGGAGCAGGCAGAACTATGAACTTGTTTAGCCCGTCCAAGTAACATGGAATAAAAAATGCATATATATATATATATATATATATATATATATATATATATATATATATATATGTGTGTGTGTGTGTGTGTGTGTGTGTGTGTGTGTGTGTGTGTGTAAATGTAGTTTAAAAGTCTTCCCACAATAGCTTATGTAGATTCTGAGTTATACCATGAAAATCCTGCAGTTCCACTAAAAGAGCATTTACCTTCAAAACAGCCTGTTAGCTCAGCTTTCTGCTGCTTCCTCTGTAGCAAGTAAGCAGTACACAGGTTAGCTCTAATAGCTGCAAAGTCTCTGATGTTCCACAGGTTCCTGAAAAATTAGCAAACTTATCAACATAAACTGCAATAATTTATTCCATGAAACCAGTAATGAATATGTTAAGATGAGTTTTTAATACGTCTCTCTGGAACAGTAGACCATTGTCCTGAGGCTAGCACAATGGCTTGCTTAGCAGCTAGCTAGTGAGGTAACGTCTGCTTAAAACCAACTTAAAAAGTGGTTTAACTTACAGATTAACTAATAAAAGATAAAATATATTATCAATACTCACTTTAGATCCTCAGTAGACACCACAGACAGCAGAAATAACGTGTTTGGGGCTCAAAATTCATGTTATTGACCAGGTGGAAAAAAAATGTCTTGGAGGCTACATCACTTCCGGGTCACTGAACTGTCACTCAAGAGAAACCACTGTCCTATGGGAGAGGACTTCTCAGAAGTCCCGCCCACCCGAAAGGGTTGTGTCAGAATTGCAACCAAAAACTCAGGGATTGCAAAGGAGAAAGCCAGACAGTGTAAGTGCAAATCTGGTAGTGAGAGCAAAGCTCTGAGCAGCGAGAACAAAACTAAGGAAATTGATAACAAAAACACATAGAGGCAAACAGAAAAAGGAAACATACTTTGTTACTCATTTTAAGAAGTTGATTCAGAAAGTAAGTTTTACTTTTGAAACATGTTTTTTTCCTTTAGTCAATATTTTTGTTTTGTCAATTTTTTATTTTTGTTTGACCGTCAAAGTGTTTTTCTTGATCATTTTAAGAATCTGATTCAGATCGTAAGTTTTTCTTTTGAAACCAATGTTTTTTCTCTCAATGTCTTAAAATTTGTTTGCTCTCCAAAGTGTTTTTCTTGATCCTATTGGCACAAATCTAATCCCATATTCAAGGAGCGTGGATGAAGAGAAATGGATGCGGTCGACCTACTTATAATGTAGCCACTTGTTCACTTGTGCCTGACTGCAGTGACGCAACGTGGGCGGAGTCAAACGTTCAAGCTGGGCGGACACTGTGCGACTTTTTCACTCGTAGCACTCAGCTTCAGCTCAAACATCTTTTCTATGAATGTGATAAAATTTTATTGATGTGGAATTCACTCCAGGATTGGCTGAACTCCAATCAAATTTATATAAACAATTTCACAGTTGAAGATATCTTATTTGGCATTATACTAAAAGATAAAAATAATGAATTTCTAATTAATAATCTCATAATCTTAACAACATTTTTCATACACAAATGCTGATATCTCAAAAATCCACCTACGTGGAATAATCTCAAAAATGAAATTAAACTGCTGTTGAGATCCTTGGGTAAAATGTCCACCCCCAATGCTATAAAGCTTTATAATTTCATTATGAACACTAATCTCTAACCGCTTTTTGGATGGTATACACAATAGACCTTGTTTGCTCTTTAACTTCCCCCTTGACAATTTTTATTTGTATACACATATAATTTGTGTTTTCATGCTGTCCCTTATCCTTACCAAGCAATAAAAACTGGGGCTGCAGCAGCAAAACAATGTCTTCCATCTCCTACAAAGACGTCAGCCAAACTTTAAACTGGCCGACTGTCAAATAGTAGACATTTGAACCAGTTTTGTGATTGCTATAAAATAATTGTGTACTATTTACAGAAGATCAGAATCAATTTCACAGAGGGGGATGAAGAACAGAAAGAGGTTAGATGTGTTGTCACAAAAGTAATTTCCACAAAATTATTGATACCAGTAATCATTGCATCATTACCGGAATGTAAACTCTCAGGTGTGTACAGATCTTTCCTCATGTAAAGTATAAAATCACAATAATTAGGGCCGCTTGAACAGCTGCTGCTCTAGGATTTGATTTTAACAGTCGTGTTTTGAACACTGACATCTAGTCCATTATTGGAAATCTTTCATATTTGAAGCTGCCTCTGCTTTTCCCAAGTCCCTCACTCCAAAAAGTACACATTATTTCAAGTTGTCCAGTCATACAAATGGCATCTGGTGTTGCACCAAAGGAATAACCTCCAATAAGCTAGGTCAGCATCCTATATACACAGAAAAGGTGATCATTTCCACAACACCCAACAGGAGGAATTTTTTCAACGTTGAATAAAGATAAGATCTGCCTTCACACTTTCCACATAAAGGAGATTTCTCTCATTTCTCCATGCTGACGTCATCATGGAGAAAGACCCGTTCTGTGTGTTGCTGCATGGAATGCAGAAGTTGTAGGTGCTGACTTTCTTCAGATTCTCCAGAGGGACATCTACTTTCGAAAACAGCATAGCGTTCCACACTCTGACTGCCTTCCATTTCTGGGGCGTTGAAAAAAGTTTTCACAATTCCACGTTACTCATAAAGTCCATTCATGTCTATGTTCTTCAGTTTGCAGGCCTGGACTGCAGCTTGCAGCAGCTGTGAGGCTGAACTTTGACATTTTGCTGTGAAAGTTGTTCTCAGAGAAGTCATATCTTTCACTCACATATTTATTTGCTCTTTCATATAGCAATGAAATCAGCCTCACAATCCCTTTGCTGTATTAGGAGCTAGCTGTGTGAGTCTGCTGTTCACAACATAGCCAAAAAACCTGTCTTTTAGCCTTCTCTCAAGTTTCACTTTAAGCTCAGACATTACTTTAACACAGAAGTAATGCTGAATGATTTGGCCTCAAGTGCTTCAACGCCATTTGAAAATATGTTCAGAAAGTGACTGAGGAAGAGGAAGTACATCTCAGATATTTCAGGTGTGTCCTCTGTAAAACATCTCCACAATATCTTAGGGCATTCTTCATCACCAAGGCTCTGAAAATAGCTGGTCAGGGGCTTCCAACACTTCAGCATTCGGTCAATAGATAGCAGCAGAGACAGCCACTTTGTGACAGCATGCTGCAGCAGGTTACACTCATCCACTTCCACAAACTCACAGATGCTAAAGTGGCTAAAAACCTTCAACACAACGTTTTCAACATCCAGATCCAAGTTTCAGCTGCATATCTCGTGGCATTGTGCAAGATGTGTGCTAAACATTTTGCTGCAACAATGTCATTTTGAGCTTGTTTTAGCTCCTGAAAAACGCTGTTGTGATTTCCATAGTCAACACAGGTCCGGTTACATGTGCACTGACCGACATCTGAGTGGATCTTATTGTAATAAGCTGGGAGTCTTTATCCTTGTTTACATGTGCATTAGAAAACTGGCCTCTCACATAAAGTTTGCTCCACCCCGGTACAGTAGGTGGCGACATGCCCCTTTTCATGTTGGCGTTCTTCTGCTTAGCTTATAGCAACAAAAGCAGTAAACAGAGGCCGGCAGGAGTGAAGCAGACAGAACTGAAACAGTATATAGACCTACATGCTATCTGCCGTGTACAGTAGTGGTGTCTGGAGAAGGGACTGAACTTGATGGGCGTGACTTAGGCTCCCTATGGAGCGCTGTCTGGCACCTATGATAGACTGTCACTATGGTAAAGCTATGGAATCTTGCGTTACCATAGTTACAGCTCAGGTGCATTGTTTAAAATGCCTTATTAAAGCTAGAACCTTTCAGACTTCAGTATAAGTTCCATCACGAGTGAGTGGGACCTTTTCTCTGCGGTCTCTGTGTTTGCTGACTTTAGTCTTCCAGAGAGCAGCTCTAGCAGGTAATAAAAGTACCCACAAACAACCCAGCCCAACATCTGACATGTTTAGACTTTCAGATTTATCTGAAGTGTTTCCGGTGCCTTACTGGGAGACTAACATCCCTCAAGGTAAACTGGTTTTATCATTTATATAAAATACACCTGCTGGGAAAAAATAAACCCCAGGTCAGATTACAGATAAACAGTCAAGATAAAACTCATTTGAATCTGAAATATGAGTTATAAACGTACATTTCTATATCTATGCATAATGCTGCACAGCTTATCTCGTGGGAAATCTCGTGGCAGGCCAGATACGTGTGGCAAATTAAGCCTAAAATCTACTGGCAAAAGTACTTGCTGACCGAAAGTGTCTTGGCCAACCAGGAAGTATTGTGGTACTTGCTACTCAAGAGGGTCTGCTGCATCAAGAAAAAAAACCCATAGCTTGTGTTTATTTTATTTATTTTTTTTTTTTTGGACAAACTGGATAAAAAACATGAAACATGAAATTATTCATTATAGAAAATAATTTTTAACTCATTACACTTCCAAAGTTAAACATCTTAAAAACAGATTTATACTTTGAGAGATTATAAAAAATACTTTTGGAGGCAGATTATGAATCATTTGAAAAAATCTTTAAGGGTCTCTTCTTAACTAAAGGAAACATGTACATTAGTTCGCTGTAGTTTTTAGCACTTTAAGAAGGACCAGTGAAGGGTTTGATGAGCCCGAGGTCCATGGCTCTGATCAGACATGTGCGAGCAACATCAATGGGTTCCTGCCTCTTGGGATTATCCTCTGCTTTGCCGATCACTGAGAGGATTTCCAGCAGCTCGCTCTCAATCAGTTTTTTGGCCAGCTCATTGTCATCAGAGTTCAGCATGTTGTAGACAATAACAAGACCACGATGCTGGACCTTGGGGTTGTCGTGGAGACATAACCTCTGAAGGATCTCCAGCCACTGCACCGTCTGTTGGGAGAAAACAGTCATTCAGTTGTAGTATAGCTGCAGGTAGAGACCCTCTATTCAGATTTGCTTAGCTGCATCGTACCACTTGGGTCATTTTGGAGCAGAGCTTCTTCTCAGCAGCAGTGATCATGGCCAGAGCTCCAGCAGCAGCTATCTGAAGTTTGTCATCATCTTCTCCACAAAGCAGCACCAGCAGCTTCAGCTTATCATTTCCATCTTCAAGGTAACGGGCTTGGACCTAGAAACACGCAGCCCAGTCTGCATCGCCTGTGTGAAGTTGACTCGAATAAAATGCTCACTTATCTATTCTCACCTCTTTACATGTTACAAGGTTGCACATGCATTCAGTAGCAGCCAGTCGGATCCTTTCATTCTCCTCAAACATGTGGTTCTCAATCTCTGCCAAAGCTTTCTCTTTAATTATTTTCACCCTGCAGGATGAACACAGCACATGGTGTCTCATCTGAAAAAGGATCAATTTTCATTTTTATTCAGCTCCACAGTTTCATGTAAGGTAGTCACCTTAGCTTTTCGCTGTAACCAGCCAAGTTAGTGAGACCCCTCAGAGCTTCGTAGTTCTGTGCTCCTTCTCTGTCCGTGTGCAGCAGGTTGACCAAAGGCCGTACCACTTCATACACCTGTCAACCAAATCAATTAAAGTTTATTTTAAACAGAATACTCCAGCCAGTCTCTGCTGAACTAAATTAAACACGACTTTTAAAAGATAAGTAACTTCATCTTAAGAGTGGAGTGAGAGTGGGGAAATGTGATGAGTCAGAAGACGGTGGGGTCTCATTACATTTCCTGTTCAGTCAGATTTCACAGACACTGAAATAAACAAAGGAAACAAAGCCATGGCGGTCTTACCCGCTCACCAGGAAAAGCAATTTCTGGGTTCGTTGCAGCTGCTATTTTAGCAAGGGCATAGCTTGCTTTCACCTTTCCTGATTCCATACCTTCAAGAGCAAGTGGAATCAGAGCCTGAGGGCAAGAGACAGAACAATGGCAGCATATTTAGGTACAGTAAAAAAATGTTTCAGCTGTCAACTAACAACAGGCGGTGACACAACCGGAAATGCTTTGTTCTGAATGCTTTATGATGTACTAATGTCGGTCATATTGCTTGCTTACTTTATGTTATGACTCACCTTTCCACCACCTTGAGCAACAATTGTACCACGATCTTTGGGATCCTCTGTTAATGCCAAGAAAACCCTGAAAATGAAAGTTAAAATGGTCCAACAATGTGCATTTAATTAGGCAATCAAAGAATACTTTTAGGAAAAGGAAAAAAGCTAAACAGAAACAGGACTATTGTGTGAGGCTGGTGTTGGTGGTGGATGTGCTGGAGACATGATCAACCTCATTTTAAAATGCTGACTTATTACATGTTCTTACCTTGCGAGCAAGTCCTTGGTCTGGTCAGTCAGGATAGAACTGTCCGCTTTGACCATGACAGCAAGAGCTGACGTGACTCCTGCCTTCAGCAGCCGTTTCACTCTTTTCTCTATGAAGTCTTTCTTGTCCTGAAAATAAAGATGAAACAAAAACCCTGAAGGTGACGTTTCCTTCATAAGCTGTGGTCTGTTTCCTCTGCAGCTCTCACCTTGGGGTGTTGCTCTGGAACGTGCTGTTTAGAGAACTTGGCTAGTTGGACCATCTCGGGGATGATTTCCTTCTTGTCATAGCTGTTGGTGCAGTTCACCAGTGCACAAGCAACTGCATAGATGATTGTCTTATCCTTAGACTAGAACCACAAAGACAAAAAGATTTGGGGTATTACGTTGTGCATGAAGATAACCAAAACACTGACCAGAAGTCCGCTATTCAGGACGTGTTCCAAACAAACCAGCAGATGCTTCAAATAAACTTAAAAATGGAAACATTTTTAAAAGCCGAACAAATCAGAAGTTTTTTGCCTGACATGCAGCTTTAGTTTACCTCCTATGCTCAACAGCGACCAGTTCAGTTATAATCCCTTTGCCTCATAACACCTCCATACAAATGTAAGAATAACTGAGTAAAATGCAATCACTCTTGTAGAGCTTCTGCATGTTTTACATGGGCTTCACTGGTGTTGCTTATTCTCCATCACTCTTTTATTTTAAGTCCATTAACAGCAGAAACTAGAATTTGCTTGAACATCTCATCGTTTGCCAATCTCCATTATTTTACTTTTCCATAGTTAGTTCGTTACAAGCTGAGAAAAACAGTTCCTCTGAGCGCCACTAGAGGGATCCTGAATCCCACTGTTTGAGAACCGTGTGTGTTTGCACAAAGTCAGCGTGGAAATGAATTCCCAGTCAGAACATTGAGGCACACCGGGGTTTGTGTGAGTGAGGTTTCATATTTGTACCTTAGCCAGTTCAAACATTGCTTTCAGTGCAAGCTCATCTTCCACAAAGTCGTCTTTCACGTCAGCATCATTAGTCAGATAAGCCAGACCTTCAACGGCCCACTTCCTTGTTTTGGAGTCAATCTGAGGATTACAGAGCCACCTAGAAAAGCAGAAAGCAACACGTTTAAGTTATTTGTATTCAATTAAAGTCCTTCAAACGATCAGCGTAAGCTCTCACTTCCGGCACTGCTTGGCCAGCTTCTCTGTGGAGCCTTCAGCAAACTGCCTCAAGCTGTAATCATCACCTCCTGCTGAACCCAGTTTGCAGAGACCCTGCAGAGGACAGGGACATGAGTACAGAGGACAGATTAAACTTATGTGTGTCTGAAAATCCAAATTATGCTCTCTTCTGTTCCTGCTGCACTCACCACTAGAGCACGGATTTTTATCTTCTCGTTCTTTGTCTTCTTGTAGATGTCCTTCAGCAGAGACACGCCGTTAGTTATGAAGAAACTGGCACGGCTCATCTTTGTGGAGGCGTGGATCAGCGCCTCTACAGCCACCATCTGGTCCACCTCACGCTCAGAGCCGCACAGTGCCACCATCATCTCCATGATGCCCTGCTGTCCCACCAGAGAGTTCCCAACATCAAAGGGACCTTGCAGCAGTCCTGAGATGGCGTTGATAGCATGGAGGGTCTTGTCCATGTTTTGAGGGTCAATTTTGGATCTGTGGCAAAGAAGTTGAGTAATAAACAAACTCACATCAGTTGATGGAACATCTTAACCAAAGTGCTTTGAATTTAAACTGGATGATCTTTTAAAAGGACATACTTGATGTATTCATTACAAACGTCCTTGAAGTTTGTCCTCTCCGGGTCACATTTGAGATCATCGTAGAGTTTGTTGAGAAGCACACTAGCAATCAGCTGTGTGTTCTCTGTCAAGGGCAGCTGGTCCGGCAATTCAGGAACCTGACCGCAAACCTTCAGGATTTTCTTCAGACCTGGAGAACAAACATCAAGTCGGTAAATCTAAGAAGCACTCAGAGAGTAAAGAGACTGAAATGTCTGGACTCACCATGATCTATAGTGAAGAGGGTCTTGGAGTGGTCTTTCTCTTTCATGTCTTTGCGGGGTACGTTTTTGCTCAGCAGGTTTAGAGCCTGGTCTCTGCCATGGCCAGACACCTTTTTGTTTCCAATCATCTCCAGAAGAGCAAGAAGAATAGTTCTCAAATCTTTTGATGCATCTGCAGTAAGAGATTACAACATCTGTCTTGAATAAAATGTCAATTGCAATGTCTGTTTTTGAAGGGGACATTTTTCTTTCTTCCTACCCAACACTAAAGAGGCTTCCTTCCCATAATCCCTCATATCTGCACCAGTGAGGGAGTCGTTGATGCATTGAAAGAGGTTGCAGGTTGCCAGTGCAATTTCTTCATTGTCAAGTGCCATGATGCTGCAAATTTTATCAACCCCAACCAGGTTAACAACAGCCATGGCCTATTTCAGAAACCAGGAGGAAAGATTTAGAATATTCCATTCAAACAACACTTTCTCCAAATGTTTTGATGTCTTCCTATGTTAGCATGCATTTGAACTCACTCGAGCTTTGTGCCCCGTGCACAGTCCTGACAAAGTCCGAACAGCAGCCAGGATCATCTCTGGTTTTCCCGTCTCGATCAGCTTGAGGAGCAGAGCCACTCCGTTGCTCTGGAAGATTTTCTCTGCTCCTGCATCTTCTCTTGACAGCACAATCAAGTTGTTGGCAGCCTAGAGATTAAACAGAAAAAGTAGTTGTGTCAGAACTGGCAATGAGGATGTTATCCACCAGATGCATGCAAGATGTCAGTTCTGGTCAATTATCTGATGCGAGTTGCACAGAACACCCACTTTTTCTGTCCTTTCTTTGTCCATTTCCTCATCAAGGAGAATGTCAAACATATTTTGTACCCTTGAGTCTGTGGAGAATGTTGTCTTAAGCTGAGGAGATAAAAGAATAAAAATATGAGTCAAATTTGCACCAAACCCTAACCCTTCCTGGTTTCATGCAGAGAGTAGTGATGCTAAAAAGTCTGTGCAGGTTTTAAAGTTATGACCTTGGCCTGGATTTCTGCTCCCAGCCTGCGGAGAGTTTCCAGGAAGGTCTTGTTCTTCGGTTCAAGGGTTGCACATCTCTGCACATCTTTGAAAGCCATGTCCAGTTTTCCAAGCTTCTCCAGAGCCTGACAGCGGCGGTACATGGCTTTTACATCTTTTGCATCTTCATCAATTGCTGTGCAACAGTGATGATAAGAGTCATGATGAGTTTGAGGAGATTTTCTTTTTTCTGATTTAGGGTATAATGCATCTATTGAATTTCTAAAAATTACTTAAATTTCTCAAATTTTCCATCTACCTTTAGTTGCATCAGACACCGCATTTGCATAGTTTTCCTGTGGAAAAAAAATATGTTTAAAAGCACGTTTAAATCTGCTCCACCTATGTGGAATGGGTTTGTCACATGTCTTACCTTCTTTAGGTAGCATGCTGATCGGTTCCTGTAGATGACAGCCAGAACTTTTTTGTCCTGACACACTTTGATAGCGTTGGTGTAACATTCAATGGCTTTGTCAATATCTCCTGCCTGAAAGTGTTTATTTCCCTCATCTTTTAACTGGACTGGATCTCCCATCTAAAAGAAAACATCAAACATTCGATAAACATTCTTTATACTATTTTGTTATTTCAAATAAGAGAAAATCTTAAATGTTTGCAACCTCAAACAGATTGTGCCTTTTACTAGACCTGAAATAATCATGATCCGTCACCAATATGGTTAATCCTTTGATTTCGTTCTGACCCTGTCGTCTAGAGCAATGCATGTGCTGTCTGATTGAAATGGCCTCCATTCAAGCCTTATTTGGGCATCGTCTCAAACCACCACTCTGACCATTACAACAATTTCAGATGTCCTATTAAAACATATGCTTCTCCTACAATTAGGATAACAAAGGTTCTGGTGTACCTTCAGATTAGGGTTAGATGTGTCTCCTCCGTTGTCCTTTGTGTGTCTCGTAGATGATCTGGATCTTCAGTCACTTGTGCTTCAACAGATTTGTTCTATCGTCTGAAACCTTCCCCCAATTTCTGCCTCAGTTATATTTATAGGACATGTCAGCAAGGTGGGGCAGAGCAAATGTGAGCCCACGATGACACAAAAGGGTTCCACCAAAACCCACCAAACGCTTGAAGGAGGCCTGTGTTCTCTAAGTACTTAAAACACTTAATTACAGCAGTGAAATCTAAATTCTGACTCCGATTTTTATTTTATTGTTTCTCTATAAAGCAAACTCTTTATTTGAATAACAGAAAACTGAAGTTGAGTGACCCCTTACAGGTGGTCTGCTCCTGATAAGGTCTATTTAGAGAACAGACAGCTGAGAACTCTCCAGCAAATGCTCCATGTGCTGGGAGGGGAGTGTGCGTGCGTGCGTGCGTGCGTGCGTGCGTGTGTGTGTGTGTGTGTGTGTGTGTGTGTGTGTGTGTGTGTGTGTGTGTGTGTGTGTGTGTGTGTGTGTGTGTGTGTGTGTGTGTGTGTGTGTGTGTGTGTGTGTGTGTGTGTGTGTGTGTGTGTGTGTGTGAACACACTAGTGGATGACTGACCAAGAGGAGCTGGTAGCTTCTGGAAGGAACACAATCTCACTTTTCATGAGTTGGTAAACGTGTAGTGGTTAGGAGAAGTGTTGGGGACACAACTTCTGCAATTTCCTTAACAAAATACGAATATATAAAATCAAGTAAAATGCTGAATATTTTTGTCTTTCTGGCCTGATTAGTCATTTTTATGTGCATCAAGCCTATTTGTTTCTTCCTGTTTGTTCAGTGCATTGTGTCTGAACATTTTAAAGTTATGAAAACATGATTTTTAACAGTCTGACTGCTTCGTATTGAGACTTGCTCTGGACGTTGAGATTTTAAAAACACATAGAAGTCAGAATGATAGAGATCTGATGTTGGGTTGTCTTTTTGATTTTATGATTTTACCTGAATACCTCCTCCAGGTCAGGGACAAGGTACTTCCCCAACTGGATACTGAGGAAACACTAGGTAAATGTAAAAATAAATAAATAAATAAATAAATAAATAAATAAAAATGTATGAATTAATTAACTTAAAACATATGTAAATATGTATAAAAGTAATTTAAAAATGATAGATTTAAGATAAACTAAGATCTACGTTTACATTAAAAAACTTTTGGTGAAATAAGAAATAGTTTGTCATAATTCAGCTGGAAGACCAGGCTGGAAGTGCAGTAAAATATAAAATGAAAAGACATAAGACTTGATGTAAACTATAACATAAATTTATTATCTTGAGAATGAACAGATAAGTTTTGAACTTCATTTAAAAAAAGTCAATACTTTTAGATATGCTCAGGTCCTCCAGAAGGCTTTTCCACAGGGGAGAACAATGGTAAGAAAACCTTGCCTCACTGTGGAATATAGTGGTAATTTTAGGTAATCAGGGGCCTTTTTTCTGGAGTACCTCCAAAGGGTTGGTGAGGTAAAAGCAAATCTGATAAATCATTTGGACAAAATAATTAACAGCAATAAAAACCAATAAATGAATCTTAAAATTTGTTGTAAAATGCAGTAAACCAATGCAGAGACTTGGAGTTGGTGTGATTGGAAGTTTCTTTATGGCTTTTGTTAACATTTCTGCAGCTGGAACAGCTGTGGCTGAAGTAAACTTGTCTTGGGAAGACCAGAAAACAGAGCATTACAGTCATCAATCAGAAACTTACAAAGCCTTTGTCATTTACGTCTATGGAACATATAGTATGTAAATCTTAGATTTTAGCTGAATTGGCATATTTTTATTTAATGAATGAATGAATGAATGATGATGATGATGATGATGATGATGATGATGATGATGATGATGATAATAATAATAATAATAATAATAATACTTATATTTATAATTATATACTTATAATTATTATTACTATTATTAATAATAACCCTGGCTGTATCAGAAAGAGACACGAGACTTTATTTGACTGAGGCTCATCCTGTCACAGCCCACTAGGTCAAGTTTTTTCCATATTTTATTTTGAAATCACCGGGACGGAAACTGTTCATGTAGCTACGTAATGCTACCTCATTCTGTTGCCCGCATCTTCCCAAATCAAAAAACAGCGAAGGAGGCTGCATTTGTCGGGCTTAAATTAAGTCTTTAGTTCTGTAGTTGCTAGTTTTAAGTGATGTAGAATGGCATCGGCCTTTGGAAAGATAGTCGTGGGTACTTATGTGGAGATAAAGCGGAGTGATGGTGAGTTATACTCTGTCTGTGCTTCTTGTCGCACTCTCTGCAAGTTTTTTAGGGATCTTTGTTGCTGCGGTTTGGTGAATATAGCAACCGTTGTTCATAGCCGCAGACCGAAACGTTCGCGTTAGCATTAGCTGCTCCTAGATGGGTAATATCGGTAAATGATCCATGGGCGGTGAATCACCACGGCCTTAGCATTTGAATGGAGGGATTATCTTTGTCAGCAAATTTAAAATAAATTTACCTCATTTGTAAATTATCGTTTAATAAAAGCACATGCAACCAGTGCCAAAGTATCAAAACCCAGCAACTCATTATCTGTGGTGTATTTTCACAACATAAATTATTTATTTTGCCTTGAATTAAGAACAGTTAGACTAGCCATGCTAACTAACCAAGCAAGCTAGCTTAAACGTTAAAGCTTTAACGACAGCGGCAGCTAATGGCTAGCTTAGCGGCTAAAGCTACTGTTTCCCCGGCATCATAACATCAGCCACTCTTAAGTCTAACATAAACCCCTGTCAGTTAAGCTAACAAGTAGTTTACATGTTCGTGTGTATTTTTGTTGGTGTTTAGGTTGTAAATATATTCGGATCAGTATTTTGTTGAATGAAAGATAGCTTCTGAAGTTGGATTATTTTTTTCCCCTTGTAACGTTAAAATGACAAGACAATAGACTAGACAGGCGTGTACTAAAGACACACCTGCTTACACACCTGCCTTTCTCATTAAGAATAGAAGTGACGATAGTTCTTTGTTTCTGCGCAGGATTACGCTTCAAATTACATACATTATGCTGACATAATAACAACATTCATTCTATATTAACGGAGAACTTGACAGATTTGCACTCCTTCAGTACAGCGTGGTGATGCAGTGGCCCTGAAAAACAAACGTCCGGCTGAATGGGAATGGCCCCTAAATATGACTTCTTTTTCTTGGTGTGCGTTTTTCCCCCCACCCTCCTTGAGTAATGGCTCAGCTCTTATTTTGGTAGGAACAGTCAGGTGATTGAAAGGTTTCCTGTTGGTGTGTCAGTGTTGGGTTGTTATAAACCTTAAAACACCAAAACATGATCACTGTCAAAAGGCCAGAGGTCTAATCCTAGTTGTGTTGATGAGCTTGCCTCCACGTGCAAGACATGTCAGCAGTAAAATTGACAAAAAAAAATTCACTGCAGCCCAAGATGGGGAAGTATTTTTCTAGTCAGTTTTCTACATGTTGCATGTGTCCAGAAAAGGGATTGCCCTCTCTTGGGGGTTAGTAGAAGGGCTGGTTCAAATTCAAGCCAGATTCAGGCCATTAGCCAACACCCCATCTGTCACATCCAACTCCCTTGTTTCTGCCAGAACTCTCCCTCACTACCTCAGTGTTTTTCTCCAATTTTCATATTTGCTCTAGTTGAAAAGCATAATTTAATGGGAATAAAAAGTTTTTTACTCAAAGGGTGGCTTACTTTGTTCAGACTCTCAAAAGGTTAGCAAAATTTCTATTTTATTTTACAAGATGCAGCATCTGATCAAAATGCCTATGTCAAGCAGTTTGACTCTTTTGGGCTTTTTATAGCAGATCAACACTGAGAAAAAACTGAGTAATATTTCTTAACTTGAATGCTTTTATTAAAAAGTGTTCAAAATTAACTGATGCTTTAAAGGGCTCTGTTCCACCGGCTAAACAGCGGTGTCGACACACCCATTCACCTAGGTGTTCAAGTAAAAGTGGGACAAATATTCACTCATAAACATCTGTAACTTAGGCTTTCAGGCTGTATAATGATAAAATGTGTGCGTTTATGTAGACAGGGTTGCCAGTGTGTGTGGTGGGGTGTATCTGAAACTTGTCGGTATAAAGTGTCACCCACTGAACATATGGTGCTCATATGAAACCTGCTGGGAGTTTTTGTGCTGAAAGAATAATTGATGTAAATGTTATGGGACAGAGGATGATCTACCAGCATAACTGAAAAAATGTTATTGCTTATTCTTTCACAAACGCAGCTTGACGTCGGTTTTAAGAAGTAATCTCACAGCAGCCAGTTTGTGGCATCCTAATGTCTGACAGAGACAGGAAGTTTGTTAAAAATAGAGGGAAAGCAGTTTTGGGGGCAGCATAGAGCTGTCCTTTGTGTCCTCATGTCTCAAGGCTTCTGGTTAGACCAGTTTAAACAGGCCTAGAAAGGTGTTTTATAATAGAAGCAACTTAAGTTACAGTTTGTGATGAAATATTTACATTACAGGGATATTAAATTAGATGTGTGCCACAAAATATTAAAGAATCAGATTTCTGGGCATGAGCATACTCGGCACACCCCAAGCAGAAAAAAGCACCGCTGGTTATTATTTCACTTCTGTGTTTTATTTGTCACTGCAAGAAGCATTTCTAATTTCTAAAATCAGCAATAACCTTGTTCTGTTTGAACTGTGTGGGAGAGCACACATTACACAGCTGCAGTGTTGGGATGTGATCAAATTCTGTTTAAAAGTAGTTTGGAAATAGCTTTTTTCTCCATTGTCTCAAAGTTAACAGATCAGCTTTTTCTGCGTTGTGAAACAGTTGCATAAATCGGTAAAAGGTGCAGCTGTTCAGAACGCTGATGCATCTTTGCTCACTAGCTCCCATGGTGTCTTTGAATAATGAATACTGAAACATGATGTTTCCTGGGACGTGATGATGGCAACCTACAGCAGTGAAATCCACACAAGCAGATATGAAAGGATTTAAGAGGCTTTTTACAGCTGTTATCTGGCCTGTGGCTAGCAGCAGCTGTGGTTGCCTGTTATCTGTAACGGTCATGAACCCACACCTCTATGACGGGATTTGATTGTCCTTAAATGTAAAAGGTAAATAAAACACGGTATTAAACTAGATCAAAATATGTTAGTTCATATGAATGATTATTACAGTTATTAAAAATTGTCACCAGATTTGTTTAGAAGCTGAAACGATTCTAACTGTTGAGTGTTTTGTTTTTTTTGACAATTTTCTTTTTTTACAGGACGTATTCATCAGGCAATGGTGACCTCTCTAAATGAAGACAACGAGAGTGTAACGGTGGAGTGGATAGAAAATGGTGACACAAAAGGGAAGGAGGTAAACCACCCTGAACCCACCAGCAGCAGCTTGAGCTTTTATTTTCAACATCTATAAATAATGCATCCAGGGATTTTCCTGTTCTGCTGTAACTTTCATGCATTTTTTATGGCTCCACCAGAAATTACCTTGTGTGCACAAGTGTGACTAAGTTTATGCAGCATGTTCATTTGATCACAAGTAAACTCATTTACCTGTGAAGGGTTGTAGAGTCAGCCAGTGATAGACTTATAAGAATTTTTCATCAGTTTGTTCATCTACCTGATTTAATTACCCTTGTACTAAAACGGATAGCTACAACAGTAGAATACATGCAGCTGGCATGCAAGAGAAATTAACGAAATCACATTTTACAATAAGACAGGGATTCCCTAAATGTGGTGCGCGAGCTGCCGCTAGGGGGTGCGCGAGGTGAAAAGTGTAATGGCTGCGGAGCTCAGAGAAGTCTGTCATATGTCACCATTAACATAGCCAGAAACTCATTTGTGGGTGGGCCAAAGAAAGAGTAAGTGGGCCCAATAAATGTAATTCAAAACAAGTATATTTTGCGTGTGTGTGTCCTCTGCATGTGCCCTAGCTTCATAATAACAATGCGCCGAGCTTCAGCACTCTGGCTTGGCGCACACCGATATACACCGATATGTTCCGTATTTGATCATTTTTAACGATGGAGAAATCTGAAGGTGGTGAGTCATTCTGATTGTAATTAACACCCTGTCTCATGCAGGTGTTCTGACATTGTAAACCTCACACACAGAACATTGTGGATGTAACAAAATAAATCAAGACACGATTCCCATCTGAGCATTTTAGCATTATTATATTATTATGTTAGCACACTGACTGTGGGACAGCATTCTAAACGTGGCAGGCTATTAACAGCGTGCTGAAGATCTGAAGTTCAGAGTGCATCTGTCAGAGGTCAGACGCGTTCCAGCGGAACCACGGCTCACGGGTGCACATGTGAGCACATCTGGGCTGGGCAGAAGTAATTTTACAACATTGGTTTAAATAGCGCCAATAACGAGACGCAGTGACTGGAGCGGCTCATGAAGCTGTGCCGCACACACACACACACACACACATTCAATAAGCATGCGCGCCGCGCTGCTACTGCAGCATTTGTTATTCCAGTCCGTTTGGCAGCGGATCGTAGATTCAGCCACACCATGAAACAGCAATAAGTCGGTCTGAGGCAAAAGTGAACCTCATGGCTATATCTTTTCCATCTTTTCCCCTATCGACATTTGATTACGCACAAGTAGGTAGCCAGTTCAGGTTTACGCAAAGCAGAAGGAAGGAGAGAGCTGGCGCCACAGGTTAAACGTTCCTACTTTAAGAAAACCGTTAAATTGCATTTTTTATGTGCTACCTGGGCACTCTAAATATTTATTTAAAATTAAATCAAAGGAAATTGTAATGGTATTGAATGTTTATTAATTACTATTTAAAAAATGAAAGTGATGGGGAAAAAGGTCGATCTTTTTTTTTTTAACCCTGTCTGTCGAGTGACTGTTTAGCTTGAAGTCTGATATATATATGTATATATATAAATAAATAAATAAATAAATAAATAAATATATATATATATATATATATATATATATATATATATATATATATATATATAGCCATGCCCTGATGTGGGGGCTGGGGAGTGCGTCGACATGGTCAGGACATAGAAGGGGGTGCGCGGCTAAATAAGTTTGGGAACCACTGTAATAAAACATTAGATATTAAAGAAATACTTAGCAACTTTTTCATATTTTTAAATCATTTTTTTGAGCCAGTATGTGTTAAATGACCCTTTAGTAAGTACATTTTATTTATATAGCACTTATCACAGACACAGAATCACAAAGTGCTTCACATAGATCAAAACAAAATAAAACCTTAAGTCATAAAATCATAATGATCTCAAAACAGATTACCATTAGAAAAATAAAGTCATAAAAATATCATAAAACAAATGAAAGATGAATACACGTTTGAGTAAAAACTAAGAAAACAAAAGATTTATGTAAAAGCAGCTTTAAATAAAAGGGTCTTTAGCTGTTTTTAATAGGGTAATGAAATGCCACTCAGACCCCCCATTGCCCTTTGTGGCCAGAATACTGCGTTTGCAACTTCAGAGTGCTTGTGTGGTCTGTTGGATTTGGAAAAAAAATGTATCTTACATTCCTTTCACTGCAGTCTTCTTGCTGCATGCTTTCTGCTTGTTTTAGATCATGAGCACAGCTGATTTGTTTAATTTAGTGATGAACCGCCCCTGCAGACAATAATGAAGCTGGGGAGATGTTTCAGCTGTCAGGTTAAGGTGTTAAAAAGACAAACGCACCGCAAGGAGATAAGTTTTGCTTTCAGTTCTACTAAATGGACACTAGGGGGTGATAAAAGCTAGCCAAAGAGCAAGAGCAAGTCACTCCCTACCAGAGTCTTACTCCACTCCCACTTCATGTTTGAAAAATGCAACAAATGCTGGCAGACTTAGAGGGCGGAGCCACTAATAAATACACGAACACACAGGCTCACAACGACATTGTTACATCATAATGTACCAGCTAATGTCATTGTGTACCTCTTAGCCAATAGCGATGGCAGATTTAAGTTCAAATGCAGTGCAGTTTTTACCTGAAGACGACGCAACCCCGACAGTTTTAGGCAGAATATTTAAAATTTTAGTAAAATGCACTAAAGTGCCAAATTATTGACTGCCTGTCTCTACAGCATGATTAGATACTCATTTATAGTTTATCAGCAAAATAAAGTTAATTTGGGGGGTGACTTGCTCTTTAAATATATTCTGTTGTAATGTTTTTGTTGATAGAAGCTCATTACTACTGTTAAAGTGTCTTTAAGTAAATGTTTTATAGTAGATGAGCTTGTTTAGAGTACAAAATAAAACACTACTACTGCTGTCTATTTATATGCAGCTTGAGCCCTGTCATACACCCTTACGAATGTGACTGCATGCAGCAATTTTTCTGCTTCCTGAGTTCTGACCAGAAACAAACCTGAAGCAGCTAATAATGTTATATTTCTGCCTTGCGTCCATGTTAGGCCATCCATGTCTTCATTTTCCTTCAAACCTCACTTTTAGTAGTTCTGTCTTCAGTGGTTATATTTAGTTTTTGGTTTGGGAAAAAATTTGTTTCACTTTGAAATGTTCACGGTGAATTGATGTGCAGTGTGGTGAATTAACACTTTTCTGTTCTTGCGTAGATTGACCTGGAGAGTATATTTACACTTAATCCAGATGTTGCTCCAGATGAGGAGATTGCCCCTAGCCCAGAGACCCTGCCCCCTCCTACACCCACCTGTGTGAAGGTCAACAAAATTGCAAAGGTGAGTGCTGTGACGCCACCTAGACAACAGCTAGGTTAGAGCATGCACACCCCTTTGTTTTAGAGTTCACCTGAGACTATAAGGCCCTGTCCACACGTAGCCGGGGATCTGCCAAAACGTAGATATTTTTCTACGTTTTGGCCTGTCATCCACACGAAAACAGATCTTTTTAAAAACTCCGGCCAAAGGGAAGATCTGCGTTTTCTCCGTTTTGGGTGTCTGCGTGTGGACAGACAAAACCGGAGTTTTAAGGTCCGAAACGTCACTTTCTGCGACAAAAAAAATGCTGACATCACGTGTGCGACCTGTGTTTACACTAGCCAACAGCATGGATGCCCTCAGAGCTGCGCTCGCTTTATCAATTGTCCAAGCGCTTTTTGCTTGTTTGTTTTTGCAAGCGGAATTACTGCTCCTTGTGGAAGACCACAGAAGAAGGACGAGGTTAAGAACGGGGGAAGTACTGCCGCCTACAGGTCTGGCATGTCCTTAACGTATTTATCCGGGTACATGTGGACAGTTTTTTTTTAAAACGAGGTGGTGTGGACGCAAGTTTTTGGAGGGGCGGATATTCGTTTTTTAAAAAACCCGGCTACGTGTGGACTAGGCCTAATTAAGAGAAATCCAAGTAGATGTTTTTCATCTAAATTATCCTTGTTGTAATCAGTGAGCCCCCCCCCCCCCCCTCCCCCCCTCCCCCCCCCCCCACACACACACACACACACCTTTTGGGTAATCCTTAGATCTGTAATCCAACTCCTTAGCTGTTATTCAGTGAAACCATTGTTTGATGACACAATGCTGAAACAATTTTGTATATTTTTAAAGGTTTTTAGATAATCAACAAGGTCCTTCATTAGAACCACAAACTCTTCTTCTTAAAATGTGTTAGCTGCGTTTTTAAATGGCTGCATAAACACTGAAATGATTCGTGGACACCTTGAATGTGTCGTAGCTTCCAACCCACGCTGCTGTTTTCACTTGGCTAAATGACTTTTGTGTGTGGGCGCGGGGTGTGTTATGAGTGACATCTCGGGCATTAGCATTAAAAGAGGAGACCTCTGTAATCTGCACTAATCTGACTCTTTGGAGTTGAGTATTTCTGTGTGTCTAGAGGAGATTAGTCATGGAGAGCAACATCACCGTTGTTTCCTTTCTCCGAAGTAGGCCCCAAATATAACGGCAACATTTGGAGTCAAACACAAATCAACAGCAGATCTAATATTTCCTGTGTTTTTGTTGCTGTTTTACAGAACCGACGAACGATAGCACCTAGTAAAAGTGAAACTCCATCCAAAGACAACAGAGGTTTGTTCATTTGCTTTTAAACTTTATTTAAACACAACACAGGATATTCTGCTCTTCTACAAGTATTTCAGATATCATTAAAACATTAAAACTTTCAGCAAACTGGACAGAAAATGTAGAAGGAAAAGCCTTGAAGAGGAAAAAGCTGATGAGACTTTGGGTCCACGTCATTATATTTAGCATGCCATTTAATATGAAACCTTTTTTTTTCTATCTTTGTGGGTTTTTGACTTCAGCTATTCCAACCCGGATCAGACCTCCACAGTCTCAGCAAGTGGAGCCTGCCCCCCCTCCTCCTCCTCCCCCACAGCCTGCACAGCCGACTCAAGCCCAGACCCAGCAGCAGCTACAGAATGGTAAAACGCTTTAAACCGCTGGACTAACAATCCTGGGATTTTGGGATTATTTTCTTTTAGGAAAACTATTTTAGCCAAACATCTATGTAGAAGTTGTAAATGTTGTTAAATATTGCGAAAGTATTCAAACATTTTAGAGATTTCTGTTTAATCCTTCAAAAAAAAAGCACAATTTAAAAATGTTCTTGTTTTGTTAATCACAATCATCAGAGTCCTCACATCTTCTGATATCCAGAAAGGAGTTGGGACAGTTTTGTATGTATCATCTCTCTGTTACCCCTCTTACGGTACTTTATGGTGATTCTGATAGATTTCCCAATAGAAAGTGAGTCTTAGTCTAACGTCGAGATCAGAAACCCAAACGTTTCCCCTTCAGAGCTGTGGTGTTGCAGCTAAAGGATGATCTCCCATCAAACAGGCTTTCTGGTTTGGTGTTGTTTGGCTGCACTGCCTTCTCCTGGCGTGATTTCTGCTGAGTCAGCAGTACACCCATTAATAAAACCTCGTGTACTATGCTGTGTGTCATTCAGACCATAATAGTGTTGTAGAGCTCACAGTCATTTGATGATCTCCTTCACTAATCAGTCCCCCACTTAGCCTGAGTCTGAATAACACACAGTTAGTGATGCTGAATTCCTCTTTTACTTTCTTGTCCCATTGCTGACCTAGATCATCTTCTTTGACCAGATTACAGCAGATTATTAATCCTTCCTTGTCATAGTCTGGTTTCCTGGGACTGGAGCCAGCGGGGTTTGGGTCAGACTTGGCAGTGAGACACTGATGCTGCTGCAGACTCACAATCAGATGGTTTTTATATCTAAGAAAGCAGAAGTGTTTTTTACTCACATGGTGCTGCTGTTGCTAATCCTCTGGGATTGACCTGAAACATTAATCACTGGGTGTACTCTGGGCTCATTTTGGGATTGATTTATGATTTATTGAGAAAATCATGTTTGACTTGATTAAATAATTGTAAATATTAGTTGAGTAATACGGTTGTGTCTGGTTAAAGCTGATTAGAGTAATGCATACGATGGGCGAAAGGCTTGAAAGGCTTTTTGTTGATTATCAAGAGAATGCAGCCAGTGTTCACTAGAAAGCCATGTGCCAGCCTCTGCATCACTCTTCAGTTTGGAGCAGGTCCAATCAGGAAGCAGCGACGAGGCTGAGGAAGTAGAAAAAACAGACTGTTGCAAAAACGAGAGGAAAAAGAAACAAAATATTTTATACAGTTTACTAATTCCTCTCCTTTCTTAATCGTAGCAAGGAGGAAGTCAAACTGTGTGAAGGAGGTGGAGAAACTGCAGGAGAAAAGAGAAAGACGTCGACTTCAGCAACAGGAGCTCAGAGAGAAGAGAGCCCAGGTGCCACTAACGGACTAATTAAAAAATAATCCAAATTAACGTATAAGCCTTTAATTCCTGAGTAGGTTTGTGTAATTTTGTTGTCTTTTGTTGTCCAGGAGGTGGACGCTACCGTTCCTAATTATGAGATTTTGTACATGATCCGAGATTTCCGAGCCAGTCTGGACTACCGGCCCTTAACCACAGCAGACGTGGTGAGTAGATGATCTCTATATGTATACATTTGTTTCTTATTATTTATTAATATGAAGTGTTTTGCTTTAAAGATTGAAGAGCACAGAATATGTGTTTGTGTGAGGAAACGTCCCCTCAACAGGAAAGGTAAAAACGTTTTATTACAAGGTCATTAATGGATTTCTGTGTCTAACTTTCTGAAGCGTTGAACTTGTTTTCCAGAGCTGACTGTGAAGGATCTTGATGTGATCACCATTCCCAGTAAAGATGTGGTGATGGTTCATGAACCAAAACAAAAAGTAGACCTGACCCGCTTTCTGGAGAACCAGACCTTCCGCTTTGACTATGCCTTTGATGAAAGCACAGCCAATGAGATGGTCTACAGGTCTGCGACATCAGTTCAACAAATAACTAAACTATACATTTAGTTTGCTGCATGAAAAGAGCTTCCTCTTTTACTATTTGACTTTTCTGGATGAAAGTTAAACTGATTGTTTCATCTCATCCTGCAGGTTCACGGCCAGACCGCTAGTGGAAACCATTTTTGAGCGGGGCATGGCCACCTGCTTTGCCTACGGACAGACGGGCAGCGGTAAAACACACGTGAGTAAAACTCAGTGGCTCCTTGTTTTTAAGTTTGAATGCTTTTTCCCCACGCTGCTGTTGTGTTCGGTGTTTTAGACTATGGGTGGAGATTTCTCTGGGAAGAACCAAGACTGCTCTAAAGGAATTTATGCATTAGCAGGTGAGCGGATCAGCAGCGTTTTCTAGACTTGTTTTAATATGGAAGGAAAATCTCACCTCTTTTTGTGCAGCTCGGGATGTTTTTCTCATGCTGAAGAAACCCAACTACAAGAAGCTTGAACTACAAGTGTACGCAACCTTTTTTGAAATCTACAGTGGAAAGGTGAGTGGTTTACTCCTTAGTAAGGGTTTGGACTCTCTTTAAATGCCGTGCTCAGTGATGACGGCCGTGTGGTTTTTGTGCCAACAGGTGTTCGACCTGCTGAACCGTAAAGCTAAACTGAGAGTCCTGGAGGACGGGAAGCAGCAGGTCCAGGTTGTTGGTCTTCAGGAGAAAGAAGTCAAGTGCACAGAGGACGTCCTGAAGCTGATCGAAGTAGGAAACAGCTGCAGGTACGACATTAACAGCTGTTTTGATCAAGTTATTAAAGGTATTCATTATGTATGTAAACAGCTTATGAAAAACGAAGCTGTCCTGCTCGTTTTACTGTTTATGTTCATTGTTAATACATGAAATTAGGGATGTCCCGATCCGATCACATGATCAGAAATCTGCTCGATCACGTGGTTTCAGACTCGATCGGGACTTGGGCTTTACTTCCCGATCCAAGCCCCGATCCGGACTCGGATACTTGGTTCAAATTACAGGAGAGCAACTTGGTTCTCCTTAAAGGTCGTCAGGCTCCCCTGATGCCCTTAACTTACACACCCAGAAGGAGCACAAAAAAGATCCAGTTTCTACCGATATTATATTATTTACATGGACTCAGCGTAGCGGGGATTCTTTAGAGCAGAGATGCAGACCGCTGATTATTCATGAACTCCAGCTGCTTCTGCACACGGCCACAATAACATTTTCTAAGTTTCTAAGTGGCGTCACCAAAAATATACAATTAACCCACAGTCATTCGTGTCCGTTAATTTTCTCTCTGGTAAGTTCTGTCTGTATTTGAGCATGACGTGTGGACGTGCTCGCGCTGCAGCGCTCATCACTGGCTAGGAATGCACCGATCAGGTTTTTTGCTGCCGATCACCGATACCGATATCAAAGAATGCTGATCACCGATACCGATCACCGATACAGATCACGTGGATTGGCCAGAAATTTTCTACAACATTATAATGAGTGCTACAAACTACATAATCTGGGAATAAAGGAAATGTAACCTAATCTAAAATGGTCTGATCGGTCTGCTTTGATCTATTTTGAAAACTCCGATCAAAACCGATAGGGGCGCTATCGGCCGATTGGGATCAAATGCCAATCCATCAGTGCATCCCTATCACTGGAGCAGCACACACTCCGCTTTTTTGCGGTCAATAGATCAATTTGACCTGCTAGTTAAAAAGTTAGTTGTGAGGTGAAAAAGAAGGAAGCAGGCAGATTTTCTGGAGGACTGGGAGATGCAGGAAGATCAGAGACAGACAGGACAGGAAGATAGGAAAATAAAAACCAAGAAAACAAAACAAAGTTCTTAAACAAATAAAATGTAGGTAGATTTTATCCTACTACACGTTTGTACCTGTATAAAGCAGTAATTTATCAGCATGTAGTATTTATATACTATAAAGTGAAGAATTTGTTATTTTGTAGTTGATTGTTCAAACTACCTCACAGAAGTGATCTGTTGTTAAATATTTAAATAAAAAGGTAATTAAATAAAAAATAAGGAACATTTTGGAACTATTTCTTCCTTTTCTTTATTTTTATTTTTTTATGTATCGAAAGTATCGGATCAGGACTCGGTATCGGCAGATTCTCAAAATCAAATGACTCGGACTCGGGGGCAAAAAAACCTGATCGGGACATCCCTACATGAAATACTTCTCTAATGGTTTATTAGCTGCTGTTGTATATCTGTATTCTTCCTGCTGTTTTTCTAGAACATCAGGGCAGACGTCGGCCAATGCTCACTCATCACGAAGCCACGCTGTATTCCAGCTCATTCTCCGGAGGAGGGGAAAGATGCATGGAAAATTCTCACTCATCGACCTGGCGGGGAACGAGAGGGGAGCGGACACATCAAGTGCAGACCGTCAGACTCGTCTGGAGGGAGCGGAGATAAACAAAAGTCTGCTGGCCCTTAAGGTTTGTACATGAACCATTTTAAAAAGAAGATAAATTCTCAGTAGTTTATTGTGTTGTTGTTACTAAACCATCAGTTTCTCCCTCTGTTTCAGGAATGTATCCGAGCTCTTGGTCGTAACAAACCCCACACTCCGTTCAGGGCCAGTAAGCTCACCCAGGTCCTGAGAGACTCCTTCATCGGGGAGAACTCACGCACATGCATGGTCAGTCTCTCATCTGCATCGTTATCCTGGTTGTATACTTGTTAAGTTTGTTAAACTCAATATTTGTTTTGTTCTTCAGATTGCAACAATCTCTCCTGGGATGACATCCTGTGAGAACACACTCAACACGCTACGCTATGCTAACAGGTGGGAATAGACTGATCTGATGAAGATGTGTTTTTTCTGTAGAGACCAGAATCAGTGGTTTTAGGTGATCTCTGAAGCTCTCGCTGACTCTTTGTACACCCTCCCTCTCTCTTTCCTGCTTTGTTTGCCTCCTGCCGCCCTTGCTCTGCTCCTTTGTGCCGTCATGGCCGGTGCCGCCATGCAGGGTGAAGGAGTTTGGCATTAGTCCATCCGACATCCCCTTCTCCCAGGGCAGCCAGGGTGGTCGCCCTGAGCACTCGCCCACCAATACCTTTGAGTATGATGAGTTTGCTGCGACCTCTCCCAGCAGGTCAAGCACGGCTCAGAGCGCTACACTGCACGCACACACTAATGCACTAATTCAGCATGCATGTTGTCTCGTTATTATAATCACACCCATGAGCTCATTATTATTCACTTGATCAGCTGGTCCGTTTTTCCTCTTGGCTTTTGTTTCTGTGATGCACTGTTTTCTTCACCTCAGCTGTAACTTTTGTTTTCCCTTTCATCTTGTGACTTTTAACCTAAAGGTTTTCCTGAAAAGTCATACATCTTCTGAGTGGGTTTCATTTGTGAGTGAGACGTCTGCATGTTGCTGTGTGAGCCGGAGGTGTTCAGTCAGAAGGAAAACTGGACTTGAGCCATTAGTAAAAGCAGGATGTGCATTTGTTTTGGCTAACTCAGACGGCGAAACCTTTCACAGCTCAAGTCTTAATTATCTCTGTACTGAGGATTGGGGACATGGCAGTGATCCCTCATTAGCTTCACGATGCCTCATTAAACATCAATTCCACCATCAGCTACCTTGATAATATTTATTTATTTTTTGCATGACCTAACTGCTCATTTCATGTAAACATATTTAACCTCTCACCTGTGTGTTCCTGACTGGTTTAATGTCTTTCCAGGGTGAAGGAGCTCACAGTGGACCCCAACCAGATGATGGAGGGAGGACGACCCAACATCCAATCCGTCAACCAGCTGGATATTTTAGATGAGGAGTGGCTGAGTATCTCACCGCAGAGAGACGACCTTAAACTGCTCTGTGAGCAAAATGTAAGTAAAGAGAGAGGGGATTGTTTCTGAGGGCCACCATGTTGTTTCTGATCCTATTTTCTGCTGATTGTTTAAATGTTTCCTAGGAGGAGGAGGTGTCTCCCCAGCTCTTCACTTTCCATGAAGTTGTGTCTCAGCTGGTGGAGATGGAGGAGCAGGTCCTGGAGGATCACAGAGCGGTTTTCCAGGTTAATCTTACATGTTCTCACACACCACTGGATGGTCTGTGTTTGACATAGTGCCTTCTAGAGTCCTAGAGCCCACCCACCCATAAGGCACTCTACAACAGTCATTCACCCATTCCCACCCTGGTGATGATGTGCTACGATGTAGCCACAGCTGCCCTGGGGCACACCGAAATAAGTGAGGCTGCCCTAAACAGGCGCCACTGGTCCCTCCGACCACCACCAGCAGGTAAGGAGGGTTAAGTGTCTTGCCCAAGGACACAACAGCAGCCATTCCCTGGCTGGAGTCAGGATTGGTCTTACAACCCCCCGATTACTGGATGTGAACAACTCGCTCTACCTCCAGATCTACTGCTGCCCACAAGCTGTGTGATGAGTTTTATCTTGGCACAATAAGAGAGCTAACCCTCAGCTGTCTTCTCTGAGCAGGAGTCCATCCGGTGGCTGGAGGATGAGAAGGTGCTGCTGGAGATGACAGAGGAGGTGGATTATGATGTGGAGTCGTACGCCACACAGTTGGAGCAGATCCTGGATCAGAAAATAGAAATCCTCTCTGAGCTCCGAGGTATAAGTACATCTCTGAATGGTACTTTTCTGTAGAAAACGATGGCTTTGAATCACTCTGATGGTGTCTTCTCTCCCCCGAAACAGATAAAGTGAAGTCGTTCCGCTCTGCGCTCCAGGAGGAGGAGCAAGCCAGCAAGCAGATCAATCCCAAGAGGCCACGTGCTCTTTAGAGCCGGAGGGAGAGAAGGGTTAAGTTGCACATTCAGAAACATTACCACTAGATGTTTGGCACAACTCAAGTTGTCACTAGCAGCTGTGAAAACACAAATTCAAGGACTGTAACAGGATGAAAGAACTAACAGAACTGACTTGTTAGAAAATTAGGAAGGGAAACGTTTTTCTTTCCTTTTGTTTAGTTTTTTCTCTGAATGAGATTGTTTCCTTCAGTGTTCTTAAATTATTTTCTTTTATACTTCTTTATACTTAGCAGAGTTCTTTAATCTGCTTTAAACAGATGTTGAATGAAGATGTTCTAACGTTTGTCACACAGAACCAGTGTTCTGGCTGGCATGTCTGCATGTGCACTCAGATAGCTTATGTAAACCTCTGCTTAGTCCTCCGTTCTCATCGTGACGTCAAATCTCATTGTGGCGTCATCTTTTTCTTTCTTTCTCAGTTTTTACTCGTTTGAAGAACTCTTTAAAAATCACTTTTTGTTTGTTCCCTTCCTCGCGTTTCTGAGGTCTTGTAGTTTGCTTCAGGTCTGTGCCGGCTCGTTTTATACTGCAGAAACATTTCCACCCATTTAACTCTATTGTAAAGAAACTAGAAAGAACTGTTAATAAATGTATGGTGAAGACCAACAACCGTCTGTTTGTACCAGATGTAGTGCGGGATGACGTTCTTTTGTTTTGACTGATTTAGGCGACGGGTTTAAATAAAATGACGCTTTCAAAAGATGGACTGAAACCCCTTTGAATGTGGAAAAACTAAATCCAGCTTCAAAACATTCTGTCAAATTATATTAAAAACATTTATTTTCCTTTCTAACCCTTAATACTGAGGGGCTGTGGTATCTGAACACCTAAGGTTTCCACCTGATCCTTGTTTAATTCAAAAATACCATGATAGATCTGAGCTTCAGTAACATCCTTGGTGTGTTCATACTGTGTCTAGTTTCTAATTCCATTTTTGGTTCTTTTTAAAACACGGGAAAGGTTTCTCTTTACCTTGACGATTTCGTTTGCCGCATGTAATTTTGCGGGGGGACATGCCCCCCCTTTCCAAAGTCAAGTTTTGACCCCTGCACTTTTTACCATCCAAAAACAATATTACACTATATTAAATTGACACTGGTTGCGCTCTAGGACCAAGCAGAAAATGATCGTTTGTGTTGAAGCCCATTTCCCATTGGAGCATACTGCTCTCTGCTGCCCTCTGCTGGCTGTTACGGTTATCTACAATTACAAACTAACCACAAATGCAACGACTGACCAGAAACGAATTTCATTCCCTGGTTAGTGAATTTTACAGAAAAGAAATCTGTATAATTTTTTAAAAGATCATTCCTATGAACATAGCATTCATTTAAAAAGTCTTAGTTTATTTTTTATTCAGCTGCAATTTTCCTAGTGTGTAAAGTAGTTTATGAAAGTTATTTATGCTCCTTTCAGTTTATGCAGGTGTTTTAATTTTGATTTCCCCATCTTCATTCTAATCCAGTTATCTGTGTCATATAGTCTTATTGTACAGATGTGAGAAACTGATTTAGTTAGGATCCGAGATGTTTTTACTGTCAAACGAGAGTGATGCAGATTTTTTACCTGCACATTACATAGTTAAGCTTCTGAAGATTAAACAAACACACACACACAGTCCCAAACTAATCCATGCTCATAGGCAGAAGTTTAAGATAAGACTCAATGTGAGCCGTTTTAATGCACCTATTTTCAGAACTCCGTTCGTTTGAGCCCAACTCCAGGACAGAAACAGTCACTTTTTGAGCATCAGATGTCTCAGGAGGCTTTTCTTATGAAAAGTGGATTCCTGCGGAGTTGAATGCATGCAGCAGCCTGAGGATGAGAAAATACCAACACTTATGAAGATGTTTTTGTAATTGAAACAATCCACTCATCAAACTTACACCATGAAGTCATCGATGTCCATGGACCTTGCTCTCTTCTCACTGAAATTAGCCTCCTGCAGAACACACTCGATTTTTTTGCTGATACTAAAATCTGCTGGAACTTCCTGTTGAGATTAAAATGGTTTAAGATTCAAACTCACTGATCGATTAACCCAGTAGCAGCTGTAACGGAATGAAATGACTGTTTTCCACCAAAAGTCATTTTCCCCCTCCCCTCTGACACAGAACTAGTCAGCATGACATATGGCCTCAAGGTCTCATGCATTTGCTTCTAAACTGCTTCTTTCCAGCTCGAGAAGAATGAAGACAAGGAATCTCCTTTTAATAAATTAAAGAACTCTTATTTTTAATAAAGCTAATCAAACAAAGTGTTAGTCAATAATAAGATGTGAACCAGCCTGTGAAATCAAAATATTAATTACTTTATTATAATCCTACAGAATATAATAAGTAATATGTCTTTAAATGTTTCCACTAGGACTGATCTCGCGTAGCGCTAAGACATGACACATTGCTTTTACTGAACCAATCAGAATCTGCCAGATCTGACGGAGGCGTGGTTTTGGTGGTGCTTGGTAAATCTGTCATCTTTTCATTCGACCATAAACCAAAACATCCGAAGTATAAAACTACGTCCACGTCATCTTTAACGCCAGTTCAAAGAGTTCTAGAGAAGTTGGAGCGGCCAATCCGTAACTTTCCTCTTCAGCCGAAAGAACCAACGACAAGCTGGATAAAATCTGTTGCTGTTCGAACTGCTGCAACTGTTCCTTTCAGAATAAAATCTGAACCATCACGACCCAGTTTTGGGTCTCGCTAGATGCCAACAAAACTGTCGTGACCCGGAAGTATCTCACAGACTGGTCTGGTCGGCAACCGCTGCTTTTCCTACCGGCTTCAGTTCCAGAGAGGGTCAAGCTGGACCTCGACATTCCCGATCTAACGGGGATTTCCACAAGGGTATGTAGGCCGATGGAATGGCGTCGAATGTGTTTATGAATCTCCTAACCAAAGCTTAACGCGAAGACATCACCTTCATTTCCCCACCAGAACTAATCGTTTCTTCGGATTTGCAGGTTCTGAACAACGTTCCACATTACATCATTCACCTTAGTTACACCACACATTTAGTGTTAAAGTTAGTCTAGTTTTAATTTGTTTAGTAATAAATCTTTAAACTTTTAAAACCTGACTCTCTCTTCTGTTGTCTCTGAATTAATACGAGGTTGTTACATAATCCCTGCAATAAAAAGTTCCAATCTTCTGGTTAAACAGTACCCATGATTTCGTATTTACTATGGAATCTTATGCCTTATGGCTTATTAAATAACATGTAAATTAACTCATTACACAGCACAGGATGGGATTTGTTTTGAATAAATTAAGCTGTTGAGTATTTTACTCACCACATTGTGGACAGAACAGTGAATCCTGTAGTTCTTCTCCAGCAGCTGCTCCACTGCAGAAGACCTGGAAATGTAAAAACAAACATCAGACTAAACAGTTCTTATAATTCTGAGTCTAAAGTTTTTGTCTGCTTACTTAAACGCTGCATTCAGGGTTTTGTTCTTGCGTACAAAGGCGATTCGAACCAGACCGTCCCACTCCTAACGAAGACAGAAGTTTAGTACATAATATGCTCTTAAGAAGATCCACCAGCAGAGCTAAAACTCACCTGGAAATTAACTGGAGGAGGAGGATTTTTCGGTTCTATCCTAACAACACTTGACTCAACTTTAGGAGGAGGGCGGAAATTATTTTTGCCCACCTGGAAAAAGGAGAAAAAAAACAACAAAGAAGAAGAAAAAAAAAAAGATCAGCATGGGAACACAGATATGTGTTTCTGTAAACCAGCGAGTGTCTCAGACAGTGTACCGACCTTCATGAGGTGGTCCACACGAGCCAGCAGCTGAGTGTTGATGGACAGCCTGCAGTACAGCTTATCTCCGGGTTGGGCAACGAGCCGCATAGCAAACTCCCTCTGGAACATCAGCACTGCACATCTGTACAAAAATAAATCTGATGCATTAAAAACAAGATGTTAAAACAGCTACGCCCATCAGTAAGCCCCAGCTGTCTCACCTAAAGAAAGGCCGGTGCAGCAGGAGCTTGAAGACAAACGGTGATGAAATCTGTACATGCAGGTAAAAATAATTACAATGAAAAGTTGCTAAGTATGTCAAATCAGGTTTAATAGGAGGACGACGTGTGTTTACCTGGTAAGGTAAGTTAGCTACACAGATGTCGAAGAACGGCAGATCTGTTTTTAACACGTCACCAACTAAAACCTGAAGTTTGGTCTGCAGGGGCCTGTTGATGGTTACAATGTTTAGTCATTGAAATGGTGCTGTTTTTCCACCTACTGCTAAATTTCTAAACAAGGTATCTAGTGACACCGGCTGCTGCCTTCACTCACGTGCACTGGACTCTCTTCTGAAGTTCAGCCACTAATCTGCAGTCCAACTCACAGGCAACCACCTGCAAAAGCACATTACTGCTTGAATTTCAACAACAAAAGGGGATTCTACTTAGGCTCTAGGGATGATGATCTGGATACTGTGCATGTATCATCTACAGCTCACCTTCTTGGCTTTTTCCAGCAGCTTTACAGTCATGTTACCAGTACCAGGTCCTACCTCCAGAACGACATCTGTGGGTCTCAGAGCAGCCTGAACAATGACAACAAATCAGCTGCAGCCACTTATAAGGAAGCTCGTGTGGTCCCTCAATGAAACCCATGGCAACCACTGGGCCAAGAGTGAATGTATGAAAACAGCTATGATTGTTTTGCTTTTAAAGCCTGGCAGATTTCTCTGCGATCATTAAATAGGATTCTGTAAATCAAAGCAAGTTTAAATTGAGATGTTCCTTATCACGCTGTAATCATGTGCTTAAACAGCGTAGTCATTACAGGATTGTAACTTTAATGAGGTAAACAGCGAAATCATAAACTCCCAGAACACTCCCGCACATCCTACCTTTTCTATAATCGCATTGACAACTAGAGGGTTCTTCAGGATGTGTTGGCCAATGCCAGTGTTGAACATGATCCCTGAAAAAAGCAGCATGCACACACGGGGTTTCTGTCATCATGTTCGAATTTAAACTCAGTTTTTATGCAAGATGCAGTTTGCAAGTCTGATAAAGTTGCGTTTAAAACGTATGATCTACGCTAGGACAAAAGCTCCTAGTGAGAAAACAAATCCAAAATAATTCACTCAATAAACGATAAAACGAGTTTCTACGGCTGGAATTACCACATACGCAACTACTTTGACCCTTTTCGTCATTAGACATTTGATCCAGAGTTATCCGAACATTACAAAAACACATTATTGTACTTTATAATAAATAAATGTAGTGTAAACCTCGTATGTGGCGGAAGAAGTATCAGCTTGTTGTAAAAACATAAGCTCTTTAAACACGGTTAGCTAACATGCTAAACCTAAACCACTACTCGGACAAACCTTGACTTTTAACGTCTTGATGTTGTCGACTTTTCTTCTCAGCTTTCACCTTCGGCATTTTTATGTCAGATCCAGAAATAAAATAAAAATAAAAAAATCAAACGAAATATCTAGAACTTCCCAGGCTTGATAAACACGTGTGGGCCTTGTTCTTCTTCTCTTACAGAAACGGACACGTGTTCTCTCTGTCGCTCTCTAGTGGAGGTTACAGCAATTGTTTATATTTTTTAGAATAACAGAAAATATCAAACACCTTTTGATAAATGATAATTTTATTTGAATTTCCAACAGTTCTTCACATTTGCACTTTAAAAATAATAAAATTTAAAATGACGTTAGTCTCTAGTCAGGGATAGAAAACTCCTCCAGCGTCATGGCAATCTCTTGAAGTTTGGGGTCATCCAGCCAGTTGACTTTACAGGCTGTGAGAATGCTCTACAGAGGAAAACACACGTTAACACACAAATCTATCCTAAATATCAACTATAATCTTGTGGATTACAGCGTCATTTACCTGAAGGACATTCTGTGTCATTATGGCCATCTTTTTATATTTCTCCAGGTTTGCCTGGCCTTTCTCCAAAGCAGCTTTGTATTTCTCTGAATCTGGGTGCTCCATCTTGGACATTAGGCCTTCCATCTCTTTCATTTTCTCATGCGTTTGACGCTTAATCTCTACACACAAGCAACATATTTGGTTCAAGCAAAAAGATCAGTCTGAGAGCTACAATGAGCAGGATAAGGAAAGACAAACCAAGCCTGTTCTTCTGTGTTTCTGTAATTTCTTCTTGAAGTTTACTCGCCTCCTGTAGAAAAATGAAAGATTTGAACATGAAATTGTTAGTTTGGGTTAAACGTTGCATTCTAAATATAAACCAGATGTTTCAAGGACATTACATGGAGTAAAGAAAGTTTTCTCAAGTCTTGTGAGCCACATGGATTGCTTTGTTTACATCTTCAATAACACGTGTCAACACCTTCAGTGCTTGTTCTAATTGTACTGACATCTATTTAGAAAAGACTCAACCGACTACATCAGTAACCTCAGCTTCAGCCACAAAAAACAACTCAATATCTGTAATTGTGTTTTTAAATGCTGCAACTAAATATTTAGCACATAACAAATAACTCATGCAGCAGCAAAGGCGGCAGAGGGTGAGAAGACTTACGTCCTGAAGTTTTTTTATCCGTGAACACAGAAACGTGCAGCGGTCACTCACAAATTTCAGAGATCTGAGATGAAAAGAAATTTCCTTCAGTGACCAGAAATCAGTGAGAAAATGTGAACGGTCGTCAGAACCGACTTACTCTTCCTCTGGGTCGCTCTGGATCATATTTTCTTCCAAAGCGTGCCACATCTGCATTCTAAAAGACACAAGAGCAATAAACTACATGTTTAAGTAACTCAGCTTCTACATCACACGTCCAGCATTCGCTTACCTGTGCAGCGCCAATGTGCTGTTAAAATGAACCACCTTCGCCTCTTCAAGCTCACTCATGAAGTCTGGTCTGAAACAGTTATTTACTAAAATCAGGAATTGTGACATTGATGGTATTTGCTAAAAGTCTGTATATGAAATACTTACAAGTCTCTTTCTGCTTCGGATGCGCTGCAGGATCTTTTATTTTTGCCTGTAATGATAATATTGATATCAGCTCCTTTTAGAGCTGAGGAAAGCACAATCAAACAAAAATACACGACCTTTGATCATACCTGCGTTGAGCTGTACTTCCATCTCAAAGCACTGATTGGACATCTGCTGTTTTAATCTGAAAGGAAAACAATTACATTTATTTTTTACCACCCAGATATTACAATCAGGTTCATGGCAAACATCCATCCATCTTTTTTCAGTCGCTTATTCAGGGTCGGGTCGCGGGGGCGGCAGCCTAAGCCAAGAGGCCTGGACTTCCCTCTCCCCAGCTCCCCCAGAATCCTAAGGCGTTCCCTGGCCAGCTGAGAGACATAGTCCTTCCAGAGTGTCCTGGGTCTTCCTTTAGGCCTCCTCCTAGTTTGCCGTGCCCGGAAAACTTTATCAAGGAGGCATTTAGGAGGCAACCAGACCAGATGCCTGAGACACCTCAACTGGCTCATCTCAATGTGGAGGAGCAGCGGATCTACTCCAAGCCCCTCCCAGATGACCGAGCTTCTCACCCTATCTCTAAGGGAGAACCCACCCTGGGAAGAAAACTAATTTTGGCTGCTTGTGACCGGTAAATCGAGAGCTTTGCCTTCAGGCTCAGCTCTCTCTTCACCAGGACAGATGTGTACAATGCCCGCATCACTGCAGACACAGCACCAATCCACCGTCGATCTCACGCTCCACTTTTCTCTCACTCATAACCAAGACCCAGAGATACTTAAACTCCTCTACTTGAGGCGGGACCTCATTCCTGACCTCACTCACAGTAAACACAACTTAGTAAAAATAAAGAGGTGAACCTCAGCATGTCTGTGGGTGAAGTCTCCTTCGGTGTGGTGGAGCTCCCAGGATCTGCATCATCACTTAGAGCTACGGTCTCCACCATCCGATTTACAATCGCCAAGCCTTCTGATGCATCCATGTGTGAAAGGACAAATCGATACCAAACTCTGGGGTGTTTAGGTGACAAAACCTGCAAGTAAGCCAAATTCCAACTCAGAACCAAAGTCCAAGAAACAAACAAAAAAAAAAGATTCATAACAATCATTTAAAATGAGGTTGAAACAGAAATGTCTCAAACTTATGAATAAACATGCTTGTAATAATTTGGAAGTTTTTGATTCTGGAATCGCACTCATTGTTTATTCAGAATAAAAAATGCATTTGGACAATTGCAGTGTTAAGAGAAAAATCAAATAAGTCTCCGACAAATAAGAAATGAAAATATGTCACCTCTAAAAGACCAGAATTGGTGCACGACTAACACACACACACTGCATTGAAATGAAGCAACAACAATACAAAATAAAAGCACTGCAAGCATCCAGAAGTAAAAGTGCAGAAAATATTAATAGAAATGAAACAAAATAAATGACACAAGCTCATGTGGTAAAATAGCGTGGAATTATTAATGCTTGATGGACACACTAAAACAACTTAATGTCCCATTTCTAGACGTGTCCTGTCAAACCTGAGCTGAAGCGTTGGTACGGGTTAAAGACGGCCCAAACCATCCGAAACCTAAATTATCAGGTTATTCTCTACGACCATCTGCACAGTAGTTAGCTCCTGGGATGGAAAAAACAAAAACAAAAAACATCGTACCTGAATAAAACAAGTTAAAATGTCACATGAACACAAAGCTGCGTCCCGGCTATTGTCCTCTCAAACTAACGCTACTCTTACGAGTTTGTAATACTGCTACACAAGCTACTTAAACGACTCAATAAAACGTATCAAAACCTTCGCTGGCTGCATTAAACGCCATTATTTACGAGTTAACAACAGCGATAATGTCAATTTCCTCTCGGTATGTGGGTCGCTGCCCTAGCTGTTTACACTACGTTCTTTGAAGTTCGTCGGACATAGTTATACACAGTAATGTAATCTTGGTAATAATTTATTTATGAAATTGACAAAGCATGTCCGCCACATGTTTCACTTCTGTTGTATATTCAAAACATCGTGCATGTCATTAGAAACACAAATATATACTTATTTTGATGTTTTATTTTCTTGTTGACAATGGGAAGTTCTGAATTCCAAGTGTTTCTTGAATGTATCTTAAATGTTCAAAATCCCGCCAGGAAGTGACGCATATTTTCTAAAGTTATCTAAAAGGCGAACGCGCCCTCTACTGGGCAAAACCACGGACATCTTCGACATGAAATACGTAAACGCCCAGTGTCGCCGCCATATTGGATGGGTATCTTCACTTTCCTTGCCCGTTTTTGTGCAGCCTACGGCTACAATGACCGGTGTACTATTGAACTGAGTGACTTTTCTAGCCTTATGGGATTTTATATTTAACTGAATTTAATTTATATGCATTATGTTTAATTACATTTATATTTTAATTATCATGTCATACATTGTGTCTTGTTTTGTAAAAAAAAAAAAAAAACGTATATATGTCTGTGACAGACATAATCTGTCCATAAACGTCATCATTATTATACGGTGTGTGTGTGAGTTATATTAATTTTAGAAGATGGTCTAAGTAGGGGTTGTGTGTGGGCATCACAACATGCCAAAGGTGTTCCTAATGATAACTATCAATTGCAGATATCAATCTAGTCGTTCTGGGCCATGTGGTACAGGTCATAAATCCTAAAATAGTCACAGTGAAAGTAGGGATATTTGTTTTTGTAATTATTTTCAAAAATGTGGCCAACTTTGTTAATTTATGAGAGGACAGAAGTTCACAGTGTATTTCCTTTATCCTTTATGAATTATCTCCAATAGTATTGTCTAAAATAAATAAAAGGGCCAAGAAAAAGTTTATAAATACATAATAATCTGTAATCAGTGTCTCAAGAATTTGTCTTCATCAATATTTAAATGTGTCTGATGAACAGATTCTTAGAAACCAACAGCTCAATCTGCTTTTTTATATAGTCTAATTAAATAGTTATTGACATCTGTGACATTTCTTGAAGACCAACGTTTCTTGTCTAAGTAGCTTTGCAGCAGTGTGACTGACATCTTTGGCATGGGCAGGTCTACAAGCAGTGTCCACTATTTTGGATAGCAAAACAAGGTTATAGCTAATATGTTCTATCTGCAGAGATTTCCTCACGTCAGAAACTTTGGCCATGCAGATTGCTTTCCTGTCACATAATTGGCTTCAGAATTCTCAATGATTTTTATATTAAGGATTTTTTTATTTACTGGTAGCAAAATAACAAAGAAGGCTTAAGAGTGAAAAAAACAATAAACCAACTCAATGAATATCAATATAACAATGCTTCTAAATATGAATACACGTTTTAAACTTTAACTTTGCTTTTTGTTCTTTGTATGTGTAGTTAAGTAAAATTACTAATAAATTAAATCAAATGTAGTTCCACTAGTATAATTAAATATGGACTTTATTCATAAACCATTGAACGTCAGCACGTTCTACGTGCTCTGCGAGTTTCGATTCTAAGGCCGCGTTCAATTACGATCACTATAGACCAAGGCGTCAATGCTGATTGATGTATTTTCCCTCGTAATATCAACATAGCCCTTATACCAGTCTAAAAATGTATTTTAATACTGCAGGTTTATGCTTGAACAAATGACTGAACCGAAACTAAGAGGAATTTAGTCAATTCGTCATCAAGCAACTTTTATAAGTTTCCGACATTTCTTGCAGCACTTGAATGCATCATTTTGCGATTGGTCTTGTTGGATAAATAATGAGGAGGAAGGATGTGAGCAGCTGAAACGATGCTAACCCTAAAACGATGCTAACCCTAAAACAACGCAGTTAGACAGATTCTCCACTTATGCGTGTCTTTGTTGTCCTTTATTTAAACGATGTACGCTGCAGTTTTAGCTTCCCGGAGACACGCTGCGATAACAAGGAGGGAGGGCTGGAGCCGAGACACCTAGAATAACGGGGTACCAACGGTCGGGCTGGTAAACACACGGTCGGATGTACGAAAGCTAAAAACAAAGCTAGCGGCTACAGGAGACTGGGACAGACGGTAGACAGCTGGGAGCAGGTGGGCCAGAGATGGGACATAACACCTCTCTGCTTCAGATTAATCCGCTTCAGCAGTGTCCTCGGTTTGTTTGTAAGGCTGTAATGAGGTCTGTGTAAGTGCGCTGCATCAGTAGATAGCCTGTTTATGTTCCATCACTCTGCAGACATGTCCTTCACCATGGAGGACAGCTTGGAGTCGGGATGGGTCGCTGTTCGACCGAATGCGTTTGAGGAAAAGGAAAAGCACAAATTTGTTTTTATTGTCGCCTGGAATGAAGTTGAGGGAAAATTTGCCATTACGTGTCACGACAGGACGGTTCAGAGGAGAAGCTTTGGCAGGGATCCTCTGGCGGAGCTGAGCCTGGACGATGGGGACAAGGCAAAACTGTCTGAAGGTACCCGCAGGGATAAAGTGTCCCGGAGTTCAAGCAAAGCAGCCAGCGATGCAACACCGAAAAGTCCAGTCAGAACTCAGACAGCTGGTCCTGATGCAGAGGTGTTAGAAGAGGACAAGCTGTCCCCCTCTCTGGACAGCTTGGACCTGCAGGAGCTGAACAACCTAAGCAGAGAAGGCTGTAGTTGGGCTGGACTTTTCTCCTTCCAGGACTTTCGGGCGATCCACCAGCAGCTGTGCTCGGTGAACTCGGCCCTGGAGCCCTTCCTCCCGGTGTTTCCGGAGGAACCGGCCGGGATGTGGACGGTTCTGTTCGGTCCGGCGGAAGTGCCGGAAACAGAAATGGACCAGCTGTGCCACAGCTTACAGGTGTACCTCGGTCACGCGCTTGACACCTGCGGATGGAAGATCCTGTCGCAGGTTCTGTTTACCGAGAAGGACGACCCGGATGAGTACTACGAGAGCTTGAGTGAGCTGAGGCAGTCCGGGTATGAGGAGGCGCTCAGCCGTGCAAGCAGACACCTGCAGGAGGTGAGTTTGGTCCTCCAGCCCCTGATGGGACCTATAAGCTGTGTGCAGAACATGCTGCAGGACTGGGAAAGGATTTTAATTTCAGACTCACTAATCACAATTTATACAAAAGGTAAACAAGTCATGTCCTTACAAAAGACACCATCCCTGCTGAAAAAACAGCACTTGTAGTGTTTTGGCTGCTGGTCTGCTGGTTCAGCATGCGATGCTGGTGATTGGATTCTCCAGCAAACAAGCACCACATGCTGGTCTCTGCTGCTTTTTTCAGAGGGCTGAACACTGAGTCCACCTCAATCATTAAGTTTGGATAATTAAAACACTCCTACGTTTACATCAGTGTTCCAAACAAATAATAAAAGCAAACTTTGAATAAGAAGTACAACAGGAAACAAGCATCATGCAGCCAGTGACATCTTTAAACCTGCAGCCTGGTGCTTGGGAGGAATCTGGCTGGCGAAAAGACGAGATTTAATAAAAAAATGGCTGCACCTGTAAAGCATATCCTCTTTAGAGAGTTGTGCTCATGGCATGATGACTGTTGTCTGCTGCTTACTCAGCTGAGAGTCAGGTGTACACACACACACATACACCCCCACACACATGCACAAAGTGCAATCCAAGCTCATTGAAATGTGTTCGTTTCTGTTTTTGGACCTTTGGATGCCACAACTTTTTTTCTGATGGCAGTGTTTAATTGCAGATATTCATATTATGATCACCATGGTAACCAGCAGAAAAAAAGCCACTCACAGGTGAAGTGCGTAATATTTTATACTCTCTTCTTAAATCTGCTTTCTGTTAAGAGGCTTTAGGTGCTGCTGACTCCTGAAGCTCCAACTTCTCCAGTTCAGATTCTGCTGAAACCTCTGCAGGCTCAGCTGGAATGAACCAGATCCACAGAGACACCACTTTCTGAAGGAGGCGTGCTGCCAACGTGCAGGAGCTTATGGAAACCTCAGCGTGTAAAAATACAGTTAGAAAAGATTCAAAGTAGGATATCATGAAGGAAAAGCCTCTCTAACCGATTAGCAGGAGCTGAAGTTAATCACAAACAGAATTATGTGTTGCAAAGAGTTTATTTATTAATCTGCATTTCAAAAATAAGATCACACTAATGACAATTTTTTGTTTGTATATAACATAATTAAAGCCCAGCACCGAATCAAGATGACGTGTGTTTGACACAGACTGGCTAACGGAGCGCAGCTCCCAGACAACACACACACTGCGGGCCTGCTAGTGTTACACTGCTGCAGCAGCTGCTGGTGATTGATTAGCTGCTTTTAATATAAACGTACATTATATTTATGCACACTGGCTCTCACACGGTCTGACTGATCAATGGAGGAGGATTAATGCATCCTTGACTCATGGAGCCAGAAGAGTACAAAAAGTCCTCTGAGAGATTAAGTGACAGAGATTTATTGTGCAGGTATTTACTAGCATGACAACATTACCCTCTGGCTTCCCGGGTATACATTTCCTGCTTTTTCAAAGAAAGCGATCTCATTTCAGATGCTGCACAACTTTGATCATACGTTCACTAATGTTGTACGAATTCTTTTCCTAAGGCGTTTCCTCTCTGATCCCTTCATGCCAGTCGACAAAGAGGCATAAACAAATAACCCACACGTCAGACCCACACCGGACCGGCAGCAGTCAGGATAGAAAGAAAGCCAGACGCAGGAAGGTTTCCTTCACTTCCCTTCCTGTGCAGAAATCATCAAGCAGCAGATAAATCTGTTTGTTTGGATTCATTTGCTGCAGTTTTCCTATTAACCCTTTGATGCATAATGGTCACTACAGTGGACAGGTATTCAAAATTAGTATTTATTTATTTTTGCTATTATTTTGCTATGCTAGCCCCTCCATTTGGACTTCAGTAAGTCAAGCCAACATATTTCATGTTCAGAACGCACGCTGTCCACTGAGGTGGACATGTAATAAATTATTTGTAAATTTTAAAAATTTACTAAAAATATTTGTTGAAATTTGTTTCATTCACACCTAAAGATGAATAAAAAAATGTTACAAATATCATGGTTGAAGATTTCATAATTCATGCATCAAAGGGTTAATGGCTCTCAGATTGAGATTTCAGGTTTGCTTTAAGGTTTGTTTATTCTCATGATGGAGGTGATGTTCCTCAGCCCTTCCATCACAGCCGAGGCGGCTCTGTCTCATATGACGCTGCTCAGTGAAACCCTGAGAGGTGGTGGTGGAGTTCCACACTAAAGCACTGGCTTATTGATCCTCTCACTCCATTTGGGGGCTTAGTTAATAGCTATTTTAGTGTTTGCTGGTTGCCAGCAGGGCAGCTCAGGCGAACAAAATTGTACGTATTGATCATATTCCCAGTAGCAGATGTGACTTTGCGCACTAAAACAATGAACTTTTCATTAAAAGACTTCTAATATTTAAAGATTCACAAAGCGTCCTCATAAGTCTTTACTCTGGGTTCTCTGTCTCTAGGGGATTACTGTGTTTTTTCCACTTCTGTTGCTATAATCAACACATTTGAATTGAGATTTAAACAGCTTTTTGAAATTTGGCTAATAAGAGGAATTTTTTCATAAGTTGAAAAGAACAATATGTGCTTGCAGCTGCTGGAGAAGCACCGATCCACGGACAGCATGGTGGAGCTGTTGGAGCTGTATGAGGAGGAGGACCAGGCCTACGGCGGCGTGCTGGAAGCCTCCACACAGCTGCACCAGTACCTGCTGCAGCCCTTCAGAGACATGAGGGAGCTCGCCATGCTGCGCAGACAGCAGATAAAGGTACAAACACATGTTTTATACAGAAATAACAAAGGAACTAAGACTAAAAGCTCCTATTTTTATAGTTTTCTTTATGTAGAAGGGTCATAAAACACAATGAGTCAGTCACGTGAAATTCTCATGTCCTAAAATAGAGCAGTTTCACGTCTGTTAACGAGGAAGAGGGATAAATGGTGGAAAGGCTTTGTTCAGTCACTGCAGCACTGATGGTATATTTAGCCCCCTGACTCACACGCAGCACATCGGTAGGGCCTCAAGAGTTATTTCACGACCTTAAAATCTCAAGATGTCGCACAAGCTTTGTCCCAGATACTTTTTTAAGGCTTTGGAGCGTCTGGAATACTAAACATGACGTAGCAGGTTGGATTTGAGTGACGTCCTGTCTCCGGTTTCCCCGTGTAGTCTCATGATTTTGGGTGTGATCCTATGGGTGACGCTGCAGTCTTGTTTAGGTGTTGCTTTAATTCAGTTCTTTAGTGAAGAGTCAGATGTGGATGTTGTTGGAGCCCAAAGCAAGAGGCTTTTATCAGATTGGACATGTCTGCAGCGCGTCACGGTTGTTAGTCGCCTGTGTGTGTTTGCTTTTCTCTCCACAATCACTTCCTCACAACTCGGTTATTTTTTCCTTCCTGTCTCGGTCGCTGCGCTCCGTGGTTTTCATTCACTTCAGTGTGTTAATTTTCTCGCTGAAACATCAGAAAGTGGAGCTCTGACAGGGCAGTTTAGAAAAAAGAATACTCAGGTCCCACCGAGATTTGAACTCGGATCGCTGGATTCAGAGTCCAGAGTGCTAACCATTACACCATGGAACCTCCTAGTGATGTGGGGGGAGGGCGTAGCTCTGAGGGTATTAATGACATGCAGTGGCGGCCTCAGCCATGTGCTGGACTCTTTCCTTTTGTTGCTCTCTTGGGTTTCAGATGAATGCACAAACATAAATAAACACCTGAGCTGAGCAGATGTTTTGTTTTAAATATTAGTGTAATGTTTAAAAATATATATCTTTTAATCTAATAAAATCTAATTCTGTCACATTAAACAAAGCAAAAAGTGGTCATTTTGCAGACGTCGTAGATCGGTTTAATCGTGTAATCCCTGCATGTAGTCTCAATTCAAACACACGCAGTGTGTGTCTACAGTCGAAGATAACAAAACAAAATAGTTTTCACTGAATCGTAACTCAGAAATCAAAGCTTTGCTTCAGAAATCCTCGCTATACAAGAAACTAGGTAACTTTTTCAGGCAAAACAAACAAGATGCTTGAGCCGGATTTCTGCTGAACATCCATAATCCAAACAGCAGCTGGACATACTTGTTATAAATGTCCAGCAGATTATCTGAAAGGAGAAAAGTTGCATTTGATTGATAAACAATCACAGATTTCAAACTTACACCAAATACAGAAAGATTAAACTTAATCCTGATGCACCACTATTTTACGTAGCGGATGTTGATCAGGTGCTAATAAAGCATTGAGGCAATAATAAAAAGTAAAACCGAAAATAAATGTCAGTAAAATATCTAACTCATTCTTTTCCTGGTGTCACATCTTCATTAGTTCACTTTTTAATACATGTCTGGTGCTACGAAGGCTACATTAGATGCTATTTAAAATCTTTTTGAGGGATATTAACATTATTTGGTTTTATCCTCAGTCTTTTTCCCTTTAACCTCCACAGCAAGGAACAAAAGCAATAAAAAAAGCCTTTTGCATTATTTATTAATTTGGAGAAACAAGAGTTATAAAATGTTAATTACAACAATAAAATAAATAAGAATTTTTAGCTAGAAACACTACAAAAATGTAATGTGGTTAATGTTTTATTCCAACATCTGCATAATCTTAATATTATTTCTAGTTTAGCTGTTTTTGTTCTGTTTCATGCTTAAAACAGATACAGAAACCAAATTATGATTGACCTTTTATGGGTTTTAATTCGTCTACTTCTTTGTTAAATGTATTCACACTCTGATGGAAATCACACTTTTATTAGCACTCCACTATAAATAATCCCAAAGTGTGCGTATGTTTAAGACATGACCTAAACATTGTTTTTAAGTGTTATTTGTCACAGATTTTAAAGGGGTCATAGCATGGAAAATCCACTTTTTGAAGCTCCTTACCATGTGATATTGTTTTTCATCATGAGAAAAAACCCAAACCCATTTTTGGCTGCATTCATGGATTTTCTTGTTTCAGCTGCAAATTTGGAGTTTTACTTTGAAAATCCTGTAAAGCGTCAGTGGAAACTGCTTCTCGTCATCAGGCCCTGCTCCTCACCTGGAAGCCAGTCTCTGGTCTGAAACCTGTCTCCCCCATGGTCTCCCCTGGGCATTACAGGATGTGTGGCTTAGGCGGCTGGTGTCATGCAGCAGACTTGGTCGTGCGATGGTTAGTGTTAGGGCTGTCATGTGCAGGTTCTCTTCCCGGTCCGAGCAGTAGCTGTTTTCTTCTTTTTTAGCTATGCTAGCCAGTATTACGTTTTCAGTCCTTTATTGGTAAACTGCTTACAAAGGAAGGACTAATCTGTTTTTTTTTTACTTTCTTTAGCCAGTGTGAGTCCATGTGAGATGAGCAGAGTAAATCAGCTGAAATGACCAAATTCAAAGATCTTTAAAGACACAAAATATTTTGCAGAAAATAATAAATAAAGCTAAAATATAAAAACATGAAATCTGCTTCAGCTGGCTAAATAAATGACTGCCGCCACCTCCGGGAGTTGAACCCACAGGCCACATGGCAAAACTAAGGAAGCAAGCAGATGCCTGTAGGACTATCGTAACCAATGAAGGAAATTCTGTTGTAGGCACGTTAGTTGGCATGGGCGGAGCTTCAATGAAACGAAGCGTTTTATTTCCACGTATAAATTCAAGCTGAAGAAAATAATTCGTATTTAAGATAAATGACATCTCAATAATGTCTACGGTGATATTTTCATGTTCTGCGCCTACCGTTGCTCTCAAATGTTTAAAATAGCATGATTATGGAACCTTTAGTCTCTTTCCGGAGTATTTCTCCTGTCTGATGGCACCATCTAGTGGCTGAAAAGCATATCACACAAACAGTTTCTCCTTCCCTTTTTTAAGGTGGCAACTTCACGTTTCTAGTTTATTTATGTCCTTCTGTAGCTGACAAACAGAGCTAAAACACGTTGTATTATTCCCATCTCATGTTGTGTTTTAATATATTTATATTTTAGAGACTTACTTGTCCGTGAAATGTTCATCAACGCTACATCAGCCGAGGTATTCCTTCAATTTGAAGCATGTAAGCGGTAGTCTACGCTATTGGTTAATTCTGGTCGGCACTCAGCTTCCTATTGCACGGAGCTCTGCGGGGCAGGGATACATGATGAGACGATCACTTTCACGGATTTCTGAAAAATCACACATGATTTTTGAAAGGGGAAAACTCCGGAAAGATACTTTAATTAATTGACTCTGTCATGGAGGTTACGTGTGTTTTGCTGACGATGACGTCCATCCTCTCTTCAGATTTCTTTAGAGAACGACTATTTGGGCCCGAGGCGGGTTGAAGCTTTGAAACGGGAGGATTCTGACTGGCAGAAGAAAGCTCAAGAGGCCGTCGTCAACATCCAAGAGTTTACTGTAAAATACTTTGAGATCACGGCCAGAGCCCAGAAAGGTACTTTGTGCCAACTTCTGCCGATGCCGAGTCGATAAAGCAGCAGCTGAATGATTCTGTTGAATCACACACACACACACACACACACACACACACACACACACACACACACACACACACACACACACACACACACACACACACACACACACACACACACACACACACACACACACACACTGGTGTAGTAATATTGGTTCTCTATCGACCTGTGTGTGGTTTTCAATCCCAGGGCTAATGTATTAATGAGACAGAACAGACAGTCATGCTCTGAATGAACAGTGACAGGAGGAATCAAGGACAACCTATTGATTCCTCAGTTCTGCCTGCAGACTCAGTTTGTGAGGTTGCTCTTGAACGTGTCCTTGTTTATCACACATCTTACCCATGAACTCAAGTTTTATTTAAGTCTTTTTCTATTAAATACAATGTAAACTTGGGTTTTAAGCTGTTGTCTGTGATGGAAATAGTTGTAATGACCAAACATGGCCAGTAGGTGTCTCTGTTTTGTTTCAGTGAGTAAATGCAGCAACATTCCCACTCATTGAGCATGCATTGGTTTTTGTGTTTAGGTGTGTATGAGCGTATGAAAGTGGACCAGAGAAAGTTTGGGAAGTCTTCGTGGACGGCAGCGGTGGAGCGGATGGAACGACTGCGCTTTTCGGTTGCCAAGGAAACCCTGCAGCTTCAGAGAGCCAGGGAGCTCAGCCTGGAGCAGAGGAAACACACTCTTAGAAAGGAGGTGCGGTGCACTTGACATCGTATCAGGCGCGATTTAGCACTTTGTGTTGTCTCCCTGCTGAGCTGTGATTCCCCCTTCAGATGCAGAGTCTGTGCAGCAGAGAGGACGCGATGGCCCTCCTGGACCACATGGAGACTCAGTACTACGAGCTCCAGCTGCAGCTGTATGACATCCAGGCGGAGATACTTCAGTGTGAGGAGTTACTCCTCACCGCTCAACTAGACAGCATTCGTAGACAGATGACGGGTATTTACAAAATTATGGGTTATTATTTGTCGTTTGCTAACGTGCTTCAAAGAAACAGTAACAATTCATTAGATTTAGCTTTTCTTTCATAATTTTTCTGTTTTTGAACAAAAACTTACACAAAAATGTATTTTATCATGACACTTTTGACTCTTATTATGCACATTTGGTTAAATATTACATCTTACCATTGCATAAGGTTTGAACACTCGTGAAAATATTCTATTTCTGTGTTTTATTTTCACGAAATTCACCAAACAATCCACAAATGAGGAATCAGAAACACAAATTAATGTAGAAAATTATTCTAGACAACTCTTTTGTGTCCCAAAGTGTCTGTTTGTTTACGTATTTGTGCTTTCAGAGCGTCAGGATGAGGTTGTGTACTATGATACCTTTGAAAGTGCAGATGATATAACAGAAGATGACGCAGCAGAGAGAGAGGAGCTGCACAGACTCCAGGCCAGCGCCCGACAGCTTGAGGCACGAAGGGGGCGCATCACTGCCAAGCGCTCCTATCTATGTAACAAAAGGGTGTGTGTCCAATTCACACTCTCATTTTTCTTCTTCAGTCATATCTTGGAGTCCACTGTAATTGTTAAACATCAGTTTTTTTCCTGTGTTTGTTTCTTTAGGAGATCTGTGTAGCCAGCCACACACAGAAACAACAGAGGCGTCAAAGCATCCATAAGGAGGTTAAATGCTTTTTTTTTTGTTCTTTTCTGTTACATGTTATATAAAAAGTTACTAGAAGTTCTTTTTTCTTGTTTACATGTTAAACATTTTTGAATCTCTAGCTGAAAAACGAAGAGGAAGAAGATGAGGAAATGAAGAACAACAGAGTGAGCCAGGAGAGACAGAGGACTCTGGACAGGCTGCGCACTTTCAAACTGGTGTGTACCTCCGGTCTAATAGAAGTGTGTGATCTTATTTTGTGGTTCTCATTGCGATCACCTCCTGTTTGTCTCTGTGTGTCTCCGTCCAGCGGTATCCGGGTCAGGTGATTCTGAAGTCCACTCGTCTTCGTTCGTCTCACACCAGGAGAAAGGAGCGCGTCAGGAGCATGGACATCAGCTGCGTGAGTGAGAGGGAGGAGTGTGTGGACTCGGTCAGTGTCCAGACTCAGGATCAGCTGCCATGTCTCAGTACCAGCGTTCAGACAGACCCTAGCGCCACGCTCACCACTCAGCCCGTCGCAACGCTCACAGCCACAGCTCCTCCTCTGCCTGTGCCCAGTCTTGCTGACTCCTCCTGCTCTCCCTGCTCCTTCTCCTCCCTGCTGGCATCCCCCATCTCTCCTCCACCACCGCCTCCCCCTCCACCCCCACCACCAACAAAGGATGAGTCGTTTCCTTTCGGGAGCACGGGTCAGTCGGATCAAAGAGCTGAGGGGAAGAGTGCAGAGGAGGAGCTGATGTTCTCCCCTCTTGGCCCGTTCATCCCTCGGTTCTTTGACAGCAGCCAGCTGGTGAGCGCACGGAAAAAGCTGAGGAAAACTCCCGAGTATGACTCCCACAACAGAAGAGGTACTAGTTCTTGACTGGAGTCTTCATAATAACAACCTTTAAGTGCACTCATGATCTGTTTCCTACTTCCTGTCACAGTGAGCTCTCCCATGGACGAGGTGCTGGCCTCTCTGAAGAGAGGAAGCTTCCATCTGCGGAAGGTCGATCAGCGATCCCTGCCTCCCACCAAGGATGATGACGACGACCCCAACAGCATCCTGGCTCAGATTCGCAAGGGGGTCAAACTTAGACGGGTTTCTTGTAAGAACATGAGAGAGCAGAAAGAGCTCCCTGCGTACACCGACCCGCTGACGAGGAGCATCCACGAGGCGCTGCGTCGCATCAAGGAGGCCTCGCCGGAGTCGGACTCGGATGATGATGGGCTGGCAGGTCCAGACTGGGAAAGCTAGGGCTCATCATAACACACACACACACACACACACACACACACACACACACACACACACACACACACACACACACACACACACACACACACTGGAATGTGTAATGGAGCCAACACCAGACCAGAGGTTTATGATCAACTTGTCACTGTCATAAAGCATATGGTCTTATTTATTTATGATGTACGTCGCTGTGTTTCCATTTCTGTAATCAAATGTATGGAGGCCATGTTTATTTTTGTTTCCTATCAGCCGCACCGTTAAACGTCTGCACTTAGCATTTTTATCACCGACGCACCGGCACTCGGCTAAAACGACACAGATGTACGGGAATTTATCAGAGCTGAGGATTTCAAACACGAAACCAAGGCTGCAGCAAAAATATGTTGCTGGTGTGATGGGTAATCTGGGGGTTTATGGGAGATTTAAAAATGAAGAGCAGATTAATCAGAGATTCAGACTGGGATTACTGGATTTACTGTCCAGACTGTAGACCGTTAAACCATCAAACATCATCCCACCACCAGTTCATCCGAGCCACATTCCAGTGATCCTTTCTTGTGTCTCCTGGGTGAATCAGACCCCGTAAGGCCCTCTGCTCATCTTCATCAGACAGATTTCTTTGAATACTTAATGATGCAAGGCTTCTTCCCCTCCCCCCACTCCTGTCCTTCAGCATCCCTGACTCCCAGCCCCAGTCTAGGTAAAGGAACCACCATGTTTTATGGTCCTCAGCAGAGCTGGAAGAACTTGTCACGTTTCATCTAGGTCTAGTAGGAGGTTAGACTCTCTTGCCTTCTTATTCATCTCTTGCAGCAGCACACAGATGGAGGTCTGTTACTCACAGTGACGGAGGTGAAAAAACACCAAACTCACAACCAATATGTGCAGAGGAGTCCTCTCACAGAGGAGATAATTAGTTCACTGGTAATTCTCAGCACTTTTCCCACAACATTTCTAGTTCACTAGTTCGCTGTTTTAATCCGTAGTGAGACGGCGGTGAGCGTGAAAACACAGAGCAGATTGTGGAGAAGGAGCTAAACGAGATTACAGTGATAACGAGCAGTGTGGGAATTCATGAAGAAAGATGTTTCATGAATGAATCTCAGCATTGTGCTCTTGCATTTAACTGCTTTGGTTTTAGTTTAGTGCTTTTTCTCCTGTGAGTTTAGGGAGAAACAGAAGCACATTAACAAAAGCACTGAGGATATTGTTGCAGCATGTTTGTACCAGAAGACCTTTTTGTTGCTGTCGCCTATCTGTAGGAAGGCACGGGAACAGCTGTGGTATTTATGAGCGGGAAAGCTCAATACTTTAGATATTTTTGTTTTCTCTCGGCGTAAACCAGCTCTGGTACTGGAACGTCTGAGTGTCATCACAATGTTCTTCCATGGCACGCTGATCATGTAGCATGAGATTACAATCTTACCTCTGCCCGCCTCTAGTCCAGCTTTACTCAACAGTCTTCCCAAAAAGATGTCGGTTTTCGTGGTTCCGTTGCTCAGAAGCTCCAGAGAAAGGAGGCAACACCATTCCTGACTCTTGTCATGGGTTTGATACCTACCTTTGCAGGCTGTACATTTGCATCCATTTGCTTTTGTTTATATATGATTTCTTACTTTCTGCCTAATTGTTTTGTGATGTTTTTTTCTTTGGAACATTTTCTGCACACGCGTGTTATCCCCACAGGCTGACTATATTACAGCTTATCTACATACCAATGGATCCTTTGAGACGCTGTGCAATTTGACATAAGACAATACAAGAAAAGGGCATGGAGAAAAGTAAAAATCATAGCTGAAGATTAGATTGGTCACCTAAATGAATGAATTTAGCAATCTTTGCAAGTGTTTTTTACACCACAGTGTGTTCCAGAAGCACCTTATTTCTGCCTTGTGTCCTTGTGTCTTTTTCTTTATTCTGATTTTTTTTATTTACAACATTTCCTTTGGATTGGAATAAAATCATTAAAGCAGAAGAGATTGTTGAATTATTTCCTTATCCATCCATTTATTTTATTTATCCGGGGGTCGGGTCGCATGGAAACCAGCCTAAGCAGAGAGGCCTAGATTTCCCTCTCTCCAGACACTTGGGCCAGCTCCTTTGGGGCAATCCCAAGGTGTTCCCAGGCTGCACGAGAAACATAGTCCCACCTTTGTGTTCTGGGTCTTCCCTTAAGTCTCCTCTCGATTGGACGTGCCCAGAAAACCTCACCAGGGAGGCGTCCAGGAAGCACCCTAAGCAAATGCCCTAGCTCCTCAGCTGGCTGCTCTTGATGTGGAGCAGCAGCGGGTCTACTCCGAGCCCCTCCTGGATGACGGCTTCTCACCCTATCACTAGGGAAGATCCCAGCCACCCTGCGGAGAAAACTCATGTGACCGTTTGAATCTGCGATCTCATTCTTTCGATCACTACCCAAAGCTCGTGACCATATACTGTATGAGGGTAGGAATAGATTGACCAGTACATCGAGAGCTTTGCCTTTCAGCTCAGCTCTCTCTTCACTACAACAGACCGGTACAACGCCCACATCATTTCAGATGCAGCAGCAATCTGCTCATCGATCTACCACTCCATCTTAACAAGACCCCGAGATACTTAGACTCCTCCACTGACCTGGAGATGCACTCTATGCTTTTCTGACTCAAGACCATGGCCTCAGATTTGGAGGAGCTGATTCTCATCCTGGCAGCTATTATTGTTATAAAAAATTCATTATTAAAACACAAAATGTTTAGGTTTGTGCCTGAATTCATCACAAAAAGACAAATCTCACCAGTCTACAAACACAGTTAGCCTGAGGTACCTCTTTAATGTCATGAGTTCAAAATTACTTTAAATAGTCAAAAATATTGCCAGTCTGCTCATACCTCTAAATACAATAATAATAATAATAATAATACCTACATTGAAATACCATAAGTTACAAAACAAGAGAATGAAAAGCTTCTTATCCACTACTGTACAAAGGCATTCATGAACAATAGCAATAATATTAAGGTATTCAGTCGCTGCCACTCAGATCAACACAGTTACATCTGACACCGAACAGGTAACGTTCCCCTTAAGGAGACTTATTCTGGTGCATCATCCCCCTTATATACTGGACAAACATTATGGGTTATAACAGGTTTTGTTTGCGATTTCCATGGTGGCCCTACAGGCGTTTGCCCACATGGATTTTACCAGGGCAAAAATTAGTTTTTAGAGGGAGCCAGATGGAGTCTATTAAAATCTTTGTGGGGCCACATTGGAAACTGCGGACAAAACCTGTTGGGACCCATACTAATTTCCTGCATATATTCCATATGGGGCCTCACCTATGTATTTAAAAATAATTTTATAAGTTTATTTTAAGATTTGCCATTATTTGAGTGTGTTCTCATTGTGTTACCCAACTCAGGCCAGATGCTAAAGGGTAAATGCACAACAATAAGTCCCTACAAGGTGTCCCTGTGTTTGATTCATCCATCCATTCATTTACATTGCCGGCGTGAGTAGAAAGTTGAAGAGTTCCATATTTATATCGTTATTATATTAAAAAATAAACCAAAAAGAATAGAAACTGATTAGAGATCAGTGTTCACCTGTTAAGAGTGATAATCAGTGGCCAGTTTCACTTGAAGGTGGAGATTTACAGCCATGGAGATGACACTCTGTGAGCCCTTCTGCACTACTCCGACCTCACGGGGCTGCCACACAGTTTAGCGGTCAACAGTAGAACACTTTCTGCTGGAAACAGGTTTGCTTTGACCTTTCTGGATGGGTCCACTGAGTAGAGTACCTGATAGAGTTGGTGTCGTATAGAGCCTGTCTGATATTGCTCAGTGTGTGTGTGTGTGTGTGTGTGTGTGTGTGTGAGAGAGAGAGAGAGAGAGAGAGAGAGAGAGAGAGAGAGAGAGAGAGAGAGAGAGAGAGAGAGAGAGAGAGAGAGTATGTGTGTATTAGCCGTAGGCCTCTTTTGGACACACACCCCACACTGAGTTTGGCAGGAAGACAGGTCAGTTGTCTGTGATGGCGGAAGCAGTCTGGATACAAGAATTTCAAATTTCTGTGTTGCATGAAAACGCCTCTGGAAGATTCATCTTTCATGTAGGACTTTTTAATAAGATGTGATTAAACAGAAGTCCTTTGTTTTTGCTTAAGAAGTGTATCAACTCCATTTCCCAGCAGCCCTGTGACTCCCAGCTGTGGAACGGCCACTGCAGGCCCTAAAGGTCGGACTTGTCGGATCCCGCTTACGTTCTTCTGGCAGCCCAAGCTCAAACGTGGGTTCTCCTGCTCTCTTTACAGCGAGTCACTTTGGATCCAAGCCTCTGCTTGTTAGAGGACAATTTTTTTTATTCAGGGATTTGGCAGCTTTGGATCGGTCCTTTAAGTCAATTATTTCTACCAGACTTCCAACATTCCCACAGGAGGGGAAGTTTAGAGAGAATGAATGTGTATGTAGGTGTTCTATGGTGCAGCTCTTCCAGTCAAACAGCAGGTGGCACCAAGACTCAGTTCTTGTGTCAGTTGGGTTGGGGGGGGGTGGGGGGGGGGTTAAGATGCAGTGCACCATGATGGGCATCTCCACGACTGAGTTCAGCGAAGGTTAAGCCAACAACAGCCCATCAGAAAGCAAGCTGAGGTAGTCTCTGCATCATCGTCACTACAGGACGGCTCGCAATCAGAAGAGACTTGACGTCTGTATGGTCAAAGGTGGAATCAGCTCTTCGTGTACGAGCTTTTGAACGTGGGCAGTGCAGTGTCTAGGTGGTTATGTGGATGTGGGGGTGTTTCGTGGAGACGAGAGGCAATGTGGGTGGGGTAAGGGTTAAATTATCGTATGGCTCTGTGATTTTTAGAAACCTCTGTCTCCTAGCTGGCCTCCTCTATGAGTCGAGCCAAGGTGTCTCTGAGCTCTGTCAGCTCGAAGATCTTTCCATCAAGCAGCTCCAGCAGCGTCCGCAGGCTCTTCCTGAAGTTCTCCTGCTCTTCCTGGGTCTCCTCCAGTCGCTGCTCAGCTCCTGCCAGCTGCTCCTCCAGCACTCGGCTGCGTAGCTCCGTCTCCTGAGGACAAAGATGAAGCTGTCAGTGTTCTGGTGCCACGAGGTAGACATTAGATCCACCCGTCACGTAAGAGAGAGGTTTACCTCAAGCTTCTGAGTGAGAGTATCTTTCTGCTCCATCAGGTCATTCATGTTTTCTAGTTCTTCTTTTAACTTTTCCATTTCCTGGAATAAATTAAATTGGATTAAAGTTTGTGTGCCAACTGGGAACATCAGCCTTTCTCACACACAGCTAACCTCTTCTTTGTCCCGGAGCACATTCTCAAGCTCTTCTATGGTCTGGTTCAGTTCCGTCTTCTGGGATTTGATCACTGGGGTCTGGTTACTCTGGCACTCAAGCTCCGTCACCTACAAAGACCAGATCTTGGTTGTAATCACCACAAACTGGATCCCTTTTTTATTTCCACTCCTGTCATCTGCTCCTCTCATCCCGACTTCACAGCATCCCCTTCCAAACAAGTACTGGTATTTGATCAGAATAGTTTAATCGCACATGAAAACAAACAAGCACCCGCTTGTGTAGTCTCTCTGCCTCCTCTTGGTAGGCGGCCAGTTGCTGTTTCCACTGTTTGACGTTGGCTGTGGATTCCAGCAGCGCTGCTGTTAGCTTGGCGTTGTTCCCCTTTAGTGCCTCCAGCTCAGCCTCCCAGTGTTTTGTCATGGCCGGGCTGCAAAACACAGGAACATACAGAAGATGCTGTCAGTTTGACAACAGTAAGTTTTTGTGTTTGGGGATGGAAGCTGGAAAAAGATGCGAAAACAACAGAGAACTGAGGCCCATTTGTAACTTTCTATCCTTTCATTTACCATTTAGTGTTTTTTTGTGCAGTTTTTACCCTCATCAAACCCATACAGCAATGACAAATACGAGTACCAGTCCAAAACCACCCAGAATGTCACAAATAATCCCACAGCATAACTCAGCATCATTCTGTCTTCTCTAATTTCCTCTAGTTTTATGATCAAAGATCCTGCAGTGACACACTGAAATGTGCACAATGCCTCAAGGAGGCTTAGAAGACAGAGTAAAGGAAGTAAAATATTCTTTATTGCTGTGATGAGGCTGCCCTTGTTTGTGAGACTCACAATTCGGATCTTCTGTCTGAGAAAAAAGAAGATTACAACAAATCAGAGTCATCTGAGCCGAACAGGAGAGGCAAACTTCAGTGGGTTGGGTCTGAAGGTCAAAAAGGTTTAGGGCCAGCGAGATGTAATCACACAGAAAACAACACAATAATGTCCAAAACATAAAATGGCCATACTTATCTCACAAACGTCATTATTAACTGATTGTTTCTATTAGTTTATTTCTATTAGACGAGAGGTCTGTAATTTTCATCATATGTACAGGGAGTGCAGAATTATTAGGCAAATGAGTATTTTGTCCACATCCTCTTCATGCATGTTGTCTTACCCCAAGCTGTATAGGCTCGAAAGCCTACTACCAATTAAGCATATTAGGTGATGTGCATCTCTGTAATGAGAAGGGGTGTGGTCTAATGACATCAACACCCTTTATCAGGTGTGCATAATTATTAGGCAACTCCCTTTCCTTTGGCAAAATGGGTCAAAAGAAGGACTTGACAGGCTCAGAAAGGTCAAAAATAGTGAGATATCTTGCAGAGGGATGCAGCAGTCTTAACATTGCAAAGCTTCTGAAGCGTGATCATCGAACAATCAAGTGTTTCATTCAAAATAGTCAACAGGGTCGCAAGAAGCGTGTGGACAAACCAAGGCGCAAAATAACTGCCCATGAACTGAGAAAAGTCAAGTGTGCAGCTGCCAAGATGCCACTTGCCACCAGTTTGGCAATATTTCAGAGCTGCAACATCACTGGAGTGCCCAAAAGCACAAGGTGTGCAATGCTCAGAGACATGGCCAAGGTAAGAAAGGCTGAAAGACGACCACCACTGAACAAGACACACAAGCTGAAGCGTCAAGACTGGGCCAAGAAATATCTCAAGACTGATTTTTCTAAGGTTTTATGGACTGATGAAATGAGAGTGAGTCTTGATGGGCCAGATGGATGGGCCCGTGGCTGGATTGGTAAAGGGCAGAGAGCTCCAGTCTGACTCAGACGCCAGCAAGGTGGAGGTAGAGTACTGGTTTGGGCTGGTATAATCAAAGATGAGCTTGTGGGGCCTTTCCGGGTTGAGGATGGAGTCAAGCTCAACTCCCAGTCCTACTGCCAGTTTCTGGAAGACACCTTCTTCAAGCAGTGGTACAGGAAGAAGTCTGCATCCTTCAAGAAAAACATGATGTTCATGCAGGACAATGCTCCATCACACGCGTCCAAGTACTCCACAGCGTGGCTGACAAGAAAGGGTATAAAAGAAGAAAAACTAATGACATGGCCTCCTTGTTCACCTGATCTGAACCCCATTGAGAACCTGTGGTCCATCATCAAATGTGAGATTTACAAGGAGGGAAAACAGTACACCTCTCTGAACAGTGTCTGGGAGGCTGTGGTTGCTGCTGCACGCAATGTTGATGGTGAACAGATCAAAACACTGAGAGAATCCATGGATGGCAGGCTTTTGAGTGTCCTTGCAAAGAAAGGTGGCTATATTGGTCGCTGATTTGTTTTTGAATGTCAGAAATGTATATTTGGGAATGTGGAGATGTTATATTGGCTTCACTGGTAAAAAATAAATAATTGAAATGGGTATGTATTTGTCTTTTGTTAAGATGCCTAATAATTATGCACAGTAATAGTCACCTGCACACACAGATATCCCCCTAAAATAGCTCAAACTAAAAACTATTTCCAAAAACATTCAGCTTTGATATTAATGAGTTGTTTGGGTTCATTGAGAACATGGTTGTTGCTCAATAATAAAATTATTCCTCAAAAATACAACTTTCCTAATAATTCTGCACTCCCTGTACACTTCAACTGTGAGAGACAGAATGTAAAACAAAAAAATCAGGAAGTCACATTATATGATTTTTAAATAATTTATTTGGGTAATAATGCAGAAATTACGTTTTTAGCAGCTGTAAACAAGCAAGAATTCTGTAACCTGGCCTGCCAGCCTCGTCCTAATTCTGCAGAGAAATAATCTGGTAACTCACAGGCAGAGGCACATGAGGGGCGGGACTAGTCAGCTCAAAAATAACCAATAAGAAAAAAGACAGAAATGCCGACTGTTCCATGCGACGCTGTAGTTTTTTAGCTGTAGTGAAACAAGGCGTCTGGCAACGGTGCAAACATCTTTTTTTTATTTTTTAGAAGAAATACTTTTCTACTTGTGGTTTTAAAGACATTCAATAGCCGCAGTGAACTCCGCTGCTGATAAACAACGAAGACGTTGTTTATGAGAAACTGAGCGTCGCTGTGTGTGACGTCCGCGACGTTGTAGATTTTTAGCTGTAGTCAAAAATGGTGTCTGGTGACAGCGCAGGCATCTTTCTTTAGCATGAAGGCTTTTAGCGCTTCTACTTGTTGTTTTAAAGATGTGCCCAAGTCACTTAGAACAGAGGAAAGAGCCGCAGTGAACTCCACTTCAGTCGCCATGTTTATGACAAACTCGGCGTTATGGTTGTGACGTACGCTACTCAGCGCTGATTGGCTCGGTTAGAACAGGGTGGGGTACACAGGGTGGGGTTGTTTGAATAGGAGAGTTCCCAGACCCTTTCTCTGTGCAGAATTAAACAGAGGAGTCTGGCAGGCCAGGCTAAGAATTCTGGCCCACACCAACCTGTTAAAGACTCCTGTCCACACTTTCAAACAGCCACACTGCAATTTCCACCAAGACCATAGAGCTGTCTAAAGACACCAGGGATAAGACCGTACGTGACGGCGATGAGCCAATCTACACGCAGCTTAGTGAGAAAAAAATCAACTGATTGCATAAATCTAAGATCAGTGGCAATCTCCCTCGACCTGAGGCTTAGTGCAAGATCTCACCTTGTGTGATACAAATGATCTTGAGAACAGTGAGGAAACAGCTCAGAACTACACAGGGGAGCTGAAGAGAGTTGGGACCACAGGAACAAAGGCTGCTAGTAGTAACAGACCACATAGCAGAGGTGTGACCAAGTCACTGCTTTGCAAGTCACAAGTAAATCAAAAGTCTTTCTAATCAAGTCTCGAGTCAAGTTCAAGTCAAAGACAACAAAGTCCAAGTCGAGTCCAAAGTCAATGATCTGGAAGTCCAAGTCAAGTCCAAGTCTTTAACTTTGAATTTTCAAGTCATAATCAAGTCATCTGTCCAACTTCAATGTAATGACAATGATAATAAATAAATTCCAGAAAAAAGCTTCTTAAAGCTTCATTTATTTGCTCAAACAAGCAGAAAGTGCAACTGAACTTGATTATAAACAAAGTGCTGCTGCACTTAGCAGAACAACATCAAACCCAGAACGAAGAAGGATTTATGATTTTTGTCCATGTCGTGTCACTTTTGTGCTAAAATATCAAATATGCTCAAGTCATCATCAAGTCAACAGATGCAAGTCGATTCAAGTTGCAAGTCATTGGCGTTCATGTCCGAGTCAAGTCTTTACAGATTTTATCAAGTCAGAAGTCATTAAAATAATGACTCGAGTCTGATTTGAGTCTAAGTCATGTGACTCGTGTCCACACCTCTGCTACATAGTCATGGATTAAAATGAGTGGCTACATAAAAAGCATTTCAAAGTTCTGGAGTGGCCTAACCAGTCTCCAGACCTCCGTCCAATGAAGAATCGGTGGAGGTGAAAGTACCTGGTTCCCATCAACAGCCCGAAAACATCATAGCTCTAGAGAAGATCTGCATGGAAGAATGGGCCAAAATACCAGCTACAATATGTGCAGATCTGGTGAGGACCTAGTAAATGTTTTAACTAAGTCATTGCTAACCAAGGGTATTAAGGTGAACCTTCATTATTGACCAAATACTTTTTTTCTGCATCGTTTACAAATAAATTACTTTTTAAAAATCACACAATGTGATTTCCGGAATTTTTTTTACATTCTTCTCACAGATGAAGTGTACTGTAGCTATGATGAAAGCTACAGACCTGTCATGTTTAGTGGGATAACTTACACATCAGTGGCTGCCAAATATTTTTTGTCACAATTGTGTGTGTGTGTGTGTGTGTGTGTGCGCGCGCGCGCACTGGTGCGAAGAGTTAATGTCAGAGTAAGAGGTTTTTGACTTAGTCATTGATATTCTGAACTGTTTACACCCTCTGAAATGACAGTGACATAAATAATAATAATAATAATAATAAATTTTATTTAAAAGCACCTTTCAGAACACCCAAGGTCACTTGACAGAAAATACATTAAAACAGCAATAAAACAATAAAACGCAAAGAAAAAAAAACAAAGACACAGAAACACACTTTAGGGACAGTTTTCATGTCAGGACAGGACAGATGCTTCACCTCCAGAGAGAGTTTTGAGTGCAAGAACACAAAACATTTAAACTAAATCCTAAAAAGCACTGCTTTTACTATTTAGAGGGTTTTTTTTTTTCATTTAAACACACACACACACACACACACACACACACACACACACACACACACGCACGCACACGCACACACACATGCGTATTACGCTACAACACCCTCTGTGTGAATTCACTTCAGATTCCTTTAGCACCTTCGGCTCTTATGCAACAGCCACCCCCTCCGTGAGAGCAAGTGTGTCTGCATGAGTGACGCACAGGAGGGAGACGACACTTCATCCTACACATGCACATATTAACTCACACACACATGCTCTCACACACACACACACACACACACACACACACACACACACACACACACACACACACACACACACACACACACACACACACACACACACACACACAGACTCACAGGAACAGAGGAGCGCTGTCACCGAGGCATGCAGCCCCGCCAGTGTAATAAACCTCACACAGCAGCTCAGAGAGGCAGAGTGCAGGCAAGACATCAAGATGTGAAGATGGAGACAGACGGAGAGAGCAGCAAGATCAACGGATGGGAAGAGGAGATGAAAGAGAGGAGGGAAGCTGGTTTGGACTTTAATGGTCATTTTATTTAAGGGTAATAGTTCTGCCTGAGGACAGCAGACCGAACATAAAGACACAACCGGTAAGTTTGTTGGCTGGGATTATTAAAACAGTGTGCATGAAATTTGGAAAGTAGTTTTGTAAAAATAGATATGTGGGTGGTTTTCAGTGTTACTTCTTACAGTAATTTTAGTGGCGCTGATTTGATCGTATTGTGGGATTATTTTCTCTCTTTTTTTGTAAGAATGTACTTATTCAAAAAGGAGTAATCTCATGTAGATTCAATTTATTATTTAATTTGAATTAAACTTTCATTAATACCTGGATGTTTGTGTTGAAACATAACCTGTACTCTCTCTTCTAATAAAATATTAACACACAGTTTTGTGTTTTACCACTTGTAGTATTTTTTTTCTCTGGTGCTCAATAAAACCATGAAACAAAAGGTGAGAACTTGTGTAACACAATTTTTTGGCCAGTGCCGGCTGTGTCCCGACCACTTTTTGTTGTCAGGTAGGTTCCTCCTCCTCACGAGGATAAAAGAAGCACAGCAGTTGCCATGGCAGCACTGGAGGAACAGAGGAGACATTGCAACAGTCTCCTTTCACGCAATCTTACCACAAGCCCACAAGCTGGTGCCTACGTCCTCCCAACATCAGATCATTCACTCCCAACCCAGGAAGCCCCAGCAAAAGGTCTCCCAGTGGTCAGAAAACCATTCAAGATGAATCCAGAGAAAATCTGCCAAGCATGCCCACATCCTGGTTTTAGTACCTCACTCATACAGCTCTCTCCTCATCTGCTCTCTGCACCCACACATGCCTGCCTACACAGAACGGAGCGTGGTGAGCATCCTATGGAGACATCTAACTGAAGTCTCGCCAAAACCAGGTGGTTGTAAAAGACGGAGAAAACATAGCTGCCTTTCTATACGTGACACTCTGTTCTCATTAAAAAAAAGCAGCCAGAATTGAAAAATACACTACAAACACTTTTTTTTTTTTTGTCTGTTTACACACCGTCAATCAAACAGACTAAAGCTACAGGTTCTCTCTGAAGACACGTGTGAGTGTGGCAGAGCTTCTGCAGGAAAGTCGCACGAGTCAGAGAAGAAAACAAAGGGTTGTACAGTAAAGCGCTGTGATTGTTCTTGCATTTACTTTCACATCTGAGAAAAGTGATGTGAGGTTTTCTTGTTACGTCCACACACTTGCCTTTGTGAATACCGAGAGTCGACCCTATCTCCCACGCATGCAGCATTAATAGAAACACCAGCAGGGCTGCAGCAGGCAGTAGGTGCCCTCCCTAAATATCACTCTCGCCGCACGGATCTGTGCAGCAGAACCGTGTAATCGCTGGCATTTCAAAGACTCCCCAGACCAAAACCAACCAAATCTTTCTGAAGATTTTAAAAACATTAAGAAATAAAAGGCTTTTCCACACAGAAAAGATTCATAATACGACTGGCCATGAATTCATATCTTTAATTAAAATGATACGCAGCCACAAAAGTAAGAAAAAGTGACACAAATTACAGATATTTTACAAACAAAAGGACTCGTGTGAACAAAACAAAAAGAATGAATTCACTTAAAAAAACGATTCCCTTCTGTTAGTTTACTGGAATCAGACTGAGCACTAATGGTGGCTGTTTAGTGACTCATATACAGCTTTTATACAATACACGTCTCTCTCTCTGACAGCCACACACACACACACACACACAATCGGTGTGTCTGTCCATCCCTCCCACTACCCCACAGTGTGTTACATAAGTCTTACATAAACGCTTCATCAACACTTATTTTGACGAGGAAACCTCACAAACGCAAATTTATGAGATCCATCAAACACAGCAAAGTATTTCTGTGACATCTGGATAGGAGCAGGCATCAGGAATCCCAAGGAAATTTCAATATTTCAGTCTGATAACTACACACACAGAGGAATGTATACAGCAGAAATGGTGCATGCACAGGTGTGACACCTATCAGTCCAGAGAATTTAGAATTTGCATTTATATTATTGCACTGCGGTATAGCTATAGGTGTGTGTGAGGTCTGCAACAGAGCATGCTCAGATTGAACAGATTTGAATCAGTCCTGAGAAACTCTCCAACATACATCTGCTGCTGCGCCGACGCATGACGTTACAGTCAATAAAAAAAGAGTCTTTGCACCAGTTTCATTGCATTTCTTGTTGCTGGATTTCTTTGTGCATTTTTTTATGTTTTAGTCTTTATTTAGTAGCAGTGCGTCGGGTTTTGGAAAAGAGCACCCTCATTGTAGGTCTTTGCTGTTTTAAAAACACTCTGGACCTGGTTTTATTTATTGTTTTAGTCTGTTTATTCATGGTGTTGCAGGAGTCAGGATGCGTACTGACAGCCCTATCAGAAAGAGCAGACCCGACAAGTCTTAAGCTGATCCCTAGAGGGAAAAACACGAGAAAGCAACGGTGAATAGAGAGTTGACTTTACTGTGCTGACATGGAACGGATATATGAGTGCAAACGGGCGAAAAGAAAGACAGGGAGGAAGAGTGGCTTGGATGTCTGAACTGCAAATGATCAACGACAGACATTTATATTAGCAGTGAGGCTGGTGGAAATGGTGAAATCTCTCCTGCTTTTATCCTGAGACAGTGAACGCACCACGGAGTGGGATATACCTGTGTGCGAAGGCCAGGGCATTCTGTGTCGGTTCTGGACGAGGGTCTGAGTTGGGAGTTGTGTCGCAGATGTCATCTGTACCATTGATACTTTCCATGGGTGGGGTCACAGGGGTCAGAGGGGAGGAGAGTTCACCTGCCGGAGACTCCTACAGGTGGAAGAAAGTGTGACTGTCAGACCAGACAGTTTAACAGGCTTTTTTTTTTACACTAAATTAATTTTAAGATCTTTGAATTTTTATTTGCATAAAATAACGATTTGTCACATTCCAGTGCAAGATGACATAAATGATAGAAACAACCCAATGACCAGATTATTGTAAAGGAAACATATTATGTAAACTCATCTTTTGCATCTTTTTGTGCTGCCAGGTGGATCTCTACTGCCTCTATAAAAACTCCAAATGTGAAAAAAAATGTGTTTGTTTTAAGGAATTATGTGCCTAAAACAAGCCATTTCAAAGGTCCCCGTTTGTGATGTCACAAACATAATATTTAAAGTAATATTGAACCACCTCTCATGTGCAAGACAGAGCTACTGCTGGAGGAGCAGCGGCTCCACTACGAGCTCTAGAGCCCTGCACTGGAGCCCTAGGCCCGGGGGTCAGCCCGGCCCGACGGCCCGAGGGCCGGGCTTCGGGCCGATGACTGTGTAATTACCTCGGACATGGGCCGGGCGCCTTTATTTTTAATCAAATTCATAAAAAAAACTGAAACACTTGAACGCAGCAGCACCTGCCTGCTTCTCACGCACTGTTAGCTCAGTTAAGGTCTGTGTGGTTTATTTATGCGCATACATAAACAAATTCTCAAACTGCTGATTGAAACATGTGCCCCTATTCTAACATGCCATTTTATGTCCACTTTGATATGTCAGAAACCATTCGTTTATTCTCATGAAAACGACAGCATTCAATTTTTCTGTGAATAAATTCGCTCTGCAGTTAAAAAAAATACAGCATTCATTGCTGGTTTTTTTCTAACTGGAGAGCGCATTTTCAGAGCGGCAGATTAAATTTACAAACTCTATATTAATTGGGGGTGTTTACTTAATCTGCCGCTCTGAAAATGCGCTCTGCAGTTAGAAAATTAGAATGCTGCTTTTTTTCTAATCGCACAAGAGCGCATTTTCAGAGCAGATTAAATTTACAAACGCATCCAATTAATATAGTGTTTGTAAATTTTATCTGCCACGAAAATACGCTCTGTTAGGAAAAAAAAGCTGCACTGAATGCTGTTTTTCTTTCTTTTCTTCTTCTTCTTTTTTTTTTTTTACTGCAGAACGCTTCTCACAGATAATTAGAATGCTGAGCGTTCTATCACGCTAAAACATTATGAAAGGTTAAAAAAAAGTCGGGCTCGGGCTCGGGTCGGGCCATAGAATCCCGAAAACCTTTTCGGACCGGGTCGGGCTGGGGCTCCATCTCCTCGGGCCGGGCATGGGCTCAGATTTTAGGCCCGTGCAGGGCTCTAACGAGCTCCTCTCGGATGTCGGCGCTTCTCTGCCAATAGCAGCCTATCAGAGGATGGGTGGGCGTGGTCAGTAATGGCTCATTGGGGAAGATACTGAAACGGTCAACAATAAAACTGCTGAGAATTCTTCATGTAAGAGATTTAAAGCAAAGAACTTCATAAACATGTTATGTATATACCATAGGACTATTATAACTTCAGGAAAAAAACGTCTTTAACATGTCTCATCAGATCCCAATGTTCAATTTCCTCTAACAACAGACTCAAATTTAAAAATATTCCCTCCAGTGCCATAAAAAATCTACTGTACAAAAGAATAGCTTGAGTGACCTTGATGACACATTACGTTGTATGGTCATAGGTCATACATTAACTGAGCTGTGGTGCGACAAATTTGTACATCTTGCTGAACAGTTCTTCATTCCTACAGGAAATTCCTCAAGTTTGCTCTGGTGCAGGCAGATTACAGAAGTACAGATTATTTCTTATCTTTATATCCCATACAAGCGCAGAATTATACAAGAGACAAATCATTTAGCTGCTGCGCTCACATAAAACAAAGCTATTAACACTCTGGGCTTGAGCACAATACAGTAACACAATGACACAGCCTCAGTGTCTCTAATGGGTAAAAAAAAAAAGAGAAGAGATAAGACGAAGATTATGTCTGGTTTTACATTCTGCGCTCCAAATTCATTAGTTTGTTATTTATTATCTGTTCATGATGCATTTCCACTGGGGCCTAGCCTTCTGGGACCGGCACAAAGCCTTTAGTTCTGGTTATGTTTGATACTTTTTAGGGTTCATTTAGAGGAGAGGATTTGGAGAAGGAGAGCCAGCTGGCATGTGGGTGAAAACAGTGACTTACAGTGATAGAGAAGAACAGACAGCTTCAGTGGTCCTCACAGTTACAGCCTGTCTGCACTTTCAGCTCTATTAGCGGTGTTGTGTCGTGTGGCACATGCAGCAGCCTTCAGCTCCTGGTGAGAGTGAAGCTGTCCTCTGCCTCATTAAAAAGACAGCCGCACATGGGAAGGTGCTGTAATATTGCAGCCCAGGTGGACCGCATCATCACAAGCATGCAGACCGCAGCACAGCGTAAGGCTTCTCACCTTCCCTCCACACTGAACAGATAAGAATTTGAAGCCTGTTAGTAGCCTTTAGATTGAAAACAGATTTCTCTGGGCAATTCTCCCCTGAAACAGGTTCATTCTCCCACAGATGCAGCTAAACTACCCTGCCGGTGCTGCTCCCACACTTCCGTCACAGACACATGCCTGAGAAAGCAGCCGTTGTCTTTTAAACTGGATGGATTGGCCATATGGGTGTCTTCTGTGAAGATTTATAATAGATATGTTGAAGATGGATTGGGTATACAAAAATACAGCCTAGGAGAATTTTCCAAGCATTTTTTAGCTAAAGCTAAAAACCTAAATACACTGCCCAGCCAAAAATAAATAAATCACCACCATGTTGGACCACCTTTAGCTTTGATTATAGCAAACATTCACTGTGGCATAAGCTTCTGCAACGTCACCAGATTTATTTCCATCCATTGTTTCATTATTGTTTCACCAAGATCTTGCATTGATGATGGAAGACTCTGACCGCTGCACAAAGCCTTCTCCAGCAATCTCAAATATTCTCAATGGGGTTAAGGTCTGGACTCTGTGGTGGCCAATCCATGTGAGAAAATGATGCCTCATGCTCCCTCTAACAACTCTTTCACTATTTGAGCCTGATGAATGCTGGCATTGTCAGGCATTGTCATCTTGGAATATGCTCGTACCGGCAGGAAAGATGGAATAACCGGGTCATTCAGTACATTCAAGTAGCCAGCTGACCTCATTCTTGGAGCACATCCTGTTGCTGAACCTAGACCTGACCAACTGCAGCAACCCCAGATCATAGCACTGCCCCCACATGCTTGTACAGTAGGCACTAGGCATGATGGGTGCATCACTCCCATCAGCTTCTCTTCTTACCCTGATGCACCATCACTCTGGAACAGGGTCCACCTGGACTCATCAGACCACATGACCTTCTTCCAATGCTCCAGAGTCCAATCTTAATGCTTCCTAGCAAATTGAAGCCTTTTTTCCAGTTTGCCTCACTGATTAGTGGTTTTCTTACGGCTATTTATATATATATATATATATATATATATATATATATATATATATATATATATATATATATATATATATATATATATATATATATATATATACTTTTCTTTCTTTTTTTCAATTGTATATGCAACTGTTTATTAATGTACATTTCCAACTTCATTATCTATATTCTGTGGAAGTGCAGAGTAGACCTGGCCTTAACATAACCTCGTGGAGGCGGCCATCGGCCGGCACACTGCTGCTAACCACCTAACAGTCTCCCTCTCCTGATAATAACCTTTTACCTTCTTAAACATGGAATGTGCTACTACTAGTTCACTTACTGAATTAATTATATATTCACTAAGACAAAGACAATTAAGTTTATCTCTTGCTAAATAGAACATTTACTAATAAATCACAATGTAGCCATGGAAACACTACTTGGTATATACGGTTTGTTGTTTGTGTTTGTGCGTGCGTGCGTGCGTGCGTGCGTGCGTGCGTGCGTGCGTGTGTGTGTGTGTGTGTGTGTGTGTGTGTGTGTGTGTGTGTGTGTGTGTGTGTGTGTGTGTGTGTCTGCTCTGTCTTCTCGATCCCCAGTGAGTCGTGGTGGATGGCTGCTTATACTGATCCAGGACCCTCTGGAGGTTTCTTCGTGTTAAAAGGGAGTTTTCCTCTCCACTGTCGCTAAATGCTTGCTTAGTAGAGGATTGCTGTAAAGACTCTGACAGTAGTCAGTGACTCGATGCAATCTGCTGGGTTTCTCATATACGAAACTTTTCAATGATGGGCTAAATGAACTGATCTCTATTAGAATGTTTACTTTAGGAAGTGTCTTGAGACGACTCTTGTCGTGATTTGGTGCTATATAAATAAACCGAATTTAATTTAATTGCCTTGTTCTTCAATTTTCCAACAGAAAAGATGTGATGGAGGAAAACATACCTGAGAAGGAGAGGTGGCCATCTCCATCTTCTCCTGACTTTTCTCCTTGGCGAGCCGTGCTGCCTCCTTGTACTCTGCAAACTTCTCTGCAAACTGAACAAAGTTTTAAAAATTCAGGCACAATTATGTGCAAACGATTATAGCTACTCACTGACAAAGTAAAACTAGGCCAGTGATTCTTCCTGTAACTGGAAGTTTAGTTTCACTAAATTTGATGAGCTATTTTAGTCAGAACGTACACACACACACACACACACACACACACACACACACACACACACACACACACACACACACACACACACACACACACACACACACCCCTGATGTGATACTCATCACTCTGCTCTTCCAGGTTTACAGCATAATCTGGTATATACGGTACGGTGGAGGGCTGAGTGCTGAGGAAATCTAATAGTCGACTCCACTGGAGCCGGTCTTGCGGCTGCCATTAGAGGAGCTGCATAAAGTAACTTAATATCATTTGACTTCACCACAACGTAACAGTTCTTCCGACTTATGTGCCAGAGAGCTGCGGAAGTGTTTGGATATCCGAGAAGGAAGTTAAATTATTAAAACTTTCATTCAAAGAAATGACTTTCTAATCAGCTGTTTAAACTGAGTATTGATCCCACTCAGTTGTAATTTATATTTAATCTGTAAAATAAACCTGCCACACCTGCAATTCATTTTAAGAATAATGAATAAAATAGTATTTCAGTTATTAATTTTCCTCTTTTTAGAAAATCCAAGCACTAAGGATAAAAAAAGTTTGTACAATCTGAAATGTTAGAAATCTTTATAAGCTTCATTACAGCCGTTTTATAAGAAAAATCATAAAATGGCTGATGTGGAAAAAAAACAGCAAAATAAAGCTTCTTTTCTAAACCATTCTTCACAATACAAAAGAAAACGTTATGTTTTGTATTTTGTTCTCTATTAGTCATGGAACGCAGTCTTGCCATCCCCTAGTTTGTTTTCTCACTCTCCACATGCAGAGGACGATCACACAACTGTCTCCACAGGATAGAGCTTCACACCATGAGATAATGAACAACATGTGAAATGCACTGAGAGAGAGGTTCAACTGGGAAGAAGAGCTAACACGTCCCGTCTTTATCATCTAATCAATGTTAGCAGCTGCATGAGGAGAGAAAACATCATCTAAAACATGCTGGAAATGCAGAGAATGTAATATAATCAACAGGAAATGACTAACAGGACTAACCGCATTGGTAAGGTGATATAATACCATCAGAAAGTGTGTGTGTGTGTGTTGTAGCGTAATGGAGTTCTGCTGCAGCGTGTGTGTGTGTGTGTGTGTGTGTGTGTGTGTGTGCGTGCGTGTGTGTGTGTGTGTGTGTGTGTGTGTGTGTGTGTGTGTGTGTTCAGCATCTGTACCTTGGACAGATGGTGTTCAGTGGAGAACCCCAGTCCGTAGACGGTGTTTGCTCGGCTGTCGGCCCACTGACCGAACTTTTGTGAAGTCTTTGTGAACGTCATGTTGGGGCTGATGGTGCTGTTGATTATTGCCTGCAACAAAAAGTTCACTCGTTTAGCATTTTTACTTTGTCCACATTCGTTCATGTGAAAAACAAAAGCGTTATGAAAAATAAAACAAAAAGAAGTAATGTTCTCGATTTGCTGCTCGATCTACATTCCTACCCTCACCTATGGTCACAAGCTTTGGGTAATGACCAAAATAATGAGATCACAGACATAAGCGGCCAAAATTAATTTTCTCTGCAGGGGTTTCTCCCTTAGAGATAGTGTAAGAAGCTCAGCCATCCGGGAGAGGCTCAGAGTACAGGTGCTGGCCAGTAAATTAGAATATCATCAAAAGGTTGAAAATATTTCAGTAATTCCATTCAAAACGTGAAACTTGTACATTATATTCATGCAATGCACACAGACCAATGTATTTCCAATGTTCATTACATTTAAATTTGATATTCATAAGTGACAACTAATGAAAACTCCAAATTTGGTATCTCAAAAAATTAGAATATTCTGAAAAGGCTGAATATAGAAGACACCTGCTGCCACTCTAATCAGCTGATTTACTCAAAACACCTGCAAAGGCCTTTAAAAGGTCCCTCAGTCTTGTTTTGAAGGCACCACAATCATGGGGAAGACTTCTGACTTAACAGCTGTCCAAAAGACAATCATTGACACCTTGCACAAGGAGGGCAAGACACAAAAGGTGATTGCTAAAGAAGCTGGCTGTTCGCAGAGCTCTGTGTCCAAGCACATTAACAGACAGGCGAAGGGACGGAAAAAATGTGGTAGAAAAAAGTGTACAAGCTCTAGGGATAACCGCACCCTGCAGAGAATTGTGACGACAAACCCATTCAAAAATGTGGGGGAGATCCACAAAGAGTGGACTGCAGCTGGAGTCAGCGCTTCAAGAACCACCACGAGGAGACTCATGAAAGACATGGGATTCAGGTGTCGCATTCCGTGTGTCAAGCCACTCTTGAACAAGAAACAGCGCAAGAAGCGTCTCGCCTGGGCCAAGGACAAAAAGGACTGGACTGATGCTGAGTGGTCCAAAGTTATGTTTTCTGATGAAAGCAAGTTCTGCATTTCCTTTGGAAATCAAGGACCCAGAGTCTGGAGGAAGAGCGGAGAAGCACAGAATCCACGTTGCATGAGGTCCAGTGTAAAGTTTCCACCGTCAGTGATGGTGTGGGGTGCCATGTCATCTGCCGGTGTTGGCCCACTCTGTTTCCTGAGGTCCAGGGTCAATGCAGCCGTCTACCAGGAAGTTTTAGAGCACTTCATGCTTCCTGCTGCTGACCAACTTTATGGGGATGCAGACTTCACCTTTCAACAGGACTTGGCACCTGCACACAGTGCCAAAACCACCAGCACCTGGTTCAAGGACCATGGTATCCCTGTCCTTGATTGGCCAGCAAACTCGCCTGACCTTAACCCCATAGAAAATCTATGGGGTATTGTGAAGCGGAGGATGCAATACGCTAGACCCAACAATGCAGAGGAGCTGAAGACGACTATCAGAGCAACCTGGGCTCTCATAACACCTGAGCAGTGCCACAGACTGATCGAGTCCATGCCACGCCGCATTACTGCAGTTATTGAGGCAAAAGGAGCCCCGACTAAGTATTGAGTGCTATACATGCACATTCTTTTCATGTTCATTCTTTTCAGTTGGCCAACATTAGAGAAACAAACATTTTTTCATTGGCCTTTAGAATATTCTAATTTTCTGAGATACCAGATTTGATGTTTTCATTGGTTGTCACCTATAAATATCAAAATTAAACGTAATAAACATCGGAAATACATTGGTCTGTGTGCATTGCATGAATATAATGTACAAGTTTCACGTTTTGAATGGAATTACTGAAATATTTTCAACCTTTTGATGATATTCTAATTTACTGGCCAGCACCTGTAGAGCTGCTGCACCTCCACATCGAGAGGAGCTAGTTGAGGTGGCTTGGGCATCTAGTTAGGATGCCTCCTGGACGCCTCCCTAGTGAGGTTTTTCAGGCACGTCCAACCGGGAGGACCTGAAGGCAGACCCAGGACACGCTGGAGAGACTAGGTCTCTCTGCTGGCCAGGGAACAACTTAGGATTCTCCCGGAGAAGCTGGCCCAAGTGGCTGGGAAGAGGGAAGGCTGGGCCTCCCTGCTAAGGCTACTGCCCCCACAATCCGACCCTGGATAAGTGTAGGAAGATGGATAGCAGAAGTAATGCGAGAGTTAGGTTACACAAAAATAATTAAAATATCTTGAGAATTTCAAACTCTAATACCGTATTTCAGAATGTTTTTTACACAGAATTTCAATTTTTGGCAAAAGAATGTTTTTTTTATTTAAAATGTGTTTAATTTAAACTGTTTCCATCATCAGTGAGCCACCACAATAAAATAACTATGAAAAGTCCCTAATTTAGCTGAAAAAAGACAGTAAACACATTTATTCAAACAACTAACCAAATTATCAAGGTCAGCTTACATGTATCACTAATAAAAAACATCAGCCAGTTACATCTTTCTCATAATATATTTTCTTATCGACATCTAAATGTTTGTATACACCCTGCAAGTCAGTCAACACTTCACCATCACTAATTCACTTTACTTAAAGGTGTGGTTTACTCATTTATTCAATACATGTGCAGTGTTCTCTAGTGTAAATCAATGCCTTATGAGTAATAAAAAAAAAAAGCTATGATGCTCCTGTTCTGAAATGCAGATGTTTGCCGGTGCAGAGGTGGGTTGAATTTAGCAGAATTGCTCATCATTATTAATGATATGCACACGCCTCGCTTCTGATTGCTAACAAAAGATGTTCAGCCATGTTGCAAAGTCACTATCACTAGGATGCTCTCCGCTCTCTCTCCACGCTGGATTTTGTTTTTAAAAGCCCTCCTGTGGGCAGGAGCAAGCCGAGAAGGGCGAGGCCATTCACAGTCTGACATCACAGTGTGAGGATTTTCAAATTCCAGCATTTCACCATCTATTTTTAATCAGAAGCTAATGCAGAAGATAGGTGTAGGAGGCTGTTTTCGTGTTCAGCCTGTATGGAAAACTCAGAGTGACTGAAATATAATCAGAAATTAAAATTAAAATAGTTTTTTCAGTCAGCCACACCTTTAACTAACGTCACACACAGTTAATATCTAATACCATATCTAATAAACTAGGTAGCATGTCACCAGGTTTTGTTTGGTAATTTCAACACACAAGCCAGTGTTATGGTTGTAAGAATGTGCTGAAAAAAATGTTTTGTTATTTTTTTCCGATCAAGACTTCAAAAAGGAGTTTTGCTTTTAATTTATAAGAACCAGAAATAAATGTTTGACACATCATTTTAGATAATTCAGCTGTTTTTGTGATTTAGAACCACACTGATTACTTCATATTTACAGATTAAACTAAAAAAATTAGGATTATAGTGCAACGTCCATTTATTTCCATAATCCAATTTAGACTGAGTGACCATCTAAAGGCTCGGGAACCCTTTGCAGGTGTTTTGGATTCATTCACTGATTAGAGCGTGGCACTTTGAGCCTAGAATATTGAACCTTTTCACAATATTCTAATTGTCTGTGATATTGAATGTGGGGTTTATAAACTGTACATTTTTTGGGTTCGTTAATTACTTCATTACATTTTCTGTAAAGTTTCCATAATTTCTAAATGTTGCTGCTAGGTCTATTTGTTTTTAGTGATTTTAAAATCTTGTGTTCTGAGATTTTTGTTGTGTTTTAGGGACACTGCGCAAAAGTTCACCTACACAAACCTCTACATTCTCAGACCCAGTTGGCTCCACGCTCTTATTGCTCTCTGAGTGTTTGTTTCCTTTGAGCCTTTTTCCTCCCGTCTGTTTTTCTGCACCTGTGCTTCGCCCAGTCTTTAATCTGCCTGTAGCCTTGCCGAACTGCCTCCATTACATCGAGCCCAGTAGGATGCTGAGATCTCTAATGAAGATATACTCAAGTATTAGAGTTGACTTTTCACACACAAATGCACAGAAGCAATGAAGCATGAGTACAGGCCATCCTGCAAATCTGAGCTCTTTTATGACGTGTCTGCTCGTAAGTTTTCAGTGCAGAGCTTATTAACAATCTCATGGATCACAGTGCCTCTAAAACCTCCTGGAAGGAGGTGATGAAGAGTGGTGACATAATCACAATGAAACTTCTTTCAATAAAACCCCCTCAGGGCATAAGTTAAAAACATTGATGCAACGGCTGAACCAGCGGCCCACCTTGGTGCCGTCCAGGCTGATGATGCGGTAGACATTGCGCGTGCTGTCGTAGAAGTAGGAAACGGTGACGGCGTGCTTGCTGGCCGGCAGCCAGTTCTTCTTGGTGTTGGGGTCGATCTGGAAGACGTGGGCCCTCGTGCTGTAGATGGGCTGCTCCCTGAAGGGAACAAAGAAGAAGTGGTGAACCTCTTTGTGCCGCAACACCAGGGTCTCGCCAAGACCACCACCAGCACTGAAACCCCTACTGCCCACGGGGGAGTCAGATCGTCCCGGCAACCTGATCACTAACTCGCCATCCTCCATGATCACACCTCAGAAAGCGGTTTCTGAGGGTTTGTAAAAAAAAATCAAGAACGTCCTGCAAAACTACATCACTTGCACACAAGTTGCGTTAATAGCTCACGGTTCTTCTCACACATTTCCACTTGAGTTTAAAAAGCAGCCGACTGAATGCAACAGAAACTCTCCCAGTGTGTGTGTGTGTGTGTGTGTGTGTGTGTGTGTGTGTGTGTGTGTGTGTGTGTGTGTGCGCCTGTGTAAGGCAGCAGCGTCTCTCTGTTCAGATAAGGGAATGCCTGCAGCTCTGAGAGAGGGTCACACAGGGGAACACAGGAGGGGATCGGAGTGGGTTTCAGGCTAAATATAACCAGTAGGACACAGATAACTACAGTAGACACACCCTGCAGAGCTGCAGTTTCCACATAAACACACACTGTGTATGAACATGCACAAACTGGGACTTTAACGTGTAGGAATTTAAAAAGCACATTAAGTGGGTTTCATGTGTAAACTAATAAAACTTGTGGTGGGAAAACGGACGAGTTCAGATTTAAAACACACTCCTGAGTCCTGAGTCACTAAATCCTTCATCTTCTCCCCTCTCAGTTTGTTCTTCTACTGTCCTCATTTATTGCTGCATTGTTGGGAATTCTTGGATAATTTCTACATTCAGCACACACACACACACACACACACACACACACACACACACACACACACACACACACACACACACACACACACACACACACACACACACACACACACACACACACACAGACTCAAAGTGCAGGGTGCTGAGGGAGATATTCTGGGCTGGCAGAGCTGGCAGAACATGAGATAGAGAAGTGCTTACACTGCACTGTGGGGGTGATGGGGGACATCAAAGGCCTACTGTATAAATGATTATTAAAATTCAACAGCAGCACCCCTCCTGTGTGTGATTAGCCCAGACTGGGGGAAGAAAAGTCAAAACACGAAGACAGGGAGACGGAGAGGTGTGCTAGACAGGCATCGAAGGAGAATGACGGCGAGTCAGAGAGTGAATCTGGGATGATTAATGCCGCTCCACAAAGCTGCTTGTGGAGTGCTGCGAGCGAATTATCATAATCATCGACAGCAGCGTAAGTGGCGGTACTGTGAGTCATTTCAGATCTCTTCCAGCACACACATCGCGCAGGCTCGGCCTGTTCGGTTGATCTGTGCAGTAGCTGCTTGGCGACTGAAGAGGATTTTACAAAAAGTATTATTATTGCATAATGTTGACTGGGCTGTGGCAAATGTGGCCATGCCTGTGGTTGGATTCTGTGTATGGAAAAGACAGCAGTGTTCTTGAGCATTTTAACATAAATGCTTCTGCCAAAGAGTTTGTTTCCAAATCAACGCCCACCAGTTGTCAAAAAAGCAACAATTACTCCTCCAGCTGAACTTTGAAAAGAGAGCAGATGAATGATGGACGATGAATACGGCTGAATAGTGATCTCCAATTCTGGTTTTGTTTCTTTTCTTCAGAAATTGCATATTTGAGAAAAGCAGCCATCATGCAGCTGATTTTACAAGGATTCTGGCTCCTCCAACAGCTCAGTTACACAGATTTACTTCAACCTTTGTTGATCTGCTTGTACTTTAGATGTGAACTCAATGCTTTCTAAAAATAGACACATGTATGCTGAGAAAGAAAGAAGAAAAGGCGGAAAAGCAAGTGTGTGTGTGTGTGTGTGTGTGTGTGTGTGTGTGTGTGTGTGTGTGTGTGTGTGTGTGTGTGTGTGAGAGAGAGAGAGAGAGAGAGAGAATCTGAGAATGTGCCTGGATATGAGGGAAAAAAGAAAATCAAGAGAAATTAAATTAAAAGTAAAAAAAACAATTTGTAAAAAAGATGAGAGGATGAAGAAGAAAGAGGAGGATGAGGAGGTGTTTGGCATGCAGTGTGCTCTGCGTGACACGAGGGCACAGGGTGAATGTTAAAACAGAGGCAGGCAGAGTGAGAGCTGGAGGAAGAAGGATGAGGAAAACCTGGAGGAGGTGATGAATGCAGGGGAAGCTGGAACGATGATGAATCCACCCATCTTCTGGGAGCAGGGAGTGGGAAGCTCCACACTGCTCCTTACTGTGGTAAAAGCAATTATGTGGAGTGAGGCTGTGTGCTGCTTGAGTCTGAACTTTAACAGTCTCCAGCAGAAAGCTAATGGAAGCTTTGGAAAGCTGCACGAATATGAGGAAAATAATGTCACCAACTTCTGTTGAAAGATGACGATAATAAAGAATAAAATGCTGTTTAGGTGTAGCTGTTTGAATTTTAGACAACAGATGTGTAGAGAAATTAATTATAAATGCCACCAATAGTTAGTTTTGACTGTAATTTTTCCCATTTGGTTAACTTTCACTGAAAACAAAGCATTTTTCCTCTAATATTACAAAATAAGCATGTTTTCACATCAGACTTATGCACTTATTAACTGGTTTTCATAGGATCATCTGCCAGCTATTCCCTCATAGCATTAAAGGGGACATATTATAAAAAGAAATCACCTTTTGTATCCTTTTGCGCTGCCATGTGGGCCTCTACTGCCTCTATAAACACACCAAATGTTAAAAACCCATCCATCTGTTTTCTGTCAGTTTGGTTTTAGGAATTAGCGTAAAGCCACCTCTCACATGCCAGAGAGAGCTGCTGCTGGAGGAGCAGCGGCTTTACTCCAAGCCCCTCCTGGCATCGGAGCTTCTCAGCTCATAGCAGCCTCAGCGGGAGGTGGGTGAGAGTGGCCGGTTCCAGCTTGTTTTCTTAAAGGTTGCATTTCATGAAAAATCCACTTTTTGTAGGTTTTTCAATGCTATATTTTAATTTTCTTGTGAAAACCACCCCAACCCCTTTTGGGGCTGCATTCATGCATTTTTCTGTCTCAGCTGTAATTTGGCCGATGTAGAGATTTTTCCTGCAAACGGAAGAAAGTAACCCACTAGCATCACCAGGCATATCTTCTCCCCATGAAGCTGGTCAGGTCTTGGTTCTGAAACTTGGATATTCTGCCAAATTTTTTCTGTGTTGAGGACAAAACACTTCAGTAAAAACCATGCATCCTGTCTACAAAGATGCATAATGGCCAGCACGGATATGTATGTTAGGCAACTATTGTTTGTAACAGACTTGGTAGTCCGGTGGTTAGAGTGCCAAGCCAGGCATTTAAACCCCTGGACTACCAAGACCAATACACAGCAGGCTTGCCTAAGATGCTATTGTTGGTGCATTTTGTCGCAGCGGGTGTGGGCAGAGCTTTGCTGAAACAGACCATTTAATTTCTGGGTATAAATTCAAGCTGATGAAAATAACTCGTATTTGAGATAAATGATTTCTCAATGGTGTCAACTGTAATATTTTATCATATACCGTGCCTACCTTTGCCCTCAAAGGTTTAAGATAGCATGATCTGGAACTTTTAAAGTAACAGAGCCTTGAAATGGCTCATTCTGGAAGGTAGTGAAAATGCCAACAAAGCTTTATGTGAGAGAGATTTAATGTGAAGAACTTCATGAACATGTTTTATATTGGCCGTAGTACTGTTATAACTTAAAGGTGCATGAAGTAAAAATGACATCATGTGGTCAAATGTGGGAACTGCAATCCATGCATCATAACAAAATAGTCCGTTGTCAGCAACTGGTGACAGGTGGATCAGCACCAGAAGATTCTAGATGACAAGTGAAGATGGGTCATACACAGTAAGCTGATGAGTAGATAAATACATTTCACTGTAATATCGAGTTGTTGCCAATTGAAAAAGTAGCTTGAAATATTTTTAGAACTAACTTTGTCTAATTCACTGTTAGCATTGTTAGCTCAGCATTAGCTTCTGGCCATCTTTACACAATATTAGAGTCGTCATAGAGTTGCCATGGCTTCTTGGATGTACAAGAAATGACTTCTGGCCCGCACCTTTTATTGGCTTCTACTCTGTCCACAGCTGTGCTGCTCGATGTTAAAAAATACAAATGCCAGTGCAGATACAGGAAACTTGCAGGCTCAAAAATGAACGTCTCTGGCATCAGGAAGTATGGAGATGGGACAGATTGTAAACAAAGACTATGTCCCACTTTGTCCTTTTTAAAGGAGAAAACCTGCCAAACACCCAGCAAACTGAGAAGGAAATCTGTTTCAATGTAACCTGATTGAGACTGTTCATTCATCACTTCAACGTGAAATTCTCATTTATATATATATATATATATATATATAATTATTATATATATATATATAATATATATATAATATATATATAATTATTATATATATAATATATATAATGTAACTGCTCATGAAGGATATTTTGTTTTTTGTGGAATAAAACGCCATGCTCCAACTGATGTTCAACTGGTTCTTTATCTTCTTGTTACCAGCAAACACCGTGAAAAACTACGGTGAAATGAACAACAATAAACACAAATATTAATTTTAGAAACATAAACTTATAACTCAGATATTAATGCAATACAGATAAATATACAAACACACCGTGTGCGCCTCTCCACTTAATATTCACAAGCAATTTCAGTCCATGTCCACTTTTCTTTATCCGATGTGAGCTTCTTCTGGTCGCTTCTCCGTGCTTGTGTCAGTTAATCATTCGCTCCGCTCGCGCGCACCTTCCAGTGTCAAATTTCAATCCAGCCAGCAGGTGGCGTCAAATCAACAAAGAAATTAAATTAAATATTTCCACAGTTAAATCAAACAAATGACAATGAATAACCACATTTAACTGCGACAGCTACACTGCCACCAAAATTACAATGATTGAAATTCACTACACATTAAAGAACTTTAAAACTTGTAATTTTCAATAAAATAACTATCAACCATAAACCTTTGTTATGAAACACACAGAAATCAGTAACTTGATAAACTCAAATATCACATTTTAATGTTGTATCAAATTTTGTACTTTACTGTAGTTTAGGACTCACTTTTAACCAAAACCACTAGTTTTTGAACAGGTCTCTCCAGAAAAGATAGTTGTCTCAGACGTTCGCCTTTGTTCCCTAAATCTCTTTGACCTACTTGGATCTTAACCTTTCTCACTAAACCATCATCGTCTTCACTGGCTTCAACTACCTTTGCCAATTTCCATTCATTTCTTGGAATGTTGTCTTCCTTTAATATCACTACATCTCCAACTTGAACATTTCTTTTGGGGTTGTGCCATTGTTGCCTCAAACTAATGGTAGTCAAGTATTCTTTGCGCCACCTGCTCCAAAACAGTTCCGTTAAATATTGCACTCTCCGCCACCTTTTTCTGGCATATAAATCTTCACTGACAAATCTACCAGGAGGCGGAAGTGGTACTGATTCTTTCATAGTGAGCAAATGGTTAGGCGTCAAAGGCTCAGCACTCTTGGGATCATTCATTGTGTTAGTAGTGAGTGGACGCTGGTTCAAAATTGACATGGCCTCATAGAAAAAAGTTCTCAAGGAGGTGTCATCTAATCTTCCTGTGGCTTGTGCTAGGACAGAGCTCATGACGTTCCTAACTGTTCGGATCTGGCGCTCCCAAACGCCTCCCCTGTGACTAGCTTCGGGAACATTCATCAGAAAATCACATTGGTTTTTAGCAAGATAAGTAGAAATCCTCTCGTTGTCTAACTCCAACAGACACTTTTTGAACTCGTTCTTTCCCCCTACAAAATTGGTACCTTGGTCAGAACGAATTTGTCTCACTGTGCCCCTGATAGCTATGAAGCATCTTAAAGCATTTATAAATGCGTCAGTGGAGAGATCCTCCAACATCTCAATGTGTACAGCTCTAGAACTTAAACAAGTAAACATCAAGCCATATCTCTTACACTCTTTTCGACCCTGTTTCGTATAGAAGGGGCCAAACACATCAAGTCCAGTGTAGGTGAAAGGTGGTGAAGGATTTACTCTGTCACATGGTAAATCAGCCATGCGTTGTTCTTCAGTTGGTCCACGCACCTTTCTACAAATGACGCATTCTTTAATGAGCTTGGACACTACCTTACTAGCACCTATGATCCAATAACCATTTGCTCTAAGTTCGTTCAGAGTTTGGCCTCTGCCTTGGTGCTGTGTTTTCTTGTGGTAGTGGTCAAGAACAAGCTGAGTGACAATGCCTTCTTTAGGAAGGATTACTGGATGTTTCAGTTCAAATGATGCTGAGGACTTTCTCAACCGTCCTCCTACTCTAAGCAAGTTGTCTACAAGGATAGGATCCAGTTGATACATCTTATGGGCTTTTGGTAGTTTAGCTGTTTTTTGACTAAACCATCTGAGTTCCTCTTCAAAAGCTTCCTTCTGTGCTAGCTGGAAGAGTACAGAAGCAGCCATTTGTCTTTCTTTCACACTGATGGCTCCTGATTTGTCTCTTTTTGCAAGACTTTTAATCCTTGCTACCACATTAAGTGCTGTGATCCAATCAGAGCATTTCATGAACCTCTCAAGAAACCTGTCTTGCTCAATAGCATCTGTTTTAAGAACTTTTACCTCTGGGTCACCAACAAGAAGTTCTGGAGATTGTTGGTTCGTGATAATTTCTCTTTCCCAAGGGAATTTAGGTCCAGTGAGCCAGTTTGAGTTTATTAGCTCTGCCACCTTGAGGCCTCTAGATGCGTGGTCAGCTGGATTTTGATCAGCTTTAATGTAAAACCATTGGTTTGGGTCTGTAGTGTCTCTTATTTTTTGAACTCGATTTGCAACAAACACATGAAAGCGACGAGCATCGTTTTTTATGTACCCAAGAGTCACTTGAGAATCTGTCCAGAAAAACTCCTCGTCGATTTTCCGCTCAAGCTCTGCTCTAAGAAAGTTACTAACAAAAGCAGAAACTGCAGCTGCAGTGAGCTCGAGGCGCGGGATTGTGACTATTTTTATAGGTGCCACTCTGGCTTTACCCATAACTAGAGCACAATGCACTTGTTCATCTGTAACAAACCTAATGTATGAGCATTGTCCATAGCCACTGCTGCTAGCATCAGAAAAATGATGCAGCTCAACCCTTTTGATTTTGCCTAGGTTCTCAGGAAAGAGGCATCTAGGTATTTCGACCTTTCGAAGATTTTCCAAGTCACAGAGCCAAGCTTTCCACTTGGTTTCCAGTGCGGAAGGAACAGGTTCATCCCATCCAACTCCACTTTTGCACATTTCCTGGAGTACTTGTTTTCCTATCAAAGTGTAGGGTGAAAGAAATCCTAACGGGTCATACACACTTGCTACTGTTGCTAGAATTCCTCGGCGTGTGGCTGGCCTTTCTTTGAGGGCTCCACTGAATGTGAACACATCGGCTTCCACATTCCATTTTACTCCCAGCACACTTTTCATTGGAACTTCAGAGTAGTTCATGTTTACATCCGTAGTGTTGCCAGCTCGTTCACTTTCAGGAATAACACTCATGACCTCTTTGTTGTTGCACACAAATTTGTGCAAACGCAACTTCCCTTTAACACAGAGTTTGAGTGCTTCACAGACTAGCTGCTTGGCTTTCTTATCTGTTTCAACACTGAGAAGCCCATCATCCACATAAAAGTTTTTGTGAATGAAACTGGCTGCCAGTGGGTAGTCCTTTTCGTTTCTTCTGGCGAGATGTTTCATGCCAAAGTTAGCACATCCAGGCGATGACGCTGTACCAAATACATGCACTCGCATGCGATATTCCTTTGGCTCAGTATTTGTATTTCCATCCTTCCACCACAAAAACCTTAAGAAATCTCGATCCTCTGGATTAACATGGAAGCGGTGAAACATTTTCTCCACATCGCACATTATTGCGATTCTGTTCTCTCGGAATCTGCACAATACTCCTGCCAGAGTATTGATCAAGTCTGGGCCTGTAAGTAAGTGGTCATTTAAAGAGGTGTCTTCATGTTTAGCAGAGCAGTCAAAAACAACTCTAATTTTTTCTGGCTTTCTGGGGTGATACACACCGTGGGGTGGAATGTACCATGTGTTACCATCCTGTGGTGTTTCTTCTGCTTCCTCTGCATCACCATCTTTAAACACATTATTCATGAACTTTATGTAATCTTCTTTGTACTTGGGGTTCTTGTCCATTTTCATTTTCAAATATTTCAGACGAACTGTTGCAAGCTGCTTGTTATTTGGAAGCTGTGGACGTTCTTTAAAAGGTAAAGGCATTTCTAAATGACCTTGCTCATTGTAGTGAATGTTTTCATTTAGCATCTCTAAAAACTGAATGTCCTCTTGAGATATGTTCCCTTCTTTGGGGTTAGTGTCCAGAAAATCAGCTTCAAGTGCTTTAATCACAGATGCAGGTGTAATAGATGGCAATTCCTTTACTATTACACGATGGCAGGTCCCAGTTGCGCCCACTGAACCTGTCCATGGCTTAATGGGTCCCACAATGCTCCATCCCAAGTCTGTTTTAACTGCATAGGGATCATAATCCTCTCCTGGTATGACCTTCCTTGGTTTTAGAGCTCTTGTACAGTCATAACCAATGAGGAGAGCTACAGGACAGTCCAAGAGATCTGGCATTTCATTTGCAATGCTGAGTAGGTGGGGCCATTTTTTTGCAGTCTCTCGAGTTGGAATACTGTTTTTCTCAAGTGGAATGTATTCTCGAGTATATGTAGGTGGCAATTCAATATACTCTTGTGAGTGGTACCCTCTAACTCTCAGTCCTTCCACTCTTTGACTAGGCACAATAGAACACCTGTCAGTTATGGTTGTCAGCTTTAATTTAACGGGTCCTGTTCTTGCTTGTAATTTTTCACAAACATTTTGATCAATAAATGTATTGCTGCTTTGGGTGTCTAGCAAAGCATAAACCAATGTCTCTGGTCTATTTGTTGAAGAAGAAAGCCAAACTGGGACAATCATTGAAGTGCAATCACTGTTGTCCAATTTCACACTGCATGATACAGTGGCTGCATTTTCCTCTTTCGGTAACATCTCAGGCTTATCTGGTTGTGGATGATCTTCATGAAGAGGAGAAGGGTGCTTCCGCTTACAAACATTACATGTTACTCTTTGTTGACAGTTCTTGGATATGTGACCAACACGAAGACAACCAAAGCACATATTGTTGTCGATAATGAACTGCTTCTTTTCTTCAAGAGACATTGCTGTAAACTTGTCACATTTGTAAATAAAGTGATTTTGCCTGCAGCAGATGCATTCAATTTGCCTTTTATTCTGAGTTGAGGAAAGGTTGGGTTTGGATTTTTTGTTGATCTGTGTTGCAGCTGTGGCCTTTTCATTTGTAGACACATTCGTTGTTGTCATCAGGACACTGGCTTTCTGACGTTTTTGTTCCTTTTCAGGTTTTTCAAATGTGTTCTTTAAGGCAAACAAAGAAGAAACTGGATTGCATGCTATTCGTGCTTCTTCTGCCACAAAGTCAGCAAACTCTGTGAAACCTGGATATTCCTTTCCTTCATCTAACAGTTTTGACACATGACGGTTCCAGCGGGTTGTTGCCCAATCAGGAAGTTTCAGTAATAATTTTTGATTCTCCTCACAATCATCCAACACTTTGAGGCCCTGAACATGGGGCATAGCATTCTTACAGGAAACAAGGAAATCACTAAACTCTCTCAGCTTTAGTGACTCTTTTGGTCCGATCTTTGGCCAACTGCTTAGCTTTCCCCGAAAAGCTCTTTGAACTACAAATGGGTGGCCATAACGGTTGTTCAGAGCATCCCAAGCTTGGTTGTAAGCTTCCTCATCACTGCGATAGAATGTCCCTTCTAAAACACCAAGAGCTTCTCCATTAATGTATTTCTTCAAGTAGAAAAGTTTATGGGCTGAATTTGTGCAACTAGTCTCAATAAGAGCCTTGAAGCAAGTGCTCCACTCAGTAAACTTCAGTGGGTCTCCTGTAAAGGTAAATGGCTCTGGTATTGGAAGTCTAGTCATTGCTAAAGACTCCTTTAAAGCTTGAACTAGAGATAACTCACTTTCTTTTGACGCTACTCTAGTATCACACTTGGGCACTGGAAGATATTTTGGGATCTTGTTGGTTATACCTTCAAAGTTAGGAGGTGCCGTACTCTGGATAGCTTGGGTGTATGGAGGACTGTTAAGAGGTTTGGGAAGCTGACTAAAAGACAAAGTACCTTTTACTTCACTGTTTCTTATTTCAGCATTCAATTTTGATTCCTCTTCAGCATACACATTGTATTCAGCCTCAATAACCTCAAGATCTCTTTGCTTTTCCAACAATTTTAATCTCTCTTGTTGAGCTAATATCTCCTTTCTTTGGGCAGAAATTTCCTTTTCCCTGCTTATTTCAGCTCGTTTAGATGCCAACCGTGCAGCTGCCTCTGCTTTCTTTGCAGATACCTGACTTCCTTGCTTACTATAACTGTTCTGGCTACTTTTTTCAGCCCTAGACACAGTTGAGCCATACATTGACTTAGCATCTTCTCTCTGAAGCAACTGAAGGAGTGAGTCTTTTACAGCAATTGCATCAAACTCCTTATCAACATCTGCATAGCGCCTTTTCAGAAGCAACATCATTTCAGTGGAAACTGAAGAACAGCTATCCATCTTTCTTCTGAAATCTTGAGATGGAGTAGTCAGTGTACGTAAAGCTACATAATCTTGCTGTAGGTCAGATTCACATTTTCCTACTGATTTGATCATTTCAGTTAACTCTGCTTTTGAACATTCCTTTTTAAGTTTGGACCTAGAGAGTTGAATCTCTGCTTTAAAGTTTACATATGTTGACATAAACTTTCTTTCTTTACTTGTTATCTCAGACTGTTTAAAGTCACGCATTTTTTCTGTTAGTTTTCTTTGACGCTCTGAGCGTCTCACTTCTGTCTCAGGTTGGGATGATGGCTGAGTCAAACCTATTTTATGTATTTCAAGGTCTGCATAAATTTCACCTAAGCGTATTTCAACTTCCTCTCTTTCTGCATCTTCAACTTCAGTTTCTAATTTCTTTTCTAAATGTAACTTTTCAAATTCTAAAGCTACAAGTACTTCCTCTAAAACACGAGTTTCTTGTACACCCTGCTCCATTGTGAACAATATTTTAAACCAACAGCTAAGAACAATGAAAGAAAACTTAACATGAGAACACTACTTCAAATTTCAAACTGTAAAATAGTAACAAACCTTTTTTCTTTTTAACAAACTTTCAATAATATCTGTAGCATACACCGTTAATGTCCGTTTTTAAACAACTTTCAATATCTGTAGCATACACCGTTAATGTCCGTTTTTTAAACAGCATTCAATGTCTGTAGCATACACCGTTAATGTCCGTTTTTTTTTAACTCATAGATACAGTCTGACCTGGTTTCGTATGATGTTGAAAGGCTCTGCAAAACTGCTCAATTCCCAAAACGTCGTATCGGCCCTCTTTATTTCATGCGGATTGGGCCGCAGACTGTGGACTGCCGTCTTCAAAGCATGGCATGCAGGGCTCTGGCTGCGTACTTCTTAACAGGACACGTTTTTCACTGTAACTGCTCATGAAGGATATTTTGTTTTTTGTGGAATAAAACGCCATGCTCCAACTGATGTTCAACTGGTTCTTTATCTTCTTGTTACCAGCAAACACCGTGAAAAACTACGGTGAAATGAACAACAATAAACACAAATATTAATTTTAGAAACATAAACTTATAACTCAGATATTAATGCAATACAGATAAATATACAAACACACCGTGTGCGCCTCTCCACTTAATATTCACAAGCAATTTCAGTCCATGTCCACTTTTCTTTATCCGATGTGAGCTTCTTCTGGTCGCTTCTCCGTGCTTGTGTCAGTTAATCATTCGCTCCGCTCGCGCGCACCTTCCAGTGTCAAATTTCAATCCAGCCAGCAGGTGGCGTCAAATCAACAAAGAAATTAAATTAAATATTTCCACAGTTAAATCAAACAAATGACAATGAATAACCACATTTAACTGCGACAGCTACATATAATATATTATATATATATATATATATATATATATATATATATATATATATATATATATATATATATATATATATATATACATATATATATAATAAAACTGAAACCTCACTCAAAGAGATTTGTATACATTTGTCCCCATTTTTGCACATTTTAACACAGATGTGGTCTCTGAAAACAGACCTTTGGGGCAATGGAACCTAATGTGATCAACTGTAAATGGCCTTTATTTGTATAGCGGCTTCTAGGGTTCTACACCCCCCCAAGGCACTTCACATTGCAGTCATCCACACATTCACACACTGGTGATGAGCTACATTGTAGCCACAGCTACCCTGGAGCACACTGACAGAAACAAGGCTGCCGAACACAGGCGCCACCGGTCCCTCCAACCACCGCAATCAGGCAAGTTGGGTTAAGTGTCTTGCCCAAAGACACAACTGCAGCATTCTCTGGCAGGAGCCAGGATTGAATCTACAACCTTCCCATCACTGGACAACCTGCTGTACCTCCTGACCTACTGCTGCCCTTATAAACTTCTAATCATAATTTCATAGAAAAGTGTTTTTCTTTTTAAGTGGAAGCAAACGCTAAATTTACTTGCAAGTTAAATAAAACATGGCTGTGTGCGGGTGACATTGAATGACCCTGAACACATCATGAGCCAATCATAGGCATAATGGAGAGAGAGAGATGGCAGACCTAAACTTGGACTCTTTTAAAACTTAACACACACACGCATGCGAGAACAAGACATAACACACTATAAGTTCAAGGCTGACATCAAAGTTTGCACCTCAGACTGATCGTGCAAAAACTCCTGGAACGAGAGCAGGTGATGGTTTGATGCACAGATGTGAACGTGGTTTAGAGTCGCGGCGTGGATCCAAACAGCAGCTTATTTTATTCCTCAGAAGCACGTGCTTTAGTTTTTAGTCCACTGTGTCCCTTTAATTACACAACAGAGAAACTGGACTAAAATTTATCTGTCATCCACTGAGATTTTCCTCTTCTTCACACCACCACTCCTCCTAGAAGCTGCCCTCATTTTCAGATAATTTGAAATTAATTTAACAATGGTGTTATTTAATGAGACAACTCCACCTGCTGGGAGTGGTTGGATGACCTGACATCAGACAGAGGAATTTAAAATCTGTGCTTTGATTGCATTTGCAAAACAGAGGTGGAAGCATGTCCAGTATTCTCCTCTGTGGTATTACGGGAGCTGCAGCTGGTTTGGTGTGGAGCCACAAGGCCGGAAGTGAAATATGACTCTTATCGGTCTGTGTCATTACTGGCAACCAGGCAGCCAGACAACAGATCTGCACCAGTGCAGGATTTAATCTGATGTACACCTGCTGCACGTATGCAGTCCTAAACACATGCTGCATACGGTGCTTTGAATCACAGTTCACAGTCAGTTTCCTCTGTGGATCAATTGACTCATTGAGTCTGTTGCATAACAGTAACTTAGTCACCAGTATGGCAGAAGCTGAATCTGAGTGGGGCATTACTGAACGATGTGCTGCAGCCCACGCTGTAGGAGGACGGAGTGGGCGTCCAGGAGGCCTCCGATGGATTGTAAATAGTTAATGCAGGAGTTTTGGCTGAGATCTAGAAAACAGTGCCACACTGTCCAACTCCTGCCGTGTAATTAATCACAATGAACTGCAGGAGACAGCTGTTAATAAATGGCCGGCCCAGTGGAGGAAACGGACCGCTGAGCTCAGGGTTAGGGGGACATGCAAATGAGTAGTGCAGCTTGCGCACAAGGAGGCTTACGGGTGATTCACTTCTGGGTTGGGGATGTGTTGTGCTGCCATTGAGATCGAAAGCCGCTCTCTATCACAAGATCCTGCAGCTCTGGAGCTTTGATGACATTCCTCAGCTGTGTGCTCTTTTCAGCGTAGAAGCAAAAGACAAAATGTACAATTTTCAACACAACTACTGATTGGCGGTGTGTTAGAGAAAACAGCGGCTGTTGAACAGGCGTTCTCTCGTTTACATAACTGTCAAAGATGTGGAGCTCCTAAAATAAAAATAATCTTTTTTTGAGGTTCCACAACTTTGCTTGGTTTTTATGAGCACATGAATTAAAGCAAATGTGCGATGATGAACTTCTCTGGTGATGCTTTTAGGGAAGCATGCTGGCCCAAGTATCTCTCTCCGCTTCATCGTAGTCTAAATGTATATTTTTTATTCTGAACTGGTCGTTTTACGCAGCACATCACCTTGAGGTGAAAATACCAGACAGCCAGTCTGAACTGAACATCCTTCAAAATGTTATAGAAAATACATTTGATGCCTGGTCTGGTTTCCATGGTAGTGAAGTTTATACCCTGAGAGGCAGTTATTTCTGAGTAATTTAAAAAAGGGGAAAGGAACTCAGCCTGTGAATGATAATAAGCACTTACCCCATTGTTGAGGCTGGAACGAAGGGCGACACCAGATCACTGATCCGTTTTTTGTTAAAAATAAAAAAGCTCGAATTTATCAATTTTTTTCACTATGCGACATTCTCCAGCGCACCGCCGTCGGTGCGTTTGCAGGAATTTGAGGACAACTGCTCCATCCCTACTCTTCTGTCACCGCATGAATTCACACATACATGTCGCTTTGCACATGGCAAGGTGGTAGGATCTTCTCTCCTCTGGCCGTGGGGTGATGAAGCAGTAGGAGGAGGAGCGCTGTGCTCGATCCAGAACAGCTGATGAAGGTGATGGAGATCCAACAGACAGACACCCTGCTGTTGTGTAAATTCCTGATCCTCACTGGAAAGGGTGGAGGAGCCTCGCTGGCTGAACTGGGAAAGACAGCCCTCATTTAGAGAGCAGATTACGCGCAGCATCGCTGTCCACGTCTTTCCCTCCCTCTCCCCCCATCATTGGCTCACAGGCTACACCCCCCACTTCCCAGTGCAGTCTGTTCCGCAATCGTCTTTATTAGCGGTGCGTTTCTCATTAAAGTGTTTGGTGCTCCTGCAACATCAGTTCATGCTTTTCCACCCCATTTAACCCTGATTCCAATTAATAACATCATGATGTGTAGGCGTGCATCAGATTATCCTGCAGTGTGTTATTGATCTGAGCCTAACCAGACACCCCCCTCCACCACCACCATTTGCATCCAGCCCCCCAAAGCCCCACATCTGGATGATGCATCCGCTTCCCTCCTACTCACTTCATGTCAGTATTGAGCTGCCGACGTCACAGACCCATCCTCCGCAGTGACGTCTCTAGGTGCTCAAGGGACTGATGCCATTTGATGCTTTTATTGTTTAAAATAAATTGTCTGAATGAGACATAGTAACCTGGGCTGCCAAGGAAACTGTAGAGCACGACAAGAAAGCCAAATCATTCTCCAGCATTTGTTCGATAAACACGGAAAACATCTCATTATGTTTTAAAATCTCAGGGTCTCATCAAAAATATCCGTTTTTTTTATTTTGGTCTTGTGAATAACAACAGATGTACCCATATCTGTTCTTCCCATAGTCTGATGAATTCATCATTTAATGCATTTTGATTTATTGTGTCTGTCATAATGTAACGCATGTTTGTAAATAAAAATATAAACGAATACCTTATGTGGTATTTTAATGACAATGAATAAAAGCTTCTGGTAAAATAGCCACTGTGGTTTTATTTTCCTTATCTGGTTCACCGTTTGGCTGCGTGCAAATTAGAAGGATTTGCGTATACAGAACACGAGTTTATTATCTAAAGGAACTTTTTAAAGCTTGCTTTACTTGATTTAATTTTCAAGAGTAAGTACTGTTTATAATACCGTCATTTTACCGTTTTTAATGTTTGATTAATTTCACATTTGAAGAGCAAAAGGACACGTCTCCCTTAAATCATGTTTAACTACGTCACAGTTGCGGAATGCGGAAGTTATAGCGGAAAGATTACTGGTATTGTTTATATTCGCAAGCTAATTCGGTAAGCTTTTACGCTATGTTTGCGGTTATTTTCGAGTAAAAATTTCAACGTTGAATTAATCGTTGTTGTGTAATTTGATATCGCGTATATTTAAATTAACTCACTTACTTCGCCATCTATTTGCTGTTAGCAACTTGTTGGTGAAGGCTCACCTAGCTACACGCTGCTAGTCAGTTAAAAATTATAAGCCGCTCTGAAGAACACCGGGAAGTTTCGACTCTTCGGTCACTTCTCTCTCAGTTTACGTTTAGGGTTAGCTCTCTGTGTAAATAACTTTAAAACGTTTCTTCTTTGGTATTTGACTATTTCAAGTGTCCTTCTTTTCTTACGAAACATCAGTAAAGTTGACGTTTAAGCAAGAGCCGCAGCATGTTTCACCCGTATACGACTCCGAGGCAACCTCCAGTTTTCAACCAGCGCCCACCTGGACCCCGTTTTTTTAATTACAAGAACCGTGGCCTGGAAGGCGCCAACAGGTGGGAACAGCTTACTTACTTTGGAAACAAGATGGCGTAATGTCAAAAAAGCGGTCACTAACTCCCTGATATGTCAGAATGTTCTGACTTATCAGTAAAAGTTGATTATTTAAAGCAGAACGCTAATTCTTATCTCCTCCAAAAACATTTGCTGAGTTTATTTTTTTGTTGGTTTGTGCAAAGCAACGTCTTAGATGATACCATGAAAATTAAAATGAGCATGGTGAGAATATTCGAGATTGAAGACTGTTCCTGCAGAAAGAGGCACAACAAAGTTCTCTTAGTATAAAAATAGGGCAAACTGTCAAACCAAATCAGCATCCAGTTCCTGCTCCGCTACATCCTGTTCCTGTTATTGGAAACCTCTTTGATCGTGTAGTGGTGGATTGTGTAGGCCCCCTAACTCGCAGTAAGACTGGCAAAAGATTCCTGTTGACCATCATGTGTAGTTCAACCAGGTTTCCTGAAGCTATTCACCTGCCTGTTTTTACAGTGAAAGCAGTTACCAAGACTTTGGTTTCTTTCTTTTCTACATTTGGCATACCTCGTGTTGTACAGACTGATCAGGGCTCCAATTTCAGATCAGATCTGTTTAAAGGTGTAGTCAATACTCTTGGTATTCAACACGTTATGTCCTCTGCTTATCACCCTGAAAGTCAGGGAGTGTTAGGACGGTGGCACCAAACATTCAAAAAAGATGCTCACCAAGTACTGTTTGTCCTCGGGATGTCAGTGGGAAGAAGGAGTCCCATTTTTAGTCTTTGCTGCATGTGAAGCTCCGCAAGAGTTGACTGGTTACAGCCCTGCCCAACTTGTTTTTGGTCACACACCTTGGGGACCATTAAAGGCCCTAAAGGAGAGGTTTTTGCAAACACGTGTCCAAGAAAGAGAGAGTACACAAGTATGTTACTCAGTTTCCAAATAGTTAGAGAAGCTAATAACCTGGCAAAAGAGCACCCAAACCAGGCTCAAGACAGAATGAAGTCTGTCAGTGTGGATTTTGTCCAGGAGACATGGTTTTGGTTTTAAATCCAGTTCCTGGTCCTGCACTGACAGTTAATTATGAAGGTCCTTTTGAGATACATGAGACTAATCGTGTCATGCATAAAAGTATAGACTATTGCACCAAGATGCTCTAATAGATAATGCTCTAACAGATAATCCAATCATAAAGACAAGATTATAGCTTATCAAACAACCAACTAACTTTGTAACCTGTTAATACCAATGCTACACAGTCAAACAGGTAGGCACCTAAAACCAAAAATAAATTGTACAGAAAAATGACTTGTGCTCACATGTATCCAGCTAAAATATTCATTTTTGGCTTTGTAACACTCGTTCATTGAAGAGGAGGAATGCATTAGCACCGTAATGTAGTGGGATTTGTTGTAATGTAGTCCCACTCCCAAATCTAATTTGGCTCCTTCAATTCCTTCATATGTCTTGTTATTTTCATTTGCAGTCCAAATGATTACTGAGGTAACTAAGAAAAATTAGGATCATGTCAACAGACTTCATTTCGTTTAGGGGTGGAATAAGAATAAAGAAAATTCAGGAGTTTATAATAACAGAGATGACAGATTCCTATTTTATGACATACCACTCAGCTCAGACCCACAGATTATCATTTATATCTACTTTGCTCACAGATGAATGATTTAAACTTTCCTTTTGGGAACATTTGTGTTTTTTCTTTTGTTAGCTTTCCTGCTCTGAACAAAAAGCCGTTGTCTCCTTATAAATGGATTCGCCCTCCACCTATCGCTGCATTTGTCCCCCCACATGCGCCGAGAATGTCGAGCGGGCACAAGTATGTCACTTCATTTGCTCATGAGAAACTCATGTCGGTTAGATTTTTCTGTTTCTTTAGTTTTATAGAGTATTTCTCTCATGGTTCTTCCAGGAGGCAGATGAACGAATACAACAACCCTCCTGCTGTGAAGCATCAGCGCCTTGATTTCTCTCCCGATCCATCATTAGCACCCCCAGCCATATGGCGCCCCCGTTTTCCTGATCCAGCAGTGAGACAGCCCCCAAGACCTTCGCTTGTGGGGTCCCATCAAGTCCCATCTAGTCCAAACTTCAGCCATCATCCACAGGGACTTTCTGTCACAAGACGAGTCTTCAATATACACCTCTATGCAAATGACACAGTATGTCCAGACTCCTCTCACCTGCAGCAGGTTCATCTGTGATGCAGATGTCTTTGCTGTAGTCGACTCTGAATATGCTTTTGCTCTCAGCTGAGCGGCCAGATGGTGGAAATGTTTGAGGCATGCCAGCAGCAACCTTCAGATTTGGAACACAAGGAGATGATACGAGCAAATCTGCTACAGGAGATCAAGAAGTGTTACAAGGGTGTGTATCACACAGACCTGTCACTCTTCTCAGTTTCATGATTTTTTATTCACTAACCGTGTCTTCTGCAGGGGCTCGGCTTTACCTGACCGGGTCTTCCATGAACGGTTTGGCCTGCCGGACCAGCGATGCTGATCTGTGTCTCGTTGTTGAACAACAGGTGAGCGTGTGCTGCTCTGAACTGTTTCATGTCATCCAAACGTGAAGCTGTAGACTTTTACATCCTCTTAAATGTCATTTTTCCACTTTGTCTTGTTTTTCCAGAAAAGATCCACTATTCTTCGTGTCCTTTCCAGACTCAGAGATGTCTTCAAAAATCTCCGTTAGTGATTTAAAAAAGTTTTTTCATGGTTTTTTGTAGAAAACAAATAATTGTAACATAGTTTACTAATAACTGTCAGTATATTTAAAATGAATCACTCTGTTTTACCTTCATTGCTACTATATGATTGAGCACAATCTAAAGTTAAGTTAAAGTCTCATTAGTCATCACACACTGGTGAAGTTCATCACTGCATTTGACCCATCCCCATGGGGGGAGGGGGGGAGATAAAAAACACATTCTGCTACCTGAAATAGTCTATATGCCACAGACCCTCGGTTTGTCACTTCCTGACTTTTTAGCCAGGTCACAGTAACGCTACTAATCTTCATGGCATTTGTACGCTATCGCTGCAGCACCTGCCAAGGATAACGTACTCGGGATAATCTAGGCTACATCTAAGATGCGACAATCAACTAAGGAGAACAGTTTTAAATTGTATTGGTCAGCCTACACTCATAACTCTGAAGCTTCTGCCATATGTTGCAACATGCTAGCTCTTTACTAGCACTGTGTGGAAGCAATGCTAACAACATTAGCAGAGAGTTAGCATTTAAGGAACAACAAAGACTCATATTACCCCATCTCCAGTAAAGAGCTAGCATGTATCATCATTTAGCTAGCCAAAGCAAGAGTTTAAGTCACCTTAATTATAAATGTAGGTGGACACATGCTATTTTAAACCTTTGTCTTTATTTGAATGTGGCCTCATAAATACGGCCTGGGTATTTATGGGGAAAAAAAAAAAATACGGCCTGGGTTATCCTGTTGACCGTTAGCCTCGGCAGGCCCTGCCATGATGGCCTAAAAAACGCTACGGATAATACAAACGGTCCTGAAAGCTGGAAGTGGTTCGGCTGGCTAAAAAGTCAGAAAGTGTCAGAGCGGGGGTTGGTGGTATAAATCCTATTATGTTAGCTAATCTGTGTTTGATTGTTTTATGGTGGTTTAATTGCTCCAAGTTGAGAAAAGCTCATGTGATGTGATTTTTGTTCTTTCCTGTCTCCACTAGGTGGAGCTGTTGACTCAATTAACATAGTTTCAGATTTACAGCAACAACAACACATCTGATTCTGAATCATTTTATTCTAGCCTACATTTCGACGACTGACCTGATTAAAGCTAAAGTGCCAATTCTCAGGTTCAGAGAGAAAGACAGGTAGGAGACCGTTAGTTTTTACAGCTTTAAATCAAAACGTAGCATTCCTAAGTCTTCACCGTCCTCAGCAACGTGGAGTTTGATCTGAACATCAACAACACGGTGGGCATCAGAAACACATTCCTCCTGAAAAGCTATGCTCACGGTGAGTCGGAAACACGTTTTGGATGCTGTCACCTCTGAATGAGAGGATGAGCTAAACAGTTTTGACGTGTTTTTCCCAGCTGACGCCAGAGTAAAACCCCTGATCCTAGTCGTCAAGAAGTGGGCGCGGCATCACAAAATCAACGATGCCAGCAAAGGAACATTAAGCAGCTACACGCTAGTGCTAATGGTCCTTCACTACCTCCAGAGTCAGTGCATTCACACACTCAGAGGGATTTATTTTCATTCTTTACTTACTTACAAGAAGACTCAAATTGTTTGTGATTATTTTCTCATCAGTTCTAAACGAACCTGTTCTCCCGTCTCTGCAGAGGGATCATCCAGTAAGTCTCTCGGTTTATTTTACCTCAATGTTCTTTTCATGAAGTTTTAAAAGTTTTAACTCCATGGAAACAACTTAAATTTGAAAGAAATTAGCATATTTTTATTGTTGAAACTTGACATTTGCTCAGCAAAATGACTGTGAACTCTTTTAGATCCAGCGTCGTGTTAACACAATTCAGCTTTAAGTCTGGATGTTTTTGTCCTGCCTTTTGTTTTCTAGGACTGTTTTGATCCCTTGATGGAGATTGACTCTGTTCCAGAGAGTTCCAGCTACGTCCCTTCCTACAGCTCAAGAAACGAGTCCTCTCTGGGAGAGCTGTTTCTGGGTTTCCTCCGATACTACTCCACACAGTTCAGGTATCTCCTGAGTGTTTCAGGCAGATGCACGTTTTTCTTATCATGCTCATTTTCCTCCTCACTCTCTTCCCAATCGACGTTTCCTCTCCCTCCAGTCCTCACCTTCCTCTGTCCTGCATCCTTCTCTCTGGTTTTATGTTTCTGACTGAGGGGCAGCAGCAGGTGGGACCTTTGGCCTTACGTGGCACCAACACCATGCACTGTAATCCCTGTGTTTGCAGAATGTGTGATACTCCGTGTGCCATGCCACACGTGAAAAGTAAAACCAAAATGTGCTGCACAGTTATGTATTCTATTTTATTTGATGCAGGATGCAAACGGGACACAGTAAATATTAGACTTGTCTTTTATATTCTGAACAGGAAATATATTTTGCATGCTAAACATGAAAATTATTACCACATGACAATAGGTTTTATTATTCAACAACTTTTTTATATAATCAGCTGGATTATGTAAAATATTGGTGGATTTTTAGGAGATATTTTGATATTGAGCTGCGTTTTACTCCCAAAGACCACAGAATAATGTTTGTTGTTTGTTTTTTTTGAAGATGGAGCGAACTTGTGATCTCTGTGAGAGAAGCCACAACTTTCCTCAAGTCCAAATCCTGGGGCAACAAGTTTATATGTGTGGAAGGTACTGTAAACGTGGATGCATGGGTTTTCATCGGACTTTTAAACTTGTTTTCAATCACTAATCAACATTAGACAAACAGCCGGGGGTTTATTATCATTTTTATCTTGTTTATCTTTCTAAACTAGAAACTTAAGGTAAAATGAAATGTGAACAGTTTGATTGTTTTTACTCCACATGTACAAACAGACTCTGATAGAGCTGTTAATCCCTTAAAGGTGCAGTATGTAAGAATATAGTGGGAATTGTACAGTGAGAAAATCCCAATAGTGTAATGTTTCGGTCATTTTGGAAAGAAGATTTTACTGAAACGTATTTCATATCCATCTTTGGTACGTTCTTTCTGTGTTTGGCTTCTAGTTCCATTTTGGGTTCTTTTTAAAACAGGAAAGGTTTCTCTTTACCTTGCTGACAGTTTCGTTTGCGTCTGCAAACATCCTCAGAGCTGACGCTGGTGGTGGCGTCACTTCCTACTCCGTTTATCTGCGGGCAGCAGAGGAGTTGCTCCCCTCTCCGATGATGCAGTCCCATGCACGATCCAATGTGTAAACCCTATCGTCTCTGTTCATAGTCCCACATCCACGATGAACAGAGACGATGGGGTCTACGCATTGGATCGTGCATGGGACTGCGTCATCTGAGAGGGGAGCAACTCCTCTGCTGCCCGCAGATAAACGGAGTAGGAAGTGACGCCACCACCAGCGTCAGCTCTGAGGATGTTTGCAGACGCAAACGAAACTGTCAGCAAGGTAAAGAGAAACCTTTCCTTTGTTTAAAAAAACAACCAAAACTATATTGGAGCAGGCGGAGGGAGACTAGGGGTCTTAGCACACCTCTGATGTTGCTTGGTTTCCTGGGGCTGGAGGCTAGGAGAGAGATCTAGCCGTCTGGTTGGGGTCTGGGGTGGTGGGTTGCTGTGCTCAGCGTCGGGCTGGGGAGCCTGCTCATCAGCACCCCCAGCAGAAAGGGTCAAACTCTGGTAACCGGTGATGGTTGTACCCAATGTGCAGCAGTACCGGGACCAGAGTGAATAGGGTGTGTATGGGGAGGATGAGTGGTTGTCTGGCGTGCATTTTTGTAAGTCTTTGGTTGTATGTGTATGTGTGAGCATGAGGGAGGGAGTGTATGACTGTGTTTGTGTATGACTGTATATGTCAGGTGAGGCCTTTGACTCCTCCCTTCTCCTGGGACTTCTTTTGATGATATAGATCTTCGTCTCCCCTGGTGTGGAGTGTGGTGCCTTGGTCTGCCTGAGTGTTTGTGGCTCCCGGGTCAGTGGGTTTAAGATTTTTGGCGTCTGCCTGATCAATCCCGGTGGCTGTCTAGTGGGGTCTGGGTCCCTGGGCTCTGCTGGGTCCCCAGCGGGGGTGGTCGACCCTGGGTCCCGGGTCGCTGGGTCCCGGGCTCGGCCGGCTAGGGGGTGGGAGGCTGCGGACGGGCCTGTGGGCTTGCCGCTGATATCTCCTGGGACTCTGCCGGCTGCTGGTTGTGGCCCCCGGGGCGATCCTCTGTGCCCTTCGAGGGCCAGTCTCCTTGGGGTTGCTGTGTTCTGGGGCAGCGCCTGGATCTCTGGGACTTGGAGCTCCCCCCCCCCGTCTCCTACGCATCTTTGGGGTTAGGGTCTAAGGCCTAGTCCACACGTAGCCGGGTTTTTTTAAAAACGAATATCCGCCCCTCCAAAAACTTGCATCCACACCACCTCGTTTAAAAAAAAAACTGTCCACACGTACCCGGATAAATACGTTGTTAAGGACATGCCAGACCTGTAGGCAGCAGTACTTCCCCCGTTCTTAACCTCGTCCTTCGTCTGTGGTCTTCCGCAAGGAGCAGTAATTCCGCTTGCAAAAACAAACAAGCAAAAAGCGCTTGGACAATTGATAAAGCGAGCGCAGCTCTGAGGGCATCCATGCTGTCGGCTAGTGTAAACACGGGTCGCACACGTGATGTCAGCATTTTTTTGTCACGGAAAGTGACGTTGCGGACCTTAAAACTCCGGTTTTGTCTGTCCACACGCAGACACCCAAAACGGAAAAAACGCAGATCTTCACTTTGGCCGGAGTTTTTAAAAAGATCCGTTTTCGTGTGAAAAAAACTCTGTTTTCGTGTGGATGACAGGCCAAAACGTAGAAAAATATCTACGTTTTGGCAGATCCCTGGCTACGTGTGGACAGGGCCTAATACTGCAGCACCAGCAATTGTAATTTGACGACGGCCGACAAAAAGCTCCAGAATTGTTTAAAAGTGTTTGCAGTAACCCAATTTTATCACTGGATGTCATATTTTTTTTACTTCATTTCTACATAATGTGCCTTTAACATGGATATGTCACTAGCCACGTTTACATGCGCTTATTTAATCGGATTGAATGCCCAATCGGATCGAAAATTCTGCATGTAAACATGTCAATCGGAATATTCTGATCCGATTCGGCCCGATCGGATTGAAATTTCAATCCGATTGAGAGAGGTGGTTTATTCCGTTCATCATTCCGATTGACGTGCATGTACACAGCCATTCGAATTGTTGGGGTAAAATAATGCCCACTGCGCATGTGTGCAACAGCGAGCGGGCCTCTCCGCTGTCATTTGGACAGCCTGACTTAAAAAATGATGGCGTAATTAACAAGCGGCGGCTTTTAAATCCGACGACAAGCCGTCCCCGTTTCAGTAATATTTAATTGATTATTGCACAAATCATTCGACAAACATGTTCAAATCTGTACTGGAAATACGCAGGTTTATTGCAGGGGTTGCAGCGCACGGATCCCCGTTTCTGTCAGCTTTGAACGCAGCAGCTTCTGCAGCAGGTGATGGAGACGCGCTTGTAAAGAACACAGGATAATCTGGGTTTTACTGACCTGATTGGAGGCTGATGTTGGGTAGGAAAACGTCCTCGGTTAAATACTCTGGACGACAGTAAAGTCCGTGTTAAAAGCACGTAAACGCAGATGACCTGAGATGCGGTTCGTTAATGATGAACACAGGCTTCTAAACTTTCTGAACATCTTCTGTTATTTTGTTTGAACAGATTTTTCTCAACAGTTTCAGCTGATTGTCACATGTTATTAATAATAAGCCACAACAGAGCTCAGTTATAAAACATGAGTCTAACCCCCCCACCCCCGCTCCGTGCAGCAGCGCAGCGCAACAGCACAGCTGTCACTTCAGACCCGCGGACCAGCTGATCAAGAGGCAGAGACATAACCCTCCCTTATGTTAATCAACAATAAAATGCAGCAAAGCATGTATTTGCAGTTATTCACTGAAGAAAACGTAACTTCTTTGAGCTAAATAAAAATGTTAAATTGAATAAATGGATCAGGAAAGCAGGATGAATAGTTATTTCTGTTTTTACATTTTTCATTTCGTTTCATGGCGTTTGTTTACAATTTTTCTTTCGGGAAAGGCAACTCTGCGCATGCTCAACCTATTTATTCGGATTAAATGCTTGGTGCATATGTACGCACAGCATGATCGGGTCATTTCAGTTCATGTCCATGTGAACAGAGATTCGGAAATTCCGATCAACCAAGATTTCAATCGGATTGAGGAAATTTGGCATATGTAAACGCAGCTACTGATAAGATTTCCACTACGGTTTGTGTTTCAGAGCCATTTGATGGGAAGAATGTTGCCAGGGCCGTCTACGAGAAGGCCAAGTTCAAAGCCATCAAAGCTCAGTTTGCCGAGGTGCGTTCCACTCATCCTCATCTCCAAACCATGCAGATGCCGAGTCCGCTTTTCATAATTCTGCTTCCCATCTGTTTGTGCAGTCTTACCGCAACCTCTTTGCAAAAATGGACCTGAACTCGGTCCTCCCCGTGAGAGCCATCATCGAACACGAGTCACAGAAGAGATGAGAGGTTCCTCTACCATGAGCCGAGTCTGTCAGCAGAAACGAAGCAGGACTTCTTTTTGAGGCTCTGCAGAGGGATAAACCTCTCAGTGGAACTCTGTTGGTTTGGGTCGTGTGTGTTTCTGTGGCAGATCCAAAAAGGATTCTGTTATTGCCAAATGTTTTGCTGCCTCTGACATATATGCATAGGTTCTGATGTTCCAAGAGGAGAAGAAGCTTTACGCGACTTGTGGAACAATGTCACCTAAGATGTTGACAGATTTTTTTTTTTTTAGTCGCTGTTACAAGTTCCTCTTCCTTTCTTCTGGTCCTGAGGTTTCAAACTGACAGGATGTGTAATCTAATCTGAGTTTTATTTCTCTCTGTCGTTTTGATTGGATCCATATTTCACAGTTGTTTACCTGCACAATTGTTATTCATTTTAGTATTATTCACAACAAAGCTATATGTATTTTTACAGGTCACTAATGAATATTGTAGTTTAAAAACTACTGTATCTTATTTCCTCGTTCAATCCTCTATTTTGCAATTTTTTAATTGTCTAACTCAGAGGTGAAGTTATTGCTTTATAGTCGTTGGTTTGCATCACCTCCTACTGAAAAGTGTTTACATGCTACAGTAGGATTTATTTGGGGGCTCATTTATTCCCCTATCAGTGCAGATAATTAAAAAATTACAACTTCTGAGTTTGTCTGTTGTTTTTGATCAGAATTGTTTGACTTTTTTATGTACAGATTTTTAATGTTGAGAGACAGTTGAATCTTGCTATATATATATATATATATATATATATATATATATAGCCTCTGCTGCCTTCACAGAAAAAAAAAATATATATATATTTATATATCTTATTTTTTAATGAATTTACCCAAAATCTTAGCTTTGGTCAATCTGACAATTTTCCATTAAGTGCAGTTTCTTTACACGCGGTTGTAACAGCCTGTTAAGAAAAATGCTGTAAAAATTCCTGAACAAAATGAAAATCTAAAGATATGGAGACTTTGCTTTGAAAAGTTTTAACTGATGAGGGTTTTAATAGTATGAAAGCCCATTCCCTCCACTTAGATAAAAAAAAATAAAGAATTATCACAATTATGATGTTAGCTAAGTCATAATTATGAGATAATTTTTTAATCTCAGTGCCAGGAATGGGCTTCCATATTTTTTAATCATTATTGTAAATATTTAATGAAAGGACACCAGATGCTCAACATTTGTATCATTTTTGCAACAAATACTTTGACCTCTGGACTTCCTGGTGGCCTTTTAAAAAATTTTTTAGATAAAAACTGTTAGTTTGTAATGAAAATAGTTTGACATTGTTTTGCTTCCTTCTGATTGCCAGTTCTAATCAACCTGAAGAGTTGTGAAACACTCCCAAGATTTATTATTTTGGCATATTTTACCTTTCAGCCATCGTTAACATCTCCTGCCCTGTTTGTTTCAGAAATTCCAAATTTACACCATCAGTTCCGTCATCTCTCATTGGTTTGTGGTTTGACGGCTTATTACTCCCAGTTTTATGACTTCTGCCCAGTGCCAGTGCCGCCTGGGGGGTAGATACTCTACATGACATGCGTCTGGCTTTGAAGCCCCCCAGCTGCAGGAGAACCAGGGTCCTGTTTCAGCACAAAGCCTATTTTTAACTTGGCATGGGGGATTTTGAACTTAAAGCCACATCACCTCAGTTGTGTTAACTGCTGGCACACAATAATGAAAGTCACCTAAAATAAAATCTAAAAATCAATAACTGTGGGTGTTGCTTTTCTGAACAGCTAATGAAACCAGGTTAAGTTTTTCTTCTTTGCTCTTATCTTCACTCCCCTGTTTTCATTCCCTGCTCTATTTCTGTCCCTCGCTGAGTCAGAAGCACAGCTCCCTACTTAGAATGACACAAACGGGCAGACCGACTCCCTATTCAGAGTGACTGAACTCTAAAACTCACAAAAAGGCATTTCTAGGGCTCTAAAACAGGAAAACCTGGAGGAACATATAAAGATGGAGGAATGTGAAAGCCTGGACTCAGAGGTGACTGAGCAGGAATTACAGTCCGAAGCCTCAGATGTCCTCAGCCAAGACGACGAAGATGAAGTGGAAGAGCTCACTAACAGGTATTTTTGCATCTCTTTGTTCACAGAAGTTTGTTTAGTTCTAATAATTAATTAGAAACCTGAAGGTTGTGAGAAATCGTTGAAGTTTGGCCTTAGTAATAAAGTTTTTAATTGAAAAAGCACCCAGTTCTTATATCACACAGAAGCCAGCTCTCTATGTACCCATTATTATTCACTGCCCCATATGTTGCATCCTATTTATCAGGACGTGAATCGAGTGCCACCCCTGTCGTGTCATAAATAGTAGAAGTCACTGATCTGTTGGCTGATCCGGGAAATTCAGGAATCTCCTCTAATATTACATGAGCGACACTGTGGGACGTTACCTTGGCGTAACCCGGCCGGGACTGAGATGTAAAAATGGCCTGTATTTGATATAGCGCCTTCTAGAGTCCTGGAACTCCCCCAAGACACTTTACAGCACAATCAGTCATTCACCCATTCACACACACATTCACACACTGGTGGGGATGAGCTACGATGTAGCCACAGCTGCCCTGGAGCGCACTGACAGAGGCGAGGCTGCCGAGCACTGGCGCCACCGGTCCCTCAGACCACCACCAGCAGGCAAGGGGGGTTCTTGCCCAAGGACACAACAACAGCGACAGACTGAGCGGGGCTCGAACCTGCAACCTTCCGATTATGGGGCGAGCACTTAACTCCTGTGCCACCGTCGCCCCATGTATTCATAGCCTGTGAATCAGCTCAGAGAGCATTTAATCACTGGTCTTTTTAGATGCTCGCTCCCATTGGCAGCCTGGCACTTGGTCTGATACTGGAGATCTGCACCGCTCAAGTAATCCTCCTGAGAAAACAAAGTTATGTGTTACCTTGTTTTCAGCTTGGATTGGTTAAGCTGAGTGACATAAATGTGGGTCGATGTTGTTCAGATGTACTTTGATTTGATTCACTGGTTCGTTCTCTGCTTGTATTTCAACGAGCCAAAAAAAGATCTCCTCTTGCAGCCAGACTATTTAGTGATGCCTTTACTTTTCTCTGGAGCAACGCAAACAGCCCGTTCTCCTTCCTCTAACACTCATTCCTCTGTCTTTCAGTCTGCGAGAAGTTGTCCAGGACCAGTCCGTGAAACCCAAACTCCAGTGCCTCATGGTTGACCCATCGTTCTCCATGGTGACGGTTCAGAGCGAGGACAGCGGTATTGTCTGGGAGACAGCCTCCAGCCGTTGCTCTACTCCCTGGGCGTCTGAGACGAGCTCCACTTCTGAAGCTTACAGCATGGAGGGCTCTGGAAGTGCTGGGAAGATCACCATCGTCTTTGATGAGGAGAAGGTGGTCCGTAGGAGAACGAGGTCTGGAGGGAGGATCAGCAGGTTGGGGGACCAGCTTAGCAGACCTGGCAGCTCCAGGTCAGCTTCGGCTTTGGGAGTGGAGAGGCTGGAGATGATGGAGGTTTCTGTTCCCAACGTCAAGCAGGAGGAAAAGCAAACGGAGGCGGACTTGGAGGAAATCAAAAACAAGGATCAGCAGTTGTTCAGTTTGATTTCTGAGGGTTATGAGATTCTGAACATCAGAGTCCCATCCAAACTTCCCACTGTGGACGAGGAGGAGACCACAGAGCTGCAGGATAATTTGTTTTATCTGGACCAGACGCCAAAGATCAGGTCTCAAAACCACCATGACATGGCGGAACAATGGGATCTGGAGCACTCAGGAGGAGAGGAAGCCCACACTGATGTATGCTGTTGAGCACTTGTGAGTAAATTCATTGGTTTGAAGAATTTCTCTAACTGATTTGTCGATTTTATTCCCTCCATAGACTTCAGATCAAGAAGCTTCGCAGCCACCACCAGACAAAGAGTTTGGACACACACCCTCTCAGAGAGACAGCACCTGTGACTTTGACTACTTTGAGAAGTTCAGCCTTTATGATGTTGTGGTTTCTGGAGAGCAAGCACCACAGCTGTCAGAGGAGGAAGAAAAGCCACTGGTGATATCTCACACAGAGGAGCAAAAACCTTCAAAGGACGCAGCCAAAGACATCCCGTCTGTACCAGAGGAATCTTTTGTGTTGGTTACAGACGTGGAGATAGTTGGGGAACACCTAGATGAGGTCTTTTATGGAGAAGGACCTCCTGTGCAGAGAGCAGAGGAAGAAGGGGAAGAAAGGATGAGAACGAGACGTGAAAGCCAGAGATCACTGAAGGGGAGTGGTTCGGTCTTGTTCACAAGTGAGGAGACCACCCTCACTCCTATTTTCATCTCCCCTGGGCCTCCTAAGATCATCGACCCCATTCTCCTGGAGGAGCCTACCGCCATGTCCTTCATGTACTCAGACCTTTACGAGGATGCTGTTGGTGAGAGGATGAGGAGTGATGAGGAGTACTCAGAGGCAGAGAGCGTGGCATCCGAGAAGTCCTGCAAGAGGAGGTTCTCAGATTCAGAGGAGGCAGATGGGTACCTGGAGAAATTCACCTTAAAAGATGAGACGCCAGCAGAGGATGTGCAGTCAGAGTCATTGGAGGATGGGGGTGAAGGGAGGATGGTCTGGCCTCAGAATAAGTTTGAAATGACTGGATGCTTAATGAAAGCACCTCAGGCAGAAGAGGAAGAGAAGTCTGAAGGTCGTGTTGGAGGTGGATCATACTGTGAAAAGAAAACGGAAACACAATCATCCGTGGTGATTCCGGAACAAGCTGGGAGAGAAACACCACAAGATTCAAATAAGGAGGCTGAATCAGTAAAGGATTGGATGAAAACTCAACAAGAACAACATGAAGTTGATCAAACTGAGCCTGAAACAGACGAAACACTCCAATCCCAGCACATGAAAACTAAAGATGAAGAAACGCAGGAAGGTGAAGAGCATAAAAACATCAGAGCTGACACAAAAGAGCCAGGTGTGATACAAAAACCATCCAAGGAGCTTCTAGTGATCACAGATGTGACAGCAGAGCCTCCAGCAGAGCTTCCAGCAAGCACAGAGTCTGAAGCCAGTTTGTCTTCAGAAGCAGCTGTGGAGTCAAAGATGGAGGATGAAGCTTCATCTCCAGAGAGAGAGTCTGATAATGTGATGACTGAAGCCCTCACAGAAACAGAGATGGCTGCTGAAACGCCCCAGTGTGGGAGTAAAGAACCCCTTAGCGAAGATGGTTTTGAGCTGGTAACTGACTGTGATTGTGAGGTACAAACTGTAGTGGAGGTGATGGAAAAGCAAGAGAACAAAGAAGAGAGCCATGTTAGAATTGAGCTTCAGGATGTAACAGATGCTGAAACAGGAGCTTCTGAAGCAGCCAGACAACAAGAACGTCCAACGGAGGAGTCATTCATAGCTAAAACTTCTGCATCTGATCTGGAGTCAGAGGTTACATCTGAGATTTTAAGTGAAGTGATCCAGCCTCCAGCGCTTGAAGAAGTCAAAACAGAATCTGACGAGAAACAAATGCAGCAAGAGATGGACAGAGATTCAGAAGAAGCTAAGCAGCAGACAACCTCTCACACGCCTGCTGGAGACTCTGGGACTGTTGTTCAGGATTGTGTGAGTGTAGGGGATGAGTTCATCCTCCTTGTTCCGAAAGGACAAGCTGTAGAGATGGACATCAAGATTGATCAGTGGACAGACATTACAAAAGACGCGGTCCCTCCTACTGAACCTGAAGCGCAAAACCAAAAAGAAGCTGAAATAAAAGAAGAAATTCCCAGATATTATTATGATGAGGAGGACTTACCGTCAGCCCCGGTAGAAGAAGCCAGCACAGAGGAGTCAAAGATAGAGAAGGATTTAGTAGAAGACCAAGTTGTCCTCTCACCTCTCAGGAGCTTCTCTCCCCTAGAGGATTTATCTGGACTTCGAGGAGACGATGAGCAGACAGAAGAGGTGGAAGCAGAACAGCAGGAAGTTATCCACAAGGCAGATGATGCTCCAGAGGCAGACATCTTCCAAGACAATGCAGAACCGAGTGTTGATGTTTGCAGCAAAGAAAAGGAGGTCGTTTTAGATGTTCAGGAGGAAACGGTTGACGAGCTTGGATATGAAGTCATATCTGAGCAGGAAGCACAAGATCTGCCTCAGTGTGAGATACGCATCAATGCGGAGGAAGAGAGGACAGAGATGGAGGCAGAAAGGGGACAGAGGGAAGAGAGTTTTAGTGAAAATGAACTGATTCAAGCAGGATATGAAATTATCGATGAGGAGGAGGAGAGCAAGGCCCGGCTGGCTGCTGAGCTGCAGGGTCTGGACTGGTTCTGTGTGACCTGTGAACGTCTTCTATCCGAGGATGAGCGGATGTCTGAGGAGCATCGGGGCCACAAGGTGAATTTGGTGGACAAGGCTTATGAGGAAATCAAGGTAAGAAAAGAGTGATATGATGCTTGGGACCAGCAGCGTGGTGCAGTCGGACATTCTTAGAGAAATTTGTTGGCTTTCATCTGGGACATCAGATCATGAACTGGTCTTCACATAGTCAGCTGTGGGTTTTCCATTCATCAGTCAGCAGGTGGACTGCAGCCAACACATTGACTTGTTATGCTTTGATCAGTGGAAAAACACACACACACACACATATACACACCGTATATACCAAGTAGTGTTTGGCTATGGTTGCAGTGTGTGAGTTTGTATGTGTGTGTGTTTTCACATTCACTGAGAGACAGAGGAGACAGAGAGAGAGAGAGGGGGGTGGGGGGTTAAACGTTAGCATGATGTCATCATGCCATCACAAGAAAATGTCTGTGCAGGATTTGATATTTCAATGACAGAAAAGCTGGGTTGCATTTTTTTTAAAACAGACATTGTTTCCAGCCGATACGGAGGTTGGGTCCTGTGTTAGCCTGATTTATAAGAAACTGACAGCTGGACTGTATAAGAAAAGATCAAAGTTTTAACTGAGGTTGACTCCAGCACAGAGACATGTGGTTTACTCAAATGCTTCACGAAACCGATTCTAACCAATTCACAGAGTCGTGTTCCATCCAGTTTTTTGAAGTAGATATAACCTTTTCTGCTTCCCCAAATCTCCCCTTAACCCGTACTGGTTCTTACTGGTGAGGCGGTTGGGGAGCGATCAACATCTAGTTCGATCTCATTAAGCATGAGCTGCTCTCAAGAGGGAATGGGGATTCCTGCTGCTCTTCTCCATGATGCGTTGTCTTAAAACCTGAGAATTAGGATGGAAAACACAACAGAACACCAGAGTTGTTTTGACATTCAAAGAGAGTAAAATGTGTTTGTCCAACAGGAGACACTGAGTGTTTGGATCTCAGAGCTCCAGGAGAGGTCAGAGAACATAGAGGACTTGGTGTCTGAGCTGGAGTTGGCCTACAATTCAGTAGAGGTACAATCTTCTTCAGTTGCCCTTACTAGCACCATGAACAAAACAAGTCTTAGGCATAACATTACATCTTTGGGTCAGGATCAGTTTAAGGAGCAAGAGGAGGCCATACGGGTGCAGAATGAAGAGATGATGGCTCAGGTGATGGAGCAGTACAATCAAATGTCCATTACCATGGAGGAGGAGAAGAAAGCCAAGCTGGAGCAGCTCTATGACAAGATAGTTTCCTTCCAGGAGAACATCGACTCAGCCAAGACCACTCTGGAGACCACGGCCAGGGAAGATGAGACGGATGCTAGAGTAAGGCTCACTGATTGATGGGTTTCACACTCTGGTGTTCAAAAGTTGGGTCAAAAATTTTACTAAAGTTCTTTGAATTTTTTCTCCTTTTAGCCACCTGAAGACATCCATGCTAGGTTTGTCCTTTAGTGTCTGATTTTCTGTCAGTAACACACGATGTGTGTGTTTTAACCAGAACTCCAAAGGGTTCAAATGAAGGCAACTGGACTTTTTTGGTTTCTCGAAGACATTTCGCCTCTCATCCGAGGAAACCAAAGAGGTCCAGTTACCTTCATTTGAACCCTTTGGATTACCATGACCTGGATGACTGAGAACCTTCACCAGCATTTTAACCAGAACTAACATTTTGCCTGGTCCGATGAGCTAAAACTGCCTGGTACCTTGTTGTTAAACTGTACGGATTGATCTTTAACAGCGGACACATTTTTCATTGTGCGATTAGACTCACAGCAGCTCTGGACTCCGTCTTGTGCCTGGAGCTGGGGGCCAAGGGACTGCTGGTGTTTGAGGACTACACCAAGACCAACACTTCCAGCTCAAGCCTGGCACAGCGTAAAGGAATCCCAGGTAGATTGTTAGGGATCATTAAACTTCCTGTGCAGATTCTTCTGGATGTTGTGGGTAACGTGCCGCTGATATGTGCTTCAGCGCCTCAGAAGCCCACGCTGCAGACCCAGGAGCCGGGTTCAGGCACCAGCACCAGCGTCACTGTCTACTGGAAGGTCAACTCTGGAGACATTATAGACTGCTTTCAGGTCTACTGCATGGAGGATCCACAAGGGGGTAAAGACTGTCAGAATGCTGCCACCAGATATTTTTAAAAACCCACATAAGTTTTTTAAAGTACATATTTATTTTAGTTAAGTTCAGTGTGTGCTTGTTGTTGTAGCTGTGTCAGAGGAGTATCGAGTCACCGTGAAGGAGAGCTACTGTGTCCTGGAGGAACTGGAGCCAGACAAGACCTACAAGGTGTGGGTGATGGCTGTCAACTACACTGGCTGCTCTCTGCCCAGCGACAAGCTCATCTTCAGAACGGGTCAGCTCAAACCCTCAACCCAGTGTTTTCACCAGTTTGATTTCCTTTGCATGCTGGGAACAGCCATTTCAAATATGATTTGTGTGTTTGTGGCAGCTCCATCAGTGCCAGCGATCGACACGGAGCGCTGCACGGTCATGTGGGATTCCGCCACGCTGAGGTGGAGCTCAACAAAACAAAGCCCAGAACAGAGTTACACTTTGGAGTACTGCCGCCAGTACGAACTGGAAGGAGAAGGACTCAGGTCAGTGGGGTCGGGTCATGATTATTCAGCTTTACGGGTATCTGAATCCAAATACATATTCATAATTTATCATGATTCATGTGCTTTGTGTTACATATTCCCAGATCAATCTCAGGAATCAGCGTCTGTGAACAGAAGGTTCTCCTGCAACCCAATGAAAATTACCTGTTTTACATTAGAGCTGTGAATGAAGCTGGTTCCAGTGAGCAAAGTGAGGCTGCACTCATTTCTACAAAAGGTACAAAGAATGCCTCAAATTTACAGACTCTCTGTAGCTCTTAGTGCCAGAAATATGATGTTTTACTTTTTGGTTTTAAGGAACGAGGTTCCGCCTGCTGAAAGCCTCGGCTCATCCAGCTCTGATGCTTTCGGATGACCAGACCACCCTGCACTACCCACAGGAAGCACACAAAACAACAGACAAAGAGTAAGATTCTCTCAAACACCAGTCTTTTCTACCGCAGGTTTACTTCTAAGTAGATATGGGACATTTTGTTTGTTTTCCAGACACCCGTCCATCCTGGGGGAGTTGCTGCCTTCCCGGGGGCTCCACTACTGGGAGACCGTTGTGTCAGGAAGTACAGCCTACAGACTCGGAGTAACCACCAATAGAAACAGCGCACTTGGGGAAACCAGTACTTCATGGTGTTTGCAGTGCACTCCCTCTCCATCAGGGTATGATTTAAAAAAAATAAAACGACAAAAGTTTATTCTTGTCCTTACTTTGACCCAAAACACCCCGTCTTTGTCCAGCTGTAGGTACCAGTTACTCCACAACCACATCCAGTCCACTGTGTTTGTGACCAAGGTGCCTGAGCGAGTGGGCACTCTACTGGATTACCAGCTGGGCCGTCTGTCATTCTACAGTGTCCACAGCGGACAGCTGTTGGGGACATTCAGACAGTGGTTCGCCCAGTCCTGCCACCCTGTGCTGGCCCTGGAGCAGCCGGGCAGCCTGCAGGTCTGCATGGTGCAGGAGGCACCAGAGTTTACCAAAGACAGCTAACTACGCTGCTGCACGCTCTAGCCTCAGCGAGTTCACGTGTTCTATGTGTTGATTTGAATGGTTTAACTTTGTAATGATCAAATGACCACAGATGAAGAAAAGGCCAAATTCTTGTTTTCATTTAGACTAAAACAGCCTCAGTCAGAGTTTGGTTGGAAATCTTTTTTCTAAGACATAAAAATAGTAAAGGGGACATTTTTCCTGAGTTATAATAGTTGTATGGTCACTACCAACACATTCATGAAGTTCTTTGCATAATGTCCCTCTCACGTGAAGCAGTACCTTCCAGATTGAGCCGTTTCAGGGCTCTGTCACTTCAAGAAAACAAGCTGGAGCTGGCCAGCCCCCCCATTTAGGTTGCTATAAGCTGAGAAGCTCCGATGTCTGTATGGGACTCGGAATAGAGCTGCTGCTTGTCCAGCACATTAGAGGTGCTTCTTTTCTAATTTCTCTGTTTGTGACATCACAAATGGGTACTTTTTGAAACGGTCTGTTTGAGCACTTATCTCCTAAAACCAAACACTGACAGAAAATGGATGGATGAGTGTTTTTCATGTTTGGAGTGTTTATAGAAGCAGTAGAGACCCACATGGCATCACAAAATGATGCCAGTTTGTCATCATGAAGGTGGGTTTTGCATAATGTACTGTATTTGGTGGCATAAATGTAAACCAAGAATAAGTTAAATGAACTAATAGGAAGTAGTACATTGCAATTTCTAGGTGAGCGGGTTTATTTTGTGAGATGGTTTTTTGTAATTTAATGTGAGTTTTGTACTGTTTTTTATGATTTGTCTGAGTTTAGCTGCACCTTGCAGACTGTTTCATATTGTGACTAAAGCTTGTGTGTGTTTTTGTAAATAACATTTTCTAACAGAAAGGATCCGTTTTCTGTTGAAATTCTAACTTTCCCTGTCTTAATTTTCTTGTCTGATGATGATTATTTTTCTATTTTCACAAATAGATTTTTTTGGTTTACACCACTAGAGGGCACCAGCTCCCCATCAGCTGGTTCGACTCTAAACTTGTAAAATACACAAAACGAGCAGTTTTCCTTCTAAAGCAGTCAGCCACGGAAATAAATCAATCTTCACAAAAACCTTCCATGCTTTGGTTTCTCTCGAAGCTCTACCCGTCTCGTTTTTATCCATGTTTTTGCCTCATTAGGCCAAAATGTCTTTTAAACATCTGTTTGGGATCCAGCCACTCTCTTCACACAAGCCTTTTTATTTTCCAAAGGACAACATTCTCAGTTATTGCTCATATTTTCCAGGCAGTCACACCTTTTCTCTTTTCAGGAGAAAAATAAAGAAGGCAAACACATGCAGCCCATCAGGGAGATGTTTCTGGCCTCAGCCAGATGAGTTGGCTGCTGCCTGAAGGGAAAAATGGCTGACTGACTCTTCTCTGCCTGTTGGTGAGAATGGACTGAAGCGATTAGTTGTTTCCATCTAAATGAGGGTGGATCATGCAGAAGCTTCTTTCTTTTTTGGCTTTAATAGAGATGAGAAACTCACTGATGTCTGACTCTGAAGGACAAACTAATTAGAAATACTATGAATGTGCGACTAGGACAGATTTATTTCAATATATACTTTTATTATGGATGAAATGACAAATTGTAACTTTTTACAAGCACATGACTGAAAAATGTCACTAGAGGTTTATTTTGTTTGGAAAAGCAGGAAAAGACCAAACATTTATGACCCGTGTATAAAACTCTCAAAGATACAGTTAGCCTTTTGTCACCAGCAGTCATGAAGGCACACCGTAACACACCCAGACTTAACACATTTTCTAAGAGATGAGAGAACTACAAGGAACGCATCCCTGGAAATAGATTGTAGATTTTAAAAACATCCAGTTTTCCTCTGAGATACCAAAATATATTAGCTCTACAGAAATCCCACTACAAATGACAAAGGCAGATAAGCATGGTCACAAATAACGCAGCAGAGTGGAACAAATGTGTAAAAATAAGTCACATAAAATCAAGGCTCATCAAAAGTCTCCAACAACAAAGAACTATTTAAAAGACACGTCGGTTTCTGATGGTCCACAGGACAAGTCTTTCTCTCACACACACAATAGTCCCAAATATTATGCATGAATAACTTAATATAAAGTGCAAAACTCCTCCATAATCTTGAGTTTTTAGTCATCTGATCAGCTCTATGTGGAGGAAATAAGTGAATCTGACTATAATCATCCTTATTTACAACTATACAGGCTGTTCCACAACAGTGAAGAACTAAAGATTTTATGGCAGATGAGAAACATAAATGAGATCCTTCACTGTAAAACGCAGACACCGGTGTGGCTCTGCTGCGGTCTCTTAAAGCACGTCATCCTCTAAAAACACGAGTAAAAGATTAAAAGAAAAAATCCCAAGTAGGTTAAATTCTGCACCACTTACTTCCCTGCTGGACTCCTCATTTCCTCCGTCGTCCCTTTGAACTGCACTTCACAGCATTCCCTCCTCCACCACATACATGCACTCTTCTTTTATAAATACGTTACACATGCACTTTCTTCCCTTTCAGGCAAACAGCTTTTAAATCTATCACCATTATAGTAAAATAATCTTGTTGAATTATATATTCTTGCTTTTGTTAATCATTATTTTCCACTTGAATCAACGCTGCACTAGCTATTCTTGCTCCCTGTCAGTATGTTCTGTTGGATTCTACCTCTGGATGAGTCGGGATCGAAGCTGAAAGCTTGATTTCTAGGCAGGAGTGGAGCTATTTGCACCAGAAAGACCGGCTTTGGGCTCTGCTCTGTAAGGTTTGTGCTGTGGGCTGCTGCTGCGGAGATTGTCATCCATCTAAAGTAAAACAACAACAAAAAAAAACTATTTAGGCGGTCCTCGAGGGAACGAAGAAGAAACGGTAACAGTGACGGTACCTGCTGAAAGCAAACACGAACCCATGCAAGAGAAGAAAAAAATGAAAGCAGAAGCACCTTTTCTATCAAGTTGGACTCTTTGTTTACAAGCTGTGTTAGTTTCTGAAGGTTTGCATCCACTGTTTCCTGAACAGGTGGGGGAGGACCTGGAGAAACACCAAGGAGGGAGAGAGGAGGAGGAGGAGGATGGAGCAGGAAGTAAAGTGAACCCAGGAGTAAAGCAGATGCAGAGATTTATGGTGAGAAGAAGTAAAGCTCTGATCTGGTTAGATTTGCATCCTTGTAAGGGTTGGATTTATTCGAATTTCAAGCCTCAGAGGGTCGGTGATTCTAGTGTTTAGGGATCTTACAAGGGCGGTCCGAGCTGAAGAAGGCCGCGAGGATGTTGTCACAGAAGCCCGTGAGGTTTTCCAGCTGCCTGAGGTGGCTCAGCAGAGGGCTGCTGGGAAGGTTAGCTTTTTCCAGTGGAGCCAAAAAACCAAACACGAAGGCATCCAGGCTGGTTGGCCTACGATCACCATCAAACACAGATAACTGTCACATGAAATGTTTGATCAGAAAACAAAGCAAGTTTAATAGTCAACTTTTGACCTCATAAAAAACAATTATGAACTCACGAGTTGCCAAAAAAGTACTTTGCAGCTCCGAGTCGATAAGAGAGGAGATTCAGACACTCTTTAGCATCACTGTAGATCTGAGTCAGAGCAGGAGAGATTAAACAGAACCCTCATGGCTGACAAGGTGTGTAACTGAACCGTGTTTACCTTTCCCTCCATTTCAGAGATTCTGTGTAACGGCGCCTCCCCTTTGGTAAGGAGGATGCGGGAGAGGGCGATGTTGGCATGGCGACAGGGGACAAGAAAGTTGAGTGGGAATGGTGAGCGAGAAGCGAACCACGGCCGTGTCAGGTTAGCATAGTTTTCTGCATCCACCCAGAAAGTGTGTAACTGTGTTAAGCAAAGAAAAAAAATCCTAAATTTTAACAACTCTAATATTTATCAGGAAATGGAAAAGGGGCAGATGGAGCAACCAGAGCTGGACGAAGCTTCTCTTCAAGCAGAGCGATGTACGCCATGGTGTCTGCACCTTGTCTGGCTGTCAGCTCATAATCTGCATTCAACCTCTGCAAAAATGGGAGAAAATACTACTCCAAATGCTGCAAATCCCCCGATTTTACTGCAGTTTTCTAAAGACACCAAACAAAGGGTAGATTTTCTGACCTGTTTTCTCATGAAGTTAAGAATCTGTGTGGGTTCCTGAACTGTAGAGTCTCCACAAAACAGCTCCGGGACGCTCGCTGTGGACATGTCAGACAACATAATGCAGAAGGAAGACGAACATTCAGAAAGAAGCGAGGTACAGGCGCACCAACATGTTCAGAGATTCATACCTAAGCCAAGAAGGCAAAACACACAAACAAATCATTCATTTCTATTTAGCATGTTCTTATTCCACCTTTATCCCCAGGGCCACAGTTTACCTGCATTAAACACAGACACAACTTATGCTTCTGAAACTGATGAGCATTCACTCCTAGGTTACCTGTTATTGTTTTCCATGTCCAGTCAATCGGAGAAACTGTGACGTTCGCTCCACAAAATTTGGCATATGCCTGAAAAGAAAACAAGAAAGCATTTAGGTCAGCAGAGATGGTAAAAACAGAACTCTGTTCATCTGGAACAATAAAGTGTTAAAAAAGGTCTTCCTGGAACTACTAACCTAAACCCACAGAGGACAGCTCTGTAAATTTGTTCTTTAGTCCTCAAAACAAAACTGTCGCCGCTACATTAGTGAAACATTTCCAAACCTTATGGAAATTATTATCACTTTTATTGGCAGAAATGTAGCAGGGAAGACAATAAGTGAAAACTGTATCATGATATTTATTCCTGCAATATATCGATATTCAAAAGCCGTGTATCTAATTTTTGGAAGAATTTACATGCAAACATTTGTGTTTTTTCTTTTCTTTGACTTTTGGTGCAATTCAAAAGCTGACCGCTATAGTTGGCAGGAGTGTGCAATGGGATTTGTTTCTACCATTGAAATGTAAATCCCTCTATTATGGTTCAGATATCTCATGTTAAACATGTTTAGTATCAGCTTGGACTGGTTATGGAATATTCCTACAATAAATTCAGTCAAAAAAAATCGCTAATGACGTCTGACTGAATGTAGAAGAAGAAGAAGACAATCTTTTATATGGCGCCTCTCAAGATAAAAATCACAAGGTGCTTCACAAAAACAAAAATTAAAGTATAAAAATATTTTAAAAATGATCAAAAATATGTTTAAAAGGAAAAAAGAACAAAAATATTAAGGAAAAGGAGACAGAAAATGAATAGGAAAGAGGGAAATCAGTGGATCCTGGTAAAGGAGGAATAAGAGCAGAATAAGGAGAGGGTGGTGATGAAGGTCACACCAAATTCAGCTTAAACAAGTGAGTTTTCAGCTTATTTTTAAAGGAGACCACTGAGTCCACTGATCTCAGGCTCAGAGGGAGAGAGTTCCAGAGTCTGGGGGCCACAGAAGCAAATGATCTGTCACCTTTGGTCTTTAGTCTGGTGTGCTGCACAACCAGTAGGCTTTGATCACTGGACCTCAGGGACCTGCTGGGGGTGTAGGGACCAAGAAGATCACCAATGTAAGATGGTGCTTGTCCATGTAAGGCCCTATAGACCAGAACCAGGATCTTGAAATGAACCCTGAAGTTGACTGGCAGCCAGTGAAGCTGGAGGAGAAACGGGGTGATGTGGGTGTGTTTGGAGGACTTGGTCAGAAGCCGAGCACAGGCATTCTGAACCATCTGTAGACGGTTCAGGGAGGTTCTGCTCAGACACGTGAAAAGAGAGTTACAGTAGTCTAAGCATGAGGAGATGAAGGTGTGGAGAACTGTCTCAAGTTCAGAGCGGGACAGAATGGGACTCAGCTTAGCAATGTTCCTGAGATGGAAGAAGGAAGAGCGAACAAGAGAACTGACATGAGGATCCAGAGTGAGAGCTGGGTCAAAGGTCACACCAAGATTCCAGACAGAAGGTTTGATGTGAGAAGCAAGCTGACCAAGAGAGTCACTGACTTTGGGAACCAGCTTGTCTGGGGCACAGATGAGGATCTCAGTCTTATCTTCATTCAGCTGTAGAAAGCTCCCAGCCATCCAGGTTTTAATAGAGTAAGCAGGTGTGTACCGCAATATATCGTGATTAGTGATGCACCAATATGAAATTTTTGGGCTGATACCGATATCCGACATTAAGATCACTGTTATGGCTGATAACCGATATTTGCAGATACCGATATACTGGCATTAATGCTTCTAAAAATCTGCAGATTTTTTATAGAATGAAACTTATTTAAGCTGATTTTACATTATTATGTAAACACATCACACACATTTACGCTTCTGAGATGATTACAATCACTGTCACGTGACTAAGCAAATACACATCACCCCCCTCACCCTCTGAAACAGGAGAACAAATGGAAACAAGATGGAAAAAATATCGGTTGTTAATATTGCCCCAGTTTTATTTATTGTACCGATATTAAAGTTAAAGTCAAAAAGTCCTATTAGTTGTCACACACTGATATGTGCGAAATGTTTTCTCTGCATTTGACCCATTACCCTGGAAAGAGTGATGAACTGCAGACACAGCCGCGCACCATTTGGTATTTTAAATATGTTTAAATATATGATATATGGGGCAGCAGCAGCTCAACAGGTTGAGCGGGTTGTCCAGTAATCAGAAGGTTAAGACTCTTAACTAGGGCTGCAACAAACGATTATTTGGATAATCGATTAATCGGATGGGGTCTCGACACGATTAATCGATTAATCGGATTACATGGGGAAATTTTTAAAAACTGCTAGGGAAACGTTATTTCTCTCCTTCCTTCACTTATATTTAACACAACATTATTAGAAAACAGTTCAATAGCAGAAAAACAACATGCCATCACCTAAATTGTCTTATAAGGTGTATAGACAGAGACCCTAAGCTACATCTATCTGTGACCTAAAATGCTTGGTCCAAGTTAAACAGCTTAAGGGCAATTCTCATCTGTTTTGTTTGATCTCATCTGTTGACATATATTTTAAATGTAATTAAACATAGGCTGTGAATTAATCAAAATTGATCACTATTTCCAAAAATGACTGAAAAAATACCAAATAAAACAAAAGTAAATGAATGCCATCCTCCTTGCGATGATGCCCTGGGCAACTGCCATAAAGTCACATCAAGAAATGCTGCTGATCATTCCAATGATCCCAAATAGACTCACATTAGGCCACATGAAAGCAACTGAACCCAAAAATATATTAACCAGTATATAACTGCACTCTCACACAACACGCCTGCAGCAACAGTTAGGACTCCTCCCTCCCTTTTAAAAGCGTTTTTGCTTCTGAGGACATTGTGGTTGTAAAACCACATGCTAGTAGTCTGGCCCCGGTGTGATCAACCAGTTTCTGCGGGAATGTGACGGCGGAACCAGGGCCAGATTAACACTTTGTTGTACCCTGGGCAACAATATTCAAGGGCTCCATCATCACGACCCGAGGATCACCATAATGTGGTCACATACAGAATATTTTACTGTAATATGCAGTAAATATACTCAATACTTGAATGCCTGACAACACGTAACCCGCCCAGAGTAACCTTTGACCCACCTCGTGTGGACTGACCAATGAGGAGAGGGTCTTAACTTGAGGCCCTCTCTTCATTGGTCATTCTGCATGAGACTGACTCTCAACTGACGTTCAGTCGTAGGCAGCGAAGCTTCTCTGCAGTGCAAAAGCCCGGGTGGACAGTTTGTTTAATGTAGGGTGACCATATTTCCATTTCCAAACAAGAGGACAGGGGATCTGTGCCTATGACGTCACACTATGGCAACGCCACACAAACCATGTTGGGACCCATTTTTTGTAAGAACTAAATTAATATCAGATTCTGCCAATTAAAGGGCTCTAAAACTATTCATATGTAAATATTTAGCATATTTAATGCAAAATCAAATTTTTCTGCTTTAGTTCTGCAACAAGGTTTTATTAATAATAAATTATTATACCTTTTGTTTTACTACAGCATCGGTACGCTTCCTGTGCACAGATTATTAAGGATGCTTGTTTCAGCTGTGAGATTAGACGATAGGATCAATGAAAAAATAAGTTGTCACACACTCCATGGAAACTTTCAGAGAATCCACAAATAGTGGCTTTCAAATGGTTTTGTTACTTTTTGCAAGTTTATAAAAGAAGCAGATGAGACAGCATATCTGATAATTTAGTTTTTCATCTGATAATATTAGAACATGTCAGTAATGTCTGAGGGGCTTTTATAAACACCATATAACTAACACTACTGGAGAGGGCATGAATTACAGAGGCTTCTGGGGAGCCCAGTTATTGGGGGGGGGGGGGGGGGGGGGGCATTTTGCCTTGGCCCCCAAAATGTCTTGAAACGGCCCTGGGTGTGTGACTGAGTTTTGAAGGTGATCTGAATTGTATCAGATGTATAAATATGACATGTGTATAACTTATTGTTTTTTATAGGTAAAAACGTGTAGTGGTGATAAATCTAACTACATTTTACTTTTCAACACTTTGTTTTCAGCGCTTTGTTTCACTTTCAGCGCTTTGGGCTTCCTGACAGGGTTGCGGAAGGCGCTTTATAAATAAAGCTTTGATTGATTGATTGATTGATTGATTGATTGTTTTTTTGTTTTTATTGAACTATTTTCCTGTCCTGTCTGTCTCTCATCTTCCTGCATCTCCTCTTAATTCTCCAGAAAATCTGTTGCCTGGATTCTTACCTTTTCACCTCATCAGTTACTTTTGAGCAGATCAAAGGGATCTCCTGACCGAAAAGCGCAGAGCGCGTTTTCGATGCTGCGTGAGGTGACATCACCACAGCACAGGTGATGAGCTCCGCAGTAGCGAGCTTCAGGCACAAATAAGACAGAAAATAGAGAAGATGTGCAGACAAGAACGATCGTGAGCTAATTATAGTTTTTTGGTTGCGCCACTTTGAGAATGGACCGTGCGCTGGAAGCAGCTGCCTGGATCGCTGTGCAACAATGCGGAACCGGTTCGCAGCAGCGCAAGTCTGCCGGCTCTCCCTCGCGCTGATCTGCCGCTACCGGCTCTCCCTCACGCTGATCTGCGGCTCTCCCTCGCGCTGATCTGCCGCTACCGGCTCTCCCTCACGCTGATCTGCGGCTCTCCCTTGCGCTGATCTGCCGGCTCTCCCTCGCGCTGATCTGCCGGCTCTCCCTCGCGCTGATCTGCGGCTCTCCCTCGAGCTGATCTGACTTGCTCTGATCTGCGCGCAACGGCGGGCGGGATTCGGGAAGGGGGGGGGGGGGGGGGGCGCTTTTGGAAGAGTTGTGCGACACAACGAATCGATGACGCAATTCGTTGCCAACGCTTTTAGTAATCGATTTTCATCGAATTTATCGATTCGTTGTTGCAGCCCTACTCTTAACCCACGTTGCCTGCTGGTGGTGGTCGGAGGGACCGGAGGCGCCTGTGCTCGGCAGCCTCGCCTCTGTCAGTGCGCCCCAGGGCAGCTGTGGCTACATCGTAGCTCATCACCATCAGTGTGTGAATGTGTGTGTGAATGGATGAATGATACACTGTAGTGTAAAGCGCTTTGGAGTCCTTACTCTGAGAGGCGCTATACAAGTGTGGGTCATTTATCATTTATCATATGTTAAAAAATGACTAACATTGGCCGATATCAACGCCGATATATTGTCCATCCCTAATCGTGATGCGTATCGTATTACTAGAATTTCACAAATACATATCCCTATATCATAGTGTAAAGAATGTGTAACTAAACGCAGAACAGTTAATGCAGATAACTGATTCAGCCATTAGCAATATTTGATTACTCCAAAACATAATATATTCAAAAAATTTTTATGATAAAACAAAAACAAAAATGTGAACTGAGCTTTAAAATAAAGAAAAAATATTTACTCATTTTTTTCCAATTGATTTTATACATTTTTCTGAATTAAAGCCACAGCAGACAGCATCACTAAACAAAAACAACTGCAGTCTATCTAGGTTGATTTCCTTCATGACAAGTATTTAGTCAAAGTGAATTTTTTATTTTATTATTTGTAGCAAAAACACAACATAAATTCTCACTCTTGTTTTAAATTTAGATATTTTAGTTTAAAAAAGAGATTATTGATAATCTATAATGCATAGTAAATTTTCTCTGGATAGATGGAAAGATGGGAATCTTTATTTTGTACATGAGAAAAGGCGCCTCCTTGTGGCCGGAGTCGTTACTGCGCGTGTTCGTTGACACAACATCCTGCCCAGATGTTAAACAGAAAGAAAACACCAGACTAGACTCAAAGCTGAAATAATTCTGCCACTGGCAGTGATTTCTTAACAAAGGAGATGAAAATAAACCAGAAGAAAGAAAACGTGGAGGTTTAGCAAACTGACCTTGACCAGATTTTAGTTAATAAAGAGAGTCGCTCATGAAGGTCAAACCTTTCACAGGCAGTAATTATTTCCTGTTGCAACGTAAAATTTAACGCCAATTGTGTTTTCTCTCTCCTGCATATAGAAAAAATAGGAGTTGCTGCAGCAGCTGAGTGAGTTAGCATGAAGCTAACGACTGAAACTAGAGAGGAGCCTCCAGAAAAAAAAAAACAAAGAAACCCGGCTGGCTAAAAATCTGCTCCAGAAGCGCTGACGAGGTTTTTTCACCGGGCAATCGATGGTCTTACCAGAACTATGAGGGAGTCGGTGTGGACAGAAGGTAAACCCCAGTCTCCTCCCCAACATCTCAGCTCCATGGCAGCAGCCATGTTTCTGATTCATACAGAATGACGTCACGTGATGCCCTGTCATGTCAGTGCACGCAAGCGCAGGTGGGAAACGTGAACTAACAATAAACATGAGCCTACTTTAATCTCACTGCATGATTTTTTTACATGAAATTATTTATAACAGTATGAAAAAACTTGAGAGAATAAATAATTCAGTTCAATTCAACTTAATTTATAAAGCCACTTCCTATCCCCAATCAAGGGGACCCAAGGTGCTGAACAAAGTGTTAAGAACAAGTAAAACACAATAAAACAGCTGAGCTGTATAGTAAAATGCAGAATCACAACATTTAAAATGCAACAAAACATTTTAAAAGCCATTAAACAAAAGCTAAGAACTAGACCTAAGATGAACCTTCAGCCTAGCTTTAAAAGTGGGCACCGATGTGGATTGTTTTATTTCTAGCGGCAGATGGTTCCAAAGCCGAGGAACCAGAACTGAAAAGGCACAATCACCCCTGGATTTAAGCTTTGACTGCGGAACCACCAGGAGGTCTCTCTGACCCGAGCGCAATGATGTTGCAGGGACATAACAGGTCAGCAGTGAGGCTGAATATGGTGGGGTAGTTCCAGACAAAGAGTTAAAGACAAAGACCATGATCTTGAATAAAATAGTGTTTCACTGCTAACCAGTCCAAAGCAGTCAGGAGGGGAGTGACTTGGTCCCATTTCTGTGCTCCATAAAGAAACCTGGCAACAGCATTCTGGACCAGCTGCAGCCGAGTCAGTAAGGACTGGCTCAGGCCAGCATACAGAGAGCTGCCATACTCTAATCTCGAGATAATAAAAGCATTGGCCATGGTTTCCAACTCCTGTTTTGTGAGGATCGACTTAATCTTAGACAAGCGCCTCAGCTGATAAAAACATGAACGAACAACAGAATTCATCTGGACATCAAATCATAGAGCAGAGTCAATTTTAACACCCAAATCTATGATCACAGACTTCTCGAAGGGGAGCAGCGATAAAAGGTCCAATCCAAGGGGCTGATGGTCATTTGAGGCTAAAGCTGTTACTTCAGTTTTGCCCTCATTCAGAGTCAGGAAGCTGTACCCCATCCTCTGAGCAACATCCTGTAAACAATTCACCAGCTTCTGTTTTCTGTCCCTGGCCCCTTGCTGAATTGGCAAATAAAGTTGACAATCATTAGCATAGAGATGGAAGCTAATGTTATGTTTTTTTAAAATAACAGTCCCACTGGTAACACATAGAGCGAGAGCGAGAGAAGCAGGGAGCACGAGACAGAGCCCTGGGGAACCCCCCACCTAAGCTCAGCATCTCTGGATGAAAAAGAGCAGAAAAAGCCTTCCTAAAAAAACAGGGTGGCATATATATAAATAAATAGATAAAAAAAATAAGTATAAACGTCCATCATACACACATTCACATGATCATCTAATATGCACAAAAACAGCATTGGTTTCTTGAAGTCTAAATATTTTCAGATTGAAAGGAATAATTGTATACATGGAAAAATACTGGGCATTATTTATTTAATGTAATCTATGTTTGAATGACAAAAGCTACACGAACATTAATAAACATTACCCAAACAAAGCTGTTTTAGTTTTATAATATTAGGCACTAATCTGTGATGGCAAACATGACAAACGAATTATTCTTAAAACCATCCATAGATAGGAACAAAATCAAATAGTTGTTTTTCTGGAATAAAAAAATATTAAATAAATTACCAATGAATCAAATATTATCATAATTAAAACAAATGAAATAGTACTAGAAAATAAAATAAAATAATAATATTTTTACATTAAAGTACAACAATCAACTGTTGTTCACACAATAATTATTTGAACTGTCTTTTCTTGGGTCATGTTAAAGAGAAAGTCACCCCCACCAGAGTCTTACTCCACTATTTGAAAAATATCTGGCAGACCGAGAGGGCTGCTAATAAATACATACACACACAGGCTCATAATGACATTGTAACATCATAATATACCAGCTAACATCACAGTGTACCTCTTATCCAATAGCAATGTCAGATTTCAATTCAAATGCAGTGCAGAGTTTTTACCTGAAGAGGGCACGACACTGACAGTTTTAAGCATAATATTTAAATTTTAACTAAGATTCACTAAAGTGCCAAAATATTGACTGCACATGTCTGAGCACGGTTAGACACTTGTTGCTCATTTATATAGTTTATCAGCAAAAAAGTTTATTTGGGGGTGACTTGCTCTTTAAATTTCAGGTATGAAGCTGAAGTCCATTAGTTAATGTGTGTTCCAGAGCTGACGCAGTGTTGGGGACAGCCAGGTGTTTGGTTGGAGGCCAGGAAGCCAGAAGCAGCCGGATCTACACTGGAAATGCACTGAGGGATGGTAAATGTCTCGCTCTGGCTCAGACAAACAGCTGTTGGAATATACTTGAGCTTAGGAAAAGCTTAGAGACAAGTTCCAGACATCTAACATTAAATGTTTCCAGAACTGAAAACTGCCCCAAGCCTTTCTGGCTTTGTCCTTCCTCTTCTGTGATCTGCACAAGAACTTTTGCAATGGCATGGAGAGGTAGTTTACTAGAGTTAAGCTTAAACTAAACTCACGTGGATGAAATTCCTTGTTGTTTATTTATTTTAATGGTTAAACATCGAAATCATTATTTCTAAATTGACAGAAAACTTGAAAATGTTTTAGATGCAAATGTTGAACGAATTCTTAATTTTTTTTTTTTGCAGGAGTGTGTGAAATCACCATCAGATGCATCCTTCTAAATTCCTCAAACTTGAGTAATTTCTTTTTTTGAATGTTTTACTTTTTTATTAAAATTGTTTTTAAAACAAGTTCAGAAATACTTATAAAATACGAGTCATCTTCTCATGTATTAAATTTAGTGAAAATGTTGTGAAAATCCTTCTACTCAATGAGTTGAGAGGACAACAAAGAGCAGGAACCCCTTAAAATGATTAAACTGGGCTGTTCACTCTGTGCCACCAGAGGACACGCCCCTTGTCTTTAAAAGCTGTGGAACCATCTGCTGAGATTTTACTTTATTCTGTGAGGGATGTTAGATATTTATTAAGCAGTAAGAGAGCTGTTTTTGGGATTAGACTTTTTTATATATATATTTTTTCTCTAAGTCATGATGACTGGAATGTGTGTTAGAGCAGCAGCTCTGGTCCTGGTGCTGCAGCAGCTGGTGCTCATCATCACCGCTCAGGGTATCGGTAAGTTTCCCTGCTTCAATTATTCAGTCATGGAAAACCTTTCACATCGTGTTTCTGTGTTTGTTTAATTCCTATTTATAGTACCAACAATCTGTTATAATAAAATTTTATTCTGCTACTTTTTGCATAAATTGTAGAAACCAAGCAGACTTCAATAAAGGGGGTAAAACAACATTCACCAAATAATAATTACCCTAAAATCTACAGATTTTTATTTTCATTTTCTCATAAAAGTTCCAGTCCTGTGTTGTTGCTGAGGTTGAGTTTCGTTCATTTGAGTTTGGCACATCGGGCTCATTCCAGGGGACGCATTTTCCTGCAGCTCCATAAAAACCCAGCAGGATGCCAGCTTCAGTGTTCATTTACACACACATGCATGTGTGCACACACAACAATGTAAACTGTCACACATAATAAAGTGCCACAGCGCTGTGACTCAGCAGTAGTGATCGCACTACACTAAGGAGACAGGAGCACCAGATGTAGATCATTTAGGGCACTCTGGTCTTTTACCTTTTTTCAGGATTTCTTCATGTCTTTTTGTTTTTATTCACTGCAACTTAAAGGATACATGAAATGACTTTTTTAACTTAAGTTCTAACAGTTCTATGATCGATATAAAACACTTTCGTGAAGTTATTTGCTTTAAATCCCTCTCACATACAGCCACATCTGCAGTTTTATTCTTGACAGTTTCAGTACCTTCCAGAATGAGCCATTTCAGGACTCCATCTCTTTAAAAAACAAGCTGGAGCTGGCCACACCAACTCACCCCCTACTCAGGCTGCTATAAACTGAGAAGCTCTGATGTATGGGAGAGGCTTGGAATAGAGCCGCTGCTCCTCCATCAGCAGCTCTCTCTTACACATGCACATGAAAGTTGGTTCTATGCTAATTCCCTGTTTGTGACATCACATACGAGGAATTTTTTAAATGACTTGTTTAACCCTTTAAGCATCAAAGTCACAATATTGTGACAAGCATCATTACTGACTTTAACAAGCCACGTTTGAAAAACACCTCCCGCCGAGAGGCCCCTGGTTGGGGTGAGGACGAGACAAGAATGTGAGCGCAGCATGAAGATGGCGAATATTAGAGGGAAAGAACTTACAATTGCTGGCAGGTCTGGTCTTTGTTGACTGATCTCTTTGTCTGGGTATGACTGACTCTGACAATGAAGCAGAATATTGACTCTGTTGATGATATTCATTCATTCAGCTGGAAAGATTGACGCTGCCGCAGCACGCAGCATCAGACAGCTGGTGCTGTACTTACAAGCTCCAAACGTTGGGTTTGACATTTGTTTCACCGTCTTTGAGATATGATGGATGTAGAAATGATGGTTAAAAATACCGCTAATGTGACAGACATAGCGGCAATGTAAAAAAAAGCAGCAGATGGCGATGCGTTATGTATGGAAGTCAAAGTGTGCCACAAAATCATCCATCCATCCATCCATGCATTGTCTGAACCCGCTTTGTCCATGTAGGGTCAATTAAAATATTAAATTAAAAGTAAAAAGAGCTTCATATATGTTTATATAAATGAAATTTTTCTAAATATAATGGAAATTTCAAGATAATATGTAAAAATAAGACAGAACATCTGTAAAAATGATGCATTCCAATATGGCAGCCTAATGATGTCACAATATGCAAATTGGATGAGTGAATTTGCTCCCAACACAAACTTTGGGTCCTACTGAAGATTATTCTTATTTGCAGTTTACCTTTATCTCTAACCATTTCCTGGCTACAACCTTTTAAAATAGTCTTGTCAAAATAGAATATTTTCTTGAAAACACTCCGGCGCCCAAAGGGTTAAAGCACACCATTCCTAAAAGCAAACACTGACAGAAAATGGAGTTTTGCATAATATGTGTTCTTCGGGGCGATGGTGTCACAGGAGTTAAGTGCTCGCCCCCGTAATCGGAAGGTTGCAGGTTCGAGCCCCGCTCAGTCTGTCGCTGTCGTTTTGTCCTTGGGCAAGACACTTAACCCACGTTGCCTGCTGGTGGTGGTCGGAAGGACCGGTGGCGCCAGTGCTCGGCAGCCTCGCCTCTGTCAGTGCGTTCCAGGGCAGCTGTGGCTACATTGTAGCTCATCCCCACCAGTGTGTGAATGTGTGTGTGAATGGATGAATGACTGATTGTGTTGTAAAGCGCCTTAAGGGGTTCCAGGACTCTAGAAGGTGCTATATCAAATACAGGCCATTTACCATTTTAATATGTTTTTCTAATTGTTCTGTTTTAGTCTACGACCTGCTGGTGTCTCCAGACTGCCTGCCAGACTTGCTCCAAGGAAGCTTGAAGAACAAAGGTCGGGACGAAGCATTTCTCCTCTCGTCCTTTAGGCTCCAGAACAAGGCCCCCACCTCCCTCTTTAGTGTGATTAACCCCAAAGACAACAACAAGTACCTGGAGCTCAGTGTGCAAGCCAAACTGAGCAAAGGTGCGTCATCACACAAATGCACCATATGATGTTTGTGACAAACTCATAAATTCTCTCACTGTTTTCAGTGACTCTTCGATACCAGAAGACTGATGGGAGATTTGGTACCACCAGTTTCAACCACGCAGCCCTGGCAGATGGACGAGAGCACCACGTCATGCTCCATGCCAGAGGCCTTCAGCGGGGCCCCCCTCGCCTTAACATCTACGTTGACTGTAGACTGGCTCACACTTTAAATGATCTGCCAGCTGCGTTTGGGTCGCTCCAGCCGGGCCCCAACAAGGTGGCGCTCAGGACCTTGCAGTCGAGTGGACAGGTGAATGAAAACATTCTAGACATTAACACACAATTTCTCGTGCTTTAACTGTTATTCGTCTTTAAGAATGAGCTGACAGACTTGAAGCTGGTTATTGAGGACACCATAGACAACGTGGCCACTCTGCAGGACTGCAGCGTGGAACCAGCTGAATCTCTGCACCTGCTGGGTAAGCTGCAGCCTGATGTCACCCTGATTCAGGTAGTCATGTCATGCATTTTATTATTTCATTCTGATTTCACTCAGGTATCCAGGGAGGCGGCGGGGTGCAAGACCAAACCACCACACAGGAGCTGAAGAACATGCTGACTGAGATGAGGGAGTTGCTAAACCAACAGGTGATCTAATAACCCAGATTTCTGTGTCTGACATTCATATTGTGGCTTCTGGATGGAGAACGAAGGACATGGAAGAAGAACTGGTGATGCATCACTATTATTAAAATGAAATTTACCTTAGGAATTGCCATTAGAGAATAATTGGAGCTGAATTTCTGCTGAAGTGATCTGGCAGTGATGCTTTATAAGCATGAACAGTAATAATAATCACAAAATGGCTCACTGAGTGGTTGCCAAAGTTTCCCTATTCAAAAAGTCAGCAAAGGGACGTAGTCATTGTCCCGCCTCCATACTTCCTGGTTCCTGAGCCAATCATATGTGAGCTTTCAAGGCTGCCTAACTCAAACACTGCACCAGCATTTGTAATTCAACACCAGCTGGCAAAGAGCAGCAGTGATGTGGACAGACTATTAGCCAGTAAAAGGAGGGACCCAGAGGGTATAGCTCTAAGAAGCCACCACATCTTTTTGTTTTAATCCAATATCGGGAAAAGAAGGCTAAAGCTGCACGTTCTGCACTATATGTGCTCACCCTTTAACTTTAACTTTGTTTCTTTTTCATTTTTGCTTTTAATTTTCTGTCATGTTGATTTTAATGTTCTTACAAATGGAAAGCACACTGAATTGCCCCCATGTATGAAATGTGCTATACAAATAAAGCTGCCTTGCCTTGCCTAATGTGGAGCTAACAATGCTAACGATGAATTAGAAACAAGTAGTCTACTCTAAAAATATCTGAAGCTACTTTTTAAATTACCAACAACTTGATATTACAGTGAAATTTATTTATATACTTATCAACTTGCTGTGTATGACTTGAGTTCAATTGTCGACTCATCCGGCGCTAAACTGGCAACCGTTGATCAGAACAGACTCTTTTGTTTTGATACATGGACTTCAGTACCCACATTTGATGTCATTCTTACTTCATGCACCTTTAACAACTATTTAGAATGTTTCCATTTTCTTGAACGAGTGCTTTTATAGTGGAAAAAAGACAATTTGGACTTTGAATCCCTGGTCATTTTTTTCAGTTGTCTAATTTCAAGGCTTTATTTAACCTTTGAGTTCAGAAATACTGCTGCAGTTTTTAAATGATCATTCAAATAAATTATTTTATATCCTCATACTGATTTTTTAGGTACGCACTACATTATCCAGGCAGCAACTGAGATTCTGCAGGAATCTCTCTCTTTTTAGCGTCCATCCAAAAAGTCTTAGTTCTTCCTCTGACGGGTCAGCTAATCACTAAAAAATGTGGTGAGTGAGGGAAAACATTTTCTGTTTAAGGGAAATGTGTTTCAGCATAGAGGTTTTTTTCAGTGAGTGTAGAATCTTCCGCTGGAGAGAATCAATGTTTTTATGATGAATTTGACCTTTGGGACTTTATAATTTGATATATTACAAATTAAATCTCTTTAAAATCTAACATGATCTGTTTACTGGAAATCATTAGTTTGCAGTTAGGGTGCTTTTGTGAAAGTTGGAGTTGTATTTTTTTAAATCATCATTCAGAATAATCTTACTTGCCTCAAACAACTGTCCATTTATAAAATTTCTCCTTTTTAAATGCAGATTAAAGAAACAAATTTCCTGAGGAATACCATTGCAGAGTGTCTGGCCTGTGGTAAGCAGTAAAAAGGCCATATAACTTATTTTTGTATGGTTAAGAGTCCTTTTAATTCTTATTTGTCGCACTTGCACCCACAGGACTTGAAGGACGCCCCAGTGACCCAGATCCGGCTCCGAGTCCTGGTCAGGTGATCCTACAGCCTCAGCCTCTGACTCAGTGCCCACCAGGAACCTGCTTCAGACAAAACATGTGCATTCGTTCAGAGTCAGGTGGCTTCACGTGTGCTCCCTGCCCTGATGGATACACGGGAGATGGAGTTCACTGTGACGATGTGGATGAGGTAAGGATTTCAGGTGGGAATGAAGTAAACCAATCAGGTTCTGATGGTTATGTTTGTTTCTCTGTTTTAGTGCAAGTTTAACCCGTGTTTTCCTGGTGTCCGGTGTGTGAACACTGCTCCCGGTTTTCTCTGTGAGAAATGTCCTCTGGGATACAGCGGGCCACAAATAAACGGCGTTGGTGTGTCTTACGCTAAGTCACACAAACAGGTATACCATGATTTAAATGTTCCAAATGGCTAAAACACCAATAACTGTCCATATTCTGGCTCTGCTTGTCCTCCCAGGTGTGTAATGATTTGGACGAGTGTCTGAGCCCACCTGAGAGTGGAGGCTGCACAGCCAACTCCCACTGCTACAACACCGTGGTAAGACTACTGAATCCATGTTATTGTTTTCATTTACAACAAAAAAAGTTTTCACAAGGACAGAGCTGACTGGGTTGTTCTCACCAGGGCTCTTTCCGCTGCGGCGAGTGTAAGGCTGGCTTCACAGGTGACCAGGTGAGAGGTTGCCATGGCACCAGGCTTTGTCCTAACGGTCAGCCCAGTCCCTGTGACATCAACGGAGAGTGCATTGTGGAGCGAGATGGCAGCATCAGCTGTGTGGTAGTTTTTATTTCTTAATGGATGGTACTACATAAAATGACAAAAGCTGTGACACACTCTCATGTGTGTGTCTATGTGTGTGTGTGTGTGTGTCAGTGTGGAGTTGGTATGGCTGGTAACGGTTACGTCTGTGGGAAGGATACGGATATCGACGCGTATCCCGATAATAATCTCCAGTGCAGAGACAACACCTGTAATAAGGTTCACACTCCTGAATCTCCTTCCTCCTCACAGTGAACCCATGAGTGTGTTTTAAAAAGAAAACAATCACTTGTGTATATGTGTGTGTGTGTTTTCTGTATCTTCAGGACAACTGTATGTTTGTCCCCAACTCTGGCCAAGAGGACGCAGACAGGGACGGAACCGGGGATGCCTGTGATGACGACGCAGACAATGACAGCATCATCAACATAGATGTAGGTGATTCTGTTTTGACTAATTTAACAAACAGATCTGTTACATGGAGCTCGATCTCTGATCCCAGGATAACTGCTGGCTGGTTCCTAACGTCGACCAGAGGAACAGCGATAAGGATGTCCACGGGGACGCCTGCGACAACTGTAGGACTATGGAAAATCCATCACAGAGGGACACAGACCAGGACGGTCTTGGGGACGAATGTGATGATGACATGGATGGAGACGGTAATCTGATAAATGCTGTTATTCTCTTGAGTGAAGATGTCTGGTAAAATTATTTCACTTCTGCTATTTACTGTGTTTGAGGAACACAATGTGAAAGCAGCCATGTGATTAAAAAAATACCCGAGAGTTTCCAAAGTACGGCCTGTTTGGACAGGACTGCAGGGACGAGAAAAAAAGTTCCTTGAGGAACTTTTTTTTATTGTTTTTACTGGCCTGGCAGTGCTTTATCTGCTCAAAACATCTTTTCTTTGTTGAGGATCCGTTTTCGATCCACTAGGCTTTAGGATAGGACATCATTAAAGCAATCAGTAAATCGTATTTAAATGTTCCACTTTTTAAATGTTTACTCCAACACTTTTCTTACTGTTGGCCTTTTATTGCAAAATCGAATTTGCCCCAGTGGAAAACTGTCTTTGTGTGTGCCCTTTTGTATGTTGCATCTTGGCACCTCTCCTGCATCCTGATTGTTTGGTACTCCGAGGTTGGATTTCTGAGGACTTGCTCATGTCTGTCCTCTCACTTAAAGCGTTTTTCCATGGTGAACCTCCGCCAGGCGTTGAGGGCCAGTGGAAACTATTTCACCTTCACTTTAAATAAACTCTGCCATCTGCTGACGCTTTAGACTACACCATGGGCTGAGGTCGAACAACTCTTTTTCCAGGTCTGAAAAACTTTCTTGACAACTGCCAGCGAGTTCCAAATCCCGACCAGCGGGACAGAGACAGTGATGGAGTTGGAGATGCCTGCGACAGCTGTCCTGACATGCCCAACCCGAACCAGGTACCAAACCAAAACCCACCAGAAAGGCACTTTTCTTCCGCTGTAACTTTGGTTGTTTTACCCACCTGTAGTCGGACTCAGACGATGACCTCGTTGGAGACACCTGTGATGACAACATTGACAGGTAAACCTGCATCACGTGTGAATGATTGTATCAAATGTGGCCACCTTTTAAACGTGTCTTCACTCCTTTGGCAGTGATGGTGATGGCCACCAGAACACAAAGGACAACTGTCCCACAGTCATCAACTCCTCTCAGCTGGACACGGATAAGGATGGAATGGTTTGATCTTTTCCTTTCTAAACATTTGCTAATTTCTCCCTCATTTGTTGTTGATTCGTTTGTTTTTCACAGGGAGACGAATGTGATGATGATGATGATAATGACGGGATACCAGACAATGATGACAATTGCAGATTGGTGGCCAACCTCGACCAAATGGACTCAGACAGTTTGTATCACTTTTGAAAAAAATCGTGCAGTTGTACGTAAACAGAGTGAGCTGCCTTTGTTTATGAATCGGTGGCTTTCAGTGGACAAAGTTGGAGATGCGTGCGAAGGAGACTTTGACAAGGACAACGTGATCGATATGATCGACCACTGTCCGGAGAACGCAGAGGTCACGATGACCGACTTCAGAGCCTATCAGACCGTAGTGCTGGATCCAGAGGGGGAATCGCAGATAGACCCCAACTGGGTGGTGCTCAACCAGGTAGTCATCAAACTTCACCTCCCTTTCATAACACTGCTTGTGAAGTATTATTCCAAGAAATGATCTCTTTTTCCTTTTAGGGAATGGAGATAGTCCAGACCATGAACTCTGACCCAGGCCTTGCTGTAGGTGGGTAAAAATACACCTTCTGTCATACCTGTTACCAAATAACTTTAATCTCGTCCTTTCCGTCCCCGCATGTCGCTGCTTCTCGTCTCCTTCAGGCTATAAAGCCTTCAGCGGTGTCGACTTTGAAGGAACGTTCCATGTCAACACGGTGACAGATGATGATTACGCTGGCTTTATTTTCGGCTATCAAGACTCATCCTCATTCTACGTGGTGATGTGGAAACAGACAGAACAAACCTACTGGCAGGCTGCGCCCTTCAGAGCTGTGGCTGAGCCGGGAATACAACTCAAGGTGTGTGTGTGTTTGCTGTCATCAGCTGTCATCCTATTCGATCTGATGACCACCTCTTCAACAGGTGGTGAAGTCAAAGACAGGTCCAGGTGAGTATATGAGGAACTCTCTCTGGCACACAGGAAACACCACCGACCAGGTGCGTCTCCTCTGGAAAGATCCAAGGAACGTCGGCTGGAAAGACAAGGTGTCCTACCGTTGGTTCCTCCAGCACAGACCACAAGTTGGATACATCAAGTACACACATCCAACACACACACATACATACATAAAACTGCTCTACACACATAACTACTGCGTGACCTAACCTGTTTTGCATCACGTGTGAACCAGGGCTCGCTTCTACGAGGGCTCAAGGCTGGTGGCGGACACAGGGGTGATAATTGACACCAGTATGAGAGGCGGGCGACTGGGTGTGTTCTGCTTCTCCCAGGAAAACATCATCTGGTCCAATCTTAAATACCGCTGCAACGGTGAGAGGCTGCAAGCATCAAACAATCCAGCAGTCTGATGTATTCATCCTAATGAGACATTTCTCTTTCCTTCTGCAGACACCATTCCTGCTGATTACGAGGATCTGTCGAGAACAGAGTGAGGACGGTCAGAGGAAGTAGTGTTGCATAAAAAATTGAGCTAAAATTAAGATGTTTCGAGATAATCACTAGAAAAAAGTTGGTTTAATGTAACAGACATTTTGTTTAATCATGAAATATCAGGTTTTATCCACATTTTAGCTTAAATGTAGCTTTTAAAAAGATTTGTACAAATATGGTATAACTTTATATTTTGCTAAATTAAACTCATTTTCCTGTGTATACAACATTAACAGTAAAGAGACAGACTCTACTGTGTTTCTGGGATGTTTTATTGAAAGAATGAGTCACGTCACCTTCATCTTTGTATTTCAGACATAACATTTGGTCAAACTCAACATGGATCGTTTTGCTTTCTGCTTCTACAGTAGCTTAGTATATATTGTTTACACTTTTTAAGTTCAAAAGCACCTTTAAATTTCTACATTCATTTTTTTTAAATGCAGACATGAGATGACACATTGAACAGGTTTAAAGCAAAAAAAAAAAAAAAAAACTAAAATATCCACAGGTTGTAAGGCTGCAGCCAAAACATACACACGTTACTGGAACAGTTAGGAACTGTTAGAAATACAAATAATTAGGAGGCACAAGAAATTAAAATGAACCTGCTTGTACATAAAGTTGTATACTACACAAATATAGATGGAGATCATGATATGGCAGTAAACTCAACATCCAGTGTTGAATATATCACCTAAAAATTTGCCAAGCTGAGTTATTTTAACCAGCAGACACAAGTAACAAAAAATCCAAAGCATTTTTTATTAATACAGAACAAGGGGTTCGTTTAATCACGTGTAAATGCAAGTAAATACATCCCATTCTGAATTGTAAGTTTCTCTGTAACAGACGAGTCTTATCACTTCCTGTTTCTGTTGTCTACCTTTGGCAAATGAGTTGGTGGAGCTCTTCCAGAGAGGTGGAACTTCACTGAAGTCAGTCTCAAAAGGCAGGATGATTTAAAAACATCTGCCCTGGGCACCAATGACTAAAAATGTATGAATGATGTGGACTTCCTAAGAAAAGATCAGGCTCAAAGGGAGCACGGACAATAATAAAACTTTACTTTTGTTACCTAAAAAGAAAAGTCACAACAGCCGGTGTCTAACATTAAGACCCTCTTATTCTGTTGCATAGGAAATCTACAAAACATATCAAATTATTAACACAGAGAATAAACACAAGCCTGAGAGTTTCTTTTAAACAAAGCTAGAGCCAAATCTAATTCGAATTACACCACACTCCTTCCATTTATAATTAAATAAATATGACTTCAGTGAAGTCTCTTGAAATAAATTTGTCCCAAAACTCAGTTTGGCTCAAATACTTGCTACAGCTTTCTGGTTTGACTTCACAGAACTGAAATACAGGAAAAATTAGAATAAAAAAATGGAGTCAGAAGCTTCTGACTGTAACTGAACTCCTACAGTTCTTTATTCAAGGTCATATATCCAGTCAGTGGTAGTAAAACAATCAAAAAATACCTTCAAGGTAGCTTACCATTGTAAAACAAAGACTGTAACATATAAAGCTAAAGGAAAAGATAATCCTTTACTTTATTCTTTTACTCTTGAGGGTAGTGTAGGGTTGTGTTTAAAGGTGGTGGTGGTGGTGGGGGGGGGGGGGGGGGGGGGGGGGTACGGTGGTCCCGTGGCCCAGTATAGCCGTCAGAATTAGGCCTCAAAGCGCTTTGGGCAGATCATCGGAGCGATGAGGGTCACCATGTAGAGGAAGAGGCAGACCCAGCAGGAGGCCATCTTGATCCAGAACCCCGACCAGCTGCCGTCCAACAGCTTCTCAATCTTATGGCCGTCGTAACTGCAGGACAGACATAGAGCTGAGTAGCCATGCAGCTGCACTTTTATTACCAATCTGACAAGAGAAGAGTCTCATATGTCACGAACAGCTGGAGAGAAACCCAATATTTAAAACTCCAAAACTGAAAAATCATGCAAAATATAAATCTAGTTAAACAGCAATAGACGCTGCAGAAAATTTGCTTTAAAATAGTTTATTAGCTAATATTTCAGATTATTACCTCTTGTCAACTTGGTAGTGCATTTAATTTTTCCCCTTCACTTATAATCTTATTTTGCTTTAAAGTAACACTAAATAGTTGTTTTTTTTTACTCTAAGCTAGAGCTTTAACATTGACCTCTGTGATTGTTGGGTTAGAAACTTGACCAGTTTCATATATGACACCACTCTGCAGCCCTCTGCTGGCCACTTAAGTTTTGTGGAGGGGGTTGGTGTTTTAGGGGGTGCTCCTTTACATGCATTACGGCTGTTAGGCATTTTCTGTGCAGTTAGCTTTTTTTTAGTTTGTTGATCGTCAATAAAAAGCACAAGAAGAAAAAGAAGAAGTTTGCTTTGATGAAGGCATCATGGCGGAGCCTGGAATTAAAGGTAAGAGAGTAATGCTAACAGCCGTAATGCATGTACAGGAGCACCCAAAGAACACCTACCCACTCCACTAAGTTAAGTGCAGTTTCTGGCCAGCAGAGAGCTGCCAACTATGAAACTGGTCCAAGTTGTAACCCAACAGTCACTGAGATCAATGTTAAAGATCTATCTTAACATTAAAAAAACAATTTAGTGATACTTTAGGGCAGTAATGTTCCATCAATGAATCACTGATTTATTGACTACTCAGATATAAACGTGACACCAGTTGTTTCCTATTCCACCTGCAATAGCTGCTCTTTCTCAAATCAGAACCCATTTTTAGAATCCACACATGCTAAAGGAAGAGGCTCTCTCTTTTATCGGTCTCACTTACTGAAACCAGTTGGTGACGGTCATCATGACGTAAAGCGAGCCCAGGAAGAAGACGAAATGGAAGTAGGAATAAGTGTAGATGGTTCCTTCACGCTCATCATACAACACATTCTGACCTGAGCCAGTTTTCTCATCATCGTAGTCCTCTGAAAGAAAAAAGAAGAAAAAAAAAAAACTAAACTGAAGCAGAATCACAAGTGAAGGAGACAAAATGGGGCAATTTTTCGCTGGTTTTCTAATTAAGTACGTCTCATCTCCAGCAGGTGGCAGCCCGAACACATTCCTGCTTCCTCTGATCCTGCTTTACTGTGTCACACTAACCTAGTAACAGTGACATCATCTATGTTTACTGACCAATGTTTTCTCACCTTTTTCCAGTCGTGCAACAGCGTGCATGCAGACTGGCTGTTGCGAGGGTAAACTGGGGATATTAGTAGAAAAGTACTCAGATTTTTCTCACCTGTGTCGTCTCCGAAGCAGAAACAGCAGCGAGCTCTCTGCAAAGTAAAGAAAACACCCAGTAAAAGTCAAAGCTGCACATAGATATGGAAAAAAACATCTGCTAAAGTTCAGATGCTTTTAACAACTCTGTGTGTTTGTTTATACACACACACACACACAGACACCCTGTGAGGTCTGAATATTTGAGCATTTACCTCAGTCTCTGGCTCACTGTTTCGGCACACTCTGAGCGCTGCTGCGCTTCGCTTGGTGGTGGATGTCAAGCTACAGTGAGGGAACAGAGATGGAAACAGGGAGATGGAAAAACAAATGAAGGGTTAGAATTCCATCATCATCCCCACCCCCAATAATTTGCAGTTTTAGATGGCTGCAGATTCTAATTTCCTCCTCTTCAGGGAACAACCACAAGAGACAGGATGCCTCCAGCTGATGGGAAACACGTGTGAACAAAAGCTAAAAGCCAGCGTTCTAGTCTCTCTCGGCCTTAGCACAGCAAATCAGAGTAACAGACAAAAGAAATTAAGCTGTCTGTGTCACAAACACATTTCCCTTTGCCCTCAATGCAACTGCGGTTAGTAGGACTGTTATTCCCATAATCTCTCCATTTTACAAAATACTCATAATAACCTCAAATTGTGGAAATGCATAATTTGCGTGGGAGAGGAGAAAGAGTTTTGAGTTTAAATGGGTTAGGGTAAAGAGCATGTATGTTTTTCTATGTAATTAAGAGGATGATTTTCCTGAGAGACGGTCATCTGATCAGAACGTGTCCATCTATGAAGGTCGTTTGATATGTGAAAAATGGTGAGACAACCGTCTCTGAAGTATCAGTGTTTTTTCTCCTTTTAAGGACATTTGTTGTAAAAAATGTTCAGATTTCCAATAAATTTTACAGTAGCTGTAAATATTCAAGCCTTTTATTTAATTGTGAAGTAATTTCATAAACATTTTGATCAAACTCAGTTGGTCTTCATACGGTAACACTTTCAAAAAGGGGATTAAGGTAATTGTTGTAAAGGTAGGTTAGCAGGACCACCACTGGGTTTTGTAAAAGTCTTAGGGGTCTTAGCACACCTCTGATGTTGCTTGGCTTCCCGGGGCTGGAGGCTAGGAGGCAGATCTGGCCGTCTGGTTGGGGTCTGGGGTGGTGGGTTGCTGTGCTCAGCGTTGGGCGGGGGAGCCTGCTCATCAGCACCCCAGCAGAAAGGGTCAAACTCTGGGAACCGGTGATGGTTGTACCCAATGTGCAGCAGTACCGGGACCAGAGTGAATAGAGTGTGTATGGGGAGCATGAGCGGGTGTCCGGCGTGCATTTTTGTAAGTCTTTGGTTGTATGTGTATGTGTGAGCATGAGGGAGGGAGTGTGTGGCTGTGTTTGTGTATGACTGTATATGTCAGGTGGGGCCTTTGACTCCTCTCTTCTCCTGGGATTTCTTTTTATGATATAGATCTTTGTCTCCCCTCCCCCTGCCACACCTGGTGTGGAGTGTGGTGCCTTGGTCTGCCTGAATGTTCGTGGCTCCCGGGTAAGGGGGTTTAAGGTTTTTGGCGTCTGCCTGATCAATCCCGGTGGCGGCCTGGTGGGGTCTGGGTCCCTGGGCTCTGCTGGGTCCCCGGCGGGGGTGGTCGCCCCTGGGTCCCGGGTCGCTGGGTCCCGGGCTCGGCCGGCAAGGGGGTGGGAGGCTGCAGACGGGCCTGTGGGCTTGCCGCTGATATCTCCCGGGACTCTGCCGGCTGCTGGTTGTGGCCCCCCGGGACGATCCTCTGTGCCCCTCGAGGGGGGCGGGGGCCTTTCTGGTTGCAGTCTCCTTGGGGTTCCTGTGTTCTGGGGCAGCGCCTGGATCTCTGGGACTTGGAGCTCCCTCCGTCTCCTACATATCTTTGGGGGGCAGATCTGTGGTCCCTCACACTCTCTACTGTACGCTCCTATAGAGAAACCTTACATAAACAAGATCGTGTACACACACAGGTGCTCACATGGTGCTCTCAAAAGTATGGGCTTGGGCACGTTCAACACAAGTCTTAAGGCTGTCGTTGCCACTAAATGCACTGGGATTTATTATTGTGTGATTGTTCAGTTAAACAATGTTGATTTTATATTTCATCATCAGGCTAACACAGTGATAGCTTGCTCCTGATGTATTGTTGTGTGTCCCATTTTTTTCTATTCTTTCTCTTTCTGCAGGTCTAGAAGCACTCTTGTTCATTATTGTTTATTTTTGTGGAATTCCTTTCTCTTTCACCTCTGACTCCATGTCTGGTAGGAATTACAAAGCATTCAAAAACAATAACAATAAAGTTTTAAGTATCAGGAGTGACATTAAAAGCAGACGCTTTGATGCTTCACCTGAGAGTAAATCTGTAAGGCTTGTCACCAGCATTCAGACATCAATTCTGTTTGCTTCACAGCCAGACAGGACACGGGAAACACGAAAAAAAAAAGCATCAAAGTAAATGTGCGTTACGACAGGTCGTACAGGCACCGAGCAGAAAAATAAAAGTAAAACGTAACTTGAAACCATTCAAGCAGGTCTGAAAGTTCAGACTTTACTTAGATTTCTTATGTAGCTCGTATGTGTGCGTATCTTACCAGGAGTAAACAATGCAGGCACACAGGATGATGGCTCCGATCGCAGTGACGATCTTCTTGTCACTTTCGTACCCAGAGTTGAAAGGGAACACACATACGGTTTTGTTCACACCGTCTATCTCGATGACTAAAGGGGAAAAATGTGGGAATGTGTTAAAATGAGAAAACAAACAGGAAAATCTAAAACTTTACCATAAAGTATTTAGACATTTACATTTTCATGAGCCGTTTTACCCCAGTTGTCAAACATGGAATTATGTCACTATAGAACAAAGTGTAGGTTTGTAAATGCTAAGTTTATATCCAACTTAGTTTATTAATAGTCGTTTGTCTCTAGTCGGTGGCAATACGATACGTTTTTCTACACAAAGCATTTAATCAGATTTATAAAAGATAAATGAGCAGTTAAGACCCATTTGACACAATAAACTTAAGCCATTATTTTGATACAGTAATATTTAATAAGATATATTTTTAAAAATAGAGATTTAATACAAAACAATTCGATCAAGCTAAATTAATCCAAATTTAACTCAGGAAATCAAGGAAAAGGAATTCAAAAAAAGCAAGTCTGTTCATTTGACAAGCTTTTGACTACCTATTTAAAAGTGACTAAGCTAAACATCAGAAAGTACAAAAGATGATCATAAAATTAGATTAATGTGCAAAATTTAAAAACCTCTCAGGCAGCAGATGTTCATCACTCTCAAAAACTATTGTACTTTTTATCATTTTAAAAAAATATATCGGATGATTCATGACTTAGACTTGCTGCAGTTTGAATTTTAAACAGTAGGGGTCACTAATGAGAACAGAATATAAAATTTTCTAACACAACTATATTTATAATTTATTGATATTCTTTTACAGGGGATGCCTTTGGAGAGGCGTGACATTGTCAAATCAATGCGTCTGGAATTAAATCGTTAAATTGCATCCGTACAGGACTGCTGTACCGATCCAATCATAAATTAGAAAATCATCACATCCCTATCTGAAAAGTAGCGAATACCTACTGATTAGGGTTGAGCGATTTGTTTAATTTTGCCCACTGCCAATCGTCAGTCCAAAAAAAGACGAACGATTTATTCCTGCATGTGACGTCATGACGTACGGACTTATCTGTGAACACAGAAGAAGCCCAAAACGTTGATTTTTATTTTTTTTTTACAAGCGCAGCATATATGTTTGCTGGAAGAGAATTTTTGATTTATCTTTTTGTTTAATTTTATATTTGTAGTTTGGTAGAGTGACGTAAAAACGGCCCGTATTAAACACGGTTAAAGTGTTAAAAAAATGAAACGAATCGCTGCTGCGTTTGGACGCACTCTGAGGAGGCAGCATTTGCTCGCTGCCAAAGGTCACATGGTCCATTTATCCCATCACTTTCATTTTTAAAATAATGAATAATCGTTTGTTGAATTTCCACTCATTTTAATTCATATTTAGTCCAACCAAGCTGAACAGAATGCCCCAGTAACATAAAAAATGCTATTAAATGATTTCACTTAAATTAGGAACATTTCAGCTGCTGCGGACCCAACGTACATCCCTTATTCTCCGCGTAAAACTGAGCGGGTCACCTGTAGCTTGTGCATAATCAGACGTCTCTAAAGAGCTTGATGAAGAGGTCACGAGGTTCTGGACTTTTGTCACAGACAGACTCATGGATGTTTAAATATTGTCCTGGATGAATCTGTGCTCCGCCTACACACTCTAAGCAGGTGCTGAATAACGAGTGCTACTTAGGCCAAAGTTTTAAATCAGGAAACATTTATCCAAATGAAATAACCAGAAATCTTCCAGACTCTCTGATAGATAGAAGGGTTTCCGCTTTCCACTCAACACCGCGCTGCTGTGCACAACGTTGAATGCGTCACAGATGCTCTCCGAGCGCCTCCTCAGCGCGCTGCTTGCGCGCGCACTGTCAGCAGCACAGGAGCGCCTCCAGAAATTTTTGATAGGGGTGGCCAGATGGGGCCAAAGAAATTTTTGGGGTGGCACACCAAATTGGTAACTCTGGTTGAATTTAGTCTGTGGCGATGTGCTGCATTTCGCCTTTATTCTTTTTTTTTTATTAAAATAACGGTATGTATCCCAAACATTTAACTTAAATTTTACAAGCACAAACATTTTAGAAAAATACATTTCAGTTATTTAAAATGTTATCCTAATTTTAATTTAAATATGTGTTTTTTTAGGTTAATTCACCTGTGTTGTTGTGTTCACAAAAAAAAAAACTATGGAGATAAAAAAAAAATTTAAATGGTGAGCAGCAGAAACATGTATTTTTTTATTCTGATTAGTACATTTCTTATTAATTGTAATATTTTATTTTGTTTTACAATTATGTCTTGAATAAACAAGATCAATATATGGTTTGACTGAACATTAATATGATTAATATCATTTGTTAACACTGGGTTCTCCTGGGGGGCCAGCAATTTTCTAGGGGTGGCCATGGCCCTTGGGGGCACCCTTGCAGCAGTGGGAGGCGGAGGAGGTGAGAAAATGCTCAGATGCGCTCTGATGGTGATCTTTTCTTGACTGTTAGCTCCGCAGTGTTCTCTGTGTGTAATGTGTAAAATATTTGTCAATAACAAACTACCTCACAGGCAAACAAATAAATAAACAAATCGCGTCCTGTAAATAAACAACTGTAATGGCTCGGCCCATCGCCGATTCATTCATCCCATCACCCAACCCTGCTACTGATCCTCAGTTGATGCTTTATTTACTTAACCTGGCAAGCCATCATGTAAATGTACATATGTAGTCTGGCCAAGGAGCGCCGTTCCTGAGCAGATGCCATCTTAACTGTTTTGCTGTCACAGCTATGCCGTCATAGTAAAAACAAGCTCTGCCGTAGTGCTGCTAAGCCCGCCCAGCATCTCTCTACAAACGTAGACCACTGTGAATTGCTGGGCCAAGCCAACGGTAGATCTGCTGAGGCTACAACGGATCGCGGCAAAACCTTTTCCTACTGCTAAAGTTTGTCTAGATTTCTGGGCTATTATTTACGGTGACAGCTAGAAATAAAGACATTTGTTTTCACTCACTTTCTTTTGGTTTGCTGGAGAAGGAAGAGAAGGTGAGGTACATGACATACACGCTGATGACTCCAGGCTGCAACAGACCTGACTTGGGCTGCACTGCAAAGTAAAACACAACATATTAACAGAAAAAAAGTGTCTGAGCTTTTTCAATTGGCATCTTATTAAGAGTTATTTTGTCTAATATATTTCAGTTTGTTAATTTATATTACATATATATATATATATATATATATATATATATATATATATATATATATACATATATATATATATATTAAAAATGAACTAAATATTTAAATAAATGAAGATTTTGGATTCTTACATTTCTGGATGAAGGGGGAGATGGCAAGCAGGGAGACGATAAGGCAGAGGCTGCCATTGATACCCAGGAAAATCTTGTTGAGCAAACAGGCCTCCGGGTGTGTGTAGTACACACCCATAAAAACCACAGCTCCCACTGCAATACTGAACAGAACCAGAGTCACCAAGGCCAACGCCGCGTACCAGAGGCGGTTATACTCCACCCCTGAACTCCTGGAGGCGGGGCAAGAGAAAACAAACAAAAGAAAGGAAAACACCACATGAACTAGGGGACAACATAGATGAAACTACTTCAAATAAGTGACTCAGAAAAATCTGGCCCAGAAATAAATCTAAAGCAGAGCGACGCTTGGTAAGTTACGACTTTCCCCTGAAAAGGAAACGACAGATTTGCGGATATTTAAGTTTGCTGCACTGGGACTGAGTACAGCCATCTGCAGAGGCTCACATTTTACAGTACAAGCTATCAAACTGGTTAACATCCTGGAAACAATCTAGTAGTCAACGCTAAAAAGGAAACTCTTGAATCCCATGCATCCAAAGCAAAAAAAAAAAAAAAAAAAACCTACTACAAAGCTGCCTGACTTCCTTGCCTATTTTCCAAGGATTCTTTGAGCCAAACAACCCCACAGAAAGCTTTCCACCCTTTGACATTCTCATCGTCAGACAAAAACACAGCGCTGATCTCATTTGGGACCTGAAACAATCCAAACTCACCAGTTTGTGTTCCATCTGTGTGCAAACTCCACCAACAGCATGAGCTGGATAATCAGGAAAATGAATCCACCGATGGCTCCAATGATGCGCCAGACTGTGGCATTAAATAAACAAATGGGATGCAAATGTTGAAATTACAAGACCAGCCTTTAAACGTAGACATGCGTCTGAGGCTGAATGTAGAAATCAGGATCAAATTCCTGTTTTTAACCTTCCAAGAACGTTTCCTCTTGTGGAAGAAAAAAAGCTCCAGTGCAGCAACCAGCCAGAAGAAAAAACTTCAGCAGCCAGAAACTAACGTTTAAGAAAAGAGACACAGAAAAATCTAATTCATTCCAGAAATAAATAATCAATACAATGCTTGTAAATACTGATTCAGTGTCATAACCCAAAATATTGCAATATTTCTATGTATCGATATTTTCTTTCATCCATAGTCAGTATTCAGAAACCATCTGTCGTGTTAGCTTACAAATGTCAAGGAAGTCGCTTTAAAGTCAAATAGTGACTAAACAATATTTATTCTCTACCCGTTGTGTATGGCTGCCCTGCAGCCGGTGCTGTTGTTGATCCTTAAGGTGAAGATGGAGAGAAAAAGAAAGAAGCAGGCCATTCCGAAGCACATCTTGTAGACAGCAGAGTATCCAACCAGAGTTTTGCAGTTTTCACCTGCATTCATTTTCTCACACAGCTCGCTGTAGAAGGGGATCTGAATTGCAAAAACATAGACCAAAAATACTCTGATTAGGTCATTGTGGCAGCAAAAGGAAACCCACCTCTGCTCATGTTTGTATAGTGCGTGGCCTCTGTGAAAGGGCCCAAAAGGGTCTTTTATTTGTGTCACGCCTGTAAAGGACCAAAAAGAGAGAACAGGCAGCGACAACAAATGTCCGCTTTCTCCATGGCGCCCTCATTCATCTTTCCTTCTCAGCAGCCTGTTAGTGGGGCCTTACAACCAACTGTCAGTGTATACAAACAAAGACCCCAGATGAATGAATTAAACGGCTTTTTTTCCACCAAGTCAGAGAAAAGTGAAGAGGGATGAGAAGCAGAATAGACAGCAGAGAAAGACCAGGATTTCCTTTTAAAAATTAGGCTCCAAAAGCTACTTTGAGCAAACATTGAACAGAATTACAGGAAAAGAGGCAGAACTAGACTGAGTAATGTAAATAAGAACCTTGCTGTGGCCTTCAACAGAGAACTCTGCAGCGGTGTCTGAGAGCCAGCAGAGAAACGTCTGTTGAATGTGATAACCAATTAATTGAAACCTGCATATCTGTTGCAGGGATGTGACTCAAAGTCAAAAAATGATTAAAACTACATTTTTTTTGTTGATTATAAACAGTTTAGCTTGGCTCGGTACAGCAGAGTAGTTCTGGTTGGTCTGACTGAGTCGTCATCACTAGACAGATCACAACATAAAGCAAAAGGCTCATTTGGGGGCTTTTGTCTCATGTTTAGGGAGCATATTAGCATGTCCATGGAGTAGTGATTAAAGAGAAAAGGGGTCCGGCTGTTTCAGCCTGTTGTAAATCTTTTTGAGAGAGAAAAAAACAGCACTCTCAAACACACAATGCCTGCTCTCTAAGCTGAGACTTCCCACTACGCTCAGTGTCTTAAATGACTGTGTGTGAGTAATATAAAAGTGTGTGTATGTGTGTGTGTGTGTGTGTGTGTGTGTGTGTGTGTGTGTGTGTGTGTGTGTGTGCAGTGGCGGTTTTACCATTAGGCGCTGATCGGCGGCCGCCTGGGGCCCCCTTATGTTGGGGTCCCCCTAGCCCTGACCGCTGGCACCCCTCTGTTAATGCCACAATGAACTATTCCTTTAAGACGCCAATGCACAAACAGGAAGTGATTGGTAGTCATTCCACTCCAATCCAGTTGGCGACAGTAATGCACCAAATTGTTCTTTGCCAAGTACCATAAGACCACAAATAAGAAGAAGAGAAAGTAGAAAAAGAAGAAGAGAGGCGGGAGCGTTCATAACAAACTCGGAGCAGTAGTCCAAACATTTAAGCATGAAATGGAGTTATCCTAGTGGCTCCAATAAGAGAAAGAAGCAGCTTGCTTTAAAGGGGCATTATGGAAGTTTGACAGCCAAAACATGTATAGAAATAATAAATTTCTTCTCAATACATTCTCCAGCAATGCTCTGGTCCTGTAGAGTGAGCCCTGGCATTTTTACTGTAAAATCACAGAAAAAGAGAGATGCTCGGGTCGAGCAGGCTGCTTCATGCGCGTTCACGCTCAGGCATAGCCCTCCGAACCGTTCTTTGAATGTTGTTTCAGCTGTCATCAAGGGTATAAATGTTACAGATGCAAAGGACACCACTGGCACCTTAGCTCGTCTAATAAGACATCGGACTTTCGTGCGGAAGACCCAGGTTCGATTCTGGATGTGAACATAGTTATTTACGTCTATGGTATATATTTTTTTTACAGTAAGATGCCCAAATCTTTATTTGAGACTCACCGAACGGCATTGAAATCACAGATAAAAAAGATGTGGGTTCAACTTTCATTTTGGAACAATTTTTCAAGCAAGGGAAGGGAATGATCTGAGCATGCAGGAGGACTGACCCATCATAAACCTTTGTCGGCTGTGCTGAAGAGAAAGGTACAGAACCAAATTATTTAATTAATTAGCTGCGCGTTCTCCTGCCCTCTGTCCTCCCGGCCACACACACACACACACACAAGGGACTGTTTCAGCTGTTATTTTCGTTAAGGAGTGTGCACGTACAGCATGCGCGCCCCGTGCACGAGCCTACTATTGAAGCTGCCGTTACGCTTTTGGCCTGAGGGGGCAATCGAGAGCATAAAAATTCAAAACTCCGTAAAGTCCCTTTAAAAAAGCTATTTTTACTTCTAAAAGTGACGTTGTTTTTCTATGTAAACATCAAAATGAAGCAGAAAAGGAAAGACGATGTAAAATGTTTAAAGGGAGAAAAACATAGACCAAAATGGAAAACAGAAAAAAAAAGAAAGGCAAAAGCACAGGAGCACTGCTTTTGAAGAAGAAAGCAGAGCAAATATTGAAGGCACTCAAAGGGAGAGAAAGACAGGAAAAAAGAGGAGGACTAATAAAAAGTGAAAATAACTCATGTCAGAAGAGGGTAGTTTCGCAAATCCAGTTAAAGATAAGATTGTCGAAAATTTAGTGTAAGGGGGCCACATGTCTGTGTTCGCCTTGGAACCCCAAATTGCTAAATCCGCCACTGTGTGTGTGTGGCTCAATGAGTTATGTGTAGAGCAATCAAAGGCCATCTTGTGCCTGGATTAATGGTGATGAATAGACATTATGGTGGTACGATTATAGTCTGAGCAACAATCAGTGTTTCAAGGTTACTGTGATTATTTTCCTTGAATTGATTGTTAACATAAAAATCCCACAAACATATTCCATAAAGGTTTTGAACTCCAGGAGATATTTATTACTGCTCTTCAGAGATACTGCTCAGAACAATGAATCTGTAAAATGCAAGTAATTGCTGTAATCTTTGAATATCTCTGTTTGCAGCTTTGGGAATATAAATATTCCCACAGTTCCGATCTGGAAACAGCAGTCCTGGTGGTTGTCACCTCTGGTTCTACTTCTGCCATGATCCGTATGCATCCGTTCCAGTCCTGCGGGTCGTGCACTATTGTCTTTATTTCACACAGCAGTTAAAAGTCAAACCTGTTCATCGCTGCAGCCCTAGCCTGGATATGGCTTTCTACAGGATTCTCATATCATAAAAAGTCACCCATCTGCTGTAGATGATAATAGAACAGCTCAACAGGGATTTCTGCAAACCAGCTTCAATAAAACTTGCATTCACCTTTTCTTGTTTAGGGGGGCAAATGAGTCGACCAGAAGGGTAGGAGTTGTGAATGGAAAGTATATTACACTTACATTGTCTTTCATCGCCTGCTCCACGGTGGGGGACATCATGACAGCACAGATGATGGTGACAAGCAAGAAAAATATAGAATACATGACTCTGGTTCCTGTGGACTGTTTGATCTTCGGGCAGCAGTTACAGCAACACGAGCAGGCCGCTGAGCCGCAGCAGCAAGCCAGCTGGATACAAACAAAGATGGAGAGAAAAACAAACATCAGTCCTCTATATTCACTTGAAGACTTTTCATTCCATTTGTTGAAGACTTTTAGCGTTTAAGTGAATGTTTGGTTTGAATAGCGGCAGACTTTAAAGAAGTAAACAACCATTTAAGTAACAAATTGATTTAGGCCACAAATCCAATAACACAGTTGGAGAGGTTAAAATGAGAGAGCAGCACAAAAATGTAAGAAGAAAGGAAAAGGAAAAAAAACATTTCTTTGTTTAATTTCTAACCTTCTGCTTTCACTTCTCTAAAACAGAAACAATTTGTCCAGAATAGAAAGTGAACAATGGCAAATTGTTATAGCAAACATCTGAATCATTTTTTTGGGTCAGGAAGTCATGCATCTGTCTGGATAAATACATAACACAAAGTGCTGTAATTACCTAAGCTCTCTCTCTCTCTCTCACTCACTCACTCACTCACTCACTCACTCACTCACTCACTCACTCACTCACTCACTCACTCACACACTCACACACACACTCACACACACACACACACACACACACACACACACACACACACACACACACACACACACACACACACACACACACACACACACAGTTCTGGTGGAAGTTCAGACCGTGTGGACTATAACTGTGCTGGATTTAGACAGAATATTTACCTTATACCTCCCCTCACGACTAAAACACACAACTTTAAAACTAAAAATAAAATGCTAGAGTGAATCCCACCTCAAGGTTGGTCTAGCGGTGCTGGAGCCACTGGGACATCTGTACTGATGAATTTCAGGCTGAATGACTCCTATTCTAAATGTGTCTTTATTTGGGACACATTATTAAAGTCACAAAAACACTGAAGAGCCTCAGAGAAGAAAACATCTACAGATAGAAGAATGCTTTTGAAAACTGATGATGACAGCAAAAAGATCCACTTCCTATAGCCTAAACGCTTTTTCCTGTGCAGATAAGGTCATGCAACTGCATGCTGGTGATTCTCGTTTCTATACCCATGCACAAACATGTTTTAGGTAAAGAAAATGTTCCTTATTTCACTTGTTGCTAAATAAGCTTTGGATCAAATAACTAACATTTGTCTTCACAGCCACACCCTTATAGTCCAAGTCAGAGAATTTCTGGTGTGAACTTAACTTTTCTGCATACCGACACACCGCTGCACCCAGTCTGCAGCCCATGTCACTAATGAGTACCTTTAACAACATAGCATTAAAACTCACAAGCACATGGTTTTCATCCAAAATGTAATATTGTGCCTCCCTGTCCCCTTTGCAAAGAGGTTTATCCAAGCAGTCAGACTTGTCTAATTATATACTTTTCAGGTTTCAGCAGAAGTTTAAGCAGATTTGTTGCTTTTTCACTGCAAAACTGCAGATTAAGTTTTTAAAGCAGCCCTCAGAGCCAACATAACCCTTACAGAAGTTTATATAAACTGCAATTGGGCAAACTATAAAAACCAATGTGTAACAACTCAAATAAATACCACGATGAAAAAGCTCGACAACACAGAAGCATAATCAAGCTGTTTCTTTACTCACATCTAGTTTGTGCTGTCTGATTTAGGCAACTTTCATTTACTAATTTAAAGTTATTTATGTGGCATTCTTTCATCTTTGGTCATCTCTTCGTTCTGCTTTGACAATAGCAGTTGTGTTGCCTTGAAGTTTAACCCTAACCCTCATAAAAACACCACACATGCAATACTGTTTCATATCTAATGTGGAAATAAGGAAGAAAAAAACGAGGATCCATCCAAGGCAGCCCAAATAGTGTGAGAGAATCTAAGATTACACGGCCGTCGTCATTGTCTTCCTCCGCTTATACGGGCCTGGGTCGCGGGGGCAGCATCCCAACTAGGGCGCTCCAGACCGTCCTCTCGCCGGCCACCACCACCAGCTCCTCCGGCAGGACCCCAAGGCGTTCCCGGACAAGATTGGAGATGTAACCTCTCCAACATGTTCTGGGTCGACCCGGGGACCTCCTGCTGGCAGGACATGCCCGAAACACCTCCCCAGGGAGGCGTCCAGGAGGCACCCTGACCAGATGCCCAAACCACCTCAACTGCCTCCTTTCGATCTGGAGGAGCAGTGGTTCTAATCCGAGTCCCTCCCGAATGTCCGAGCTCCTTACCCTATCTCTAAGGCTGAGCCCAGCCACCCTACGGAGGAAACTCATTTCGGCCGCTTGTATCTGTGATCTCGTTCTTTCGGTCATTACCCAAAGCTCATGACCATAGGTGAGGATTGGGATGTAGATCGACCGGTAAATCAAGAGCCTGGCTTTCTGGCTCAGCTCCCTCTTCACCACCACGGATCGGCTCAGCGTCCGCATCACTGCAGATGCTGAACCAATCTGCCTGTCGATCTCCCGATCCCTCCTACCCTCACTCGTGAACAAGACCCCGAGATACTTAAACTCCTCCACTTGAGGTAGGACCTCTCTCCCGCCCCGGAGTTGGCAAGCCACCCTTTCCTGGTCGAGAACTATGGTCTCAGAATTGGAGGTGCTGATCCTCATCCCAGCCGCTTCACACTCGGCCGCGAACCTACCAAGCGAGAGCTGAAGGTCAGAGCTGGATGAAGCTAGGAGGACCACATCATCCAGAAAAAGCAGAGACGAGATTCTCCTGCCACCAAACTCGACACACTCCACACCACGGCTGCGCCTAGAAATTCTGTCCATACAGGTCAGAACCGGTGACAAAGGGCAGCCCTGGCGGAGTCCAACCCTCACCGGGAACAGGTCCAACTTATTACCGGCTATGCGGACCAAACTCACGCTCCTTTGGTAAAGGGACTGAATGGCCCTTAACAGAAAGCCACCCACCCCATACCCATACATGGATTACGCGGCCATGTAGGGCTGCTCGATTATGGCAAAAATAATAATCACGATTATGGTGACTGAAATTGAGATCACAATTATTTAGGACGATTTTTCAATTTATGTTGATTTTATTTGTTTTTATTCAGTCATAAAATTGCTCGGGGCACAATCAGGACAAAAATAAGAAACAAGATGATCACTAAAAGAATTCCTGATTCCCAGTATAAAAAGACCAATATACTTACAGCTCATAGTCTATGACCCAAGGGCTACAGACCTTGGTTTAACACATTTAAGTGTAATCAGTACAGACCCAAATACCAATATCTTGCAAATACTGACAGCAAGAATTATACAGTGGCATTTATAACAAATAAATGCAAATAAATGTATGTTCACAAAATGTTGCATAACATTTATTGAGTCGTGTCAAGGTGCTGTAGGAGAGTGCACTAGCACCGTGTCCTCAGAGAGATTAGTTATTATCAGCATGAGGAACTTATTTCTACCTTATTTATAAACTATTTATTTACAAGTCCATCAGTTAATGTAATAATTGTCCCAACCAAAGCTGCACCCCCCACCCCCCAACCCGGTCTCACAGCAATCGGGGCAAGCTGCACGTGTGTTTAGCACGCGCACATTTAGCTGTTTTTAGCTGCTCAGGAGTCCGCAGGTGCGGTGTGTCACTCACTCTGGTTAATCCAACAAGGAGCCGGCTCCGAGAGCTGTCTTTAGCGACTGACACATCACTGCATCATTCCCTTTCCTAATGTCCTGAAGAACGGTCCGGAGCGCAGGCGGAGTGTTTAGCTAACCTGCAGGAAATGCCGACGACAGTTATCCAGAAAGTAGCTAAGGGTTACCAGAGATGTTTCTGTGGTGTTCGCTAGGTACTTTTAAGTTAAAAAGTCAAGAAGGGGGTCTGAAAAGCTGCTAGAAATAGCGTCAAAGTCACTAAGTTGGCAACACTGTGGGAGGAGCGCTTCATTTGCAACTCAGGGCAGCGCAAGCGGGAGGAGTAAATAATCGGCTTGTTTTGTTTTTCATAATCGTTCAAAACTCTGATCGTAATCGTGATTAAAATTCGATTAATTGAGCAGCCCTACGGCCATGTGATGAAAACACCTTTCTACGTGAACATGCACAAAGCTAAACCTGAGTTGGCATTCCACTGGATGCGTTACGTAATAGACGTGGTTTACCCATAACTCATTCACTGCCATTGACGACTAAAGTCGTCATTTTAGATCCAACCGTTCACTGCCAATGACGACTAAAGTCGTCATTTACATTTGTTTTACTGTTTGAGCATCAGAACGAGCCCCTGTGCTGAGAGAACAAACATCTCAGCCCTGAAGCCGATCTTCATCCACATACGTCACAGATCACATGATCAGGAAGCAACACATCCATGTGTTTGGAGATCGTTTTGGGCCGTTCCTGTAAAAAAGTGAGGAGCGAACCGGAAAAGCGTCTGCCAATCACAATTCGACAACGGATTATGAAAGAACGGATAACGCTCGAAACACGCGGCTTCTTCCTGATGTAAGAGGTGAGGCTCCTCTTTGTTTTGGTTGTTTTGGCGTCGACATCATGCTAGCGCGCAACATTATGTGACTCTTAAAAAAACAGTAAAAACGGTGAGAACCGCTGGCAGCGAAGGCCGTTAGTGATCAGGAAATGGCTGGCAGTGAGTGAGTTAACTTCAGCTACGCTGTCAGCGTTTCAGGCGGTGGATACTTTAATTGCAAGATCATGTGTAACTTCACCAGTTCACACGATAAGCAAGAAATAAGGCAGCATGTCTCCAAACAGGTCTTTAGTTTATTTTCAGTTCTTTTTACCAATGGCATGGAAGTTCCACAGGTAATAATGTTTTTATTATTTCTTTTATTTTGAAAGTTGCTGGATGCTTTGACTCCTAGTCTGGGCCAATCTGAACTGCTGAGCTTGACGCGTTCTGGAAGCGCAGCACGTGAAACTACAACCGAAGCGTAAATTTCGTGTAACACTTCTGGGATGTGTCCAATACGTGCAGCTTCATGCCCGGTGGAAACACACTTATTGACTATAATGGTGGCTATTAGCTGCATATCGTACTTTGCAGGCGTTACCCAACAATTACGTATCCAGTGGGAAGCCCGGGTAACAGTTTGTTTAGCAAAATCAGCTCTCTCTGGGTTGATTGAACATGATAGGATAGGAGGTGCCTTAAACAAAAAGGGCCAAGACCAAAATGACATTTTTTGATGGAACACCATCAACTTTACTCTTGATTTTAAGCCTGAAGACCCAAAGCGGTTTTCCTCACCTTTGCCGCACGTGCATATTTCTCACAATGGGCGATTAATCAACCACGAAATGTTACAAGTGAGCAGGAAAAAAACAGAACAATTTAAGTTGAGGTGGCGTTTAGACTCCATTAGTTAGGGGGTTATTTCACCAGCAGATTGCACACAGCGATGGGGCCCAACAGCAAACTATGGAGAAGCTACACAAGAAGTGGGGGTCCAGGAGGGGGAATTTCCCCAGGAATTCCATCACACACAGTTACAGATGGAGTAGCCATGACAACCCACGCTGACCCTACCCACTTGATAGGTCATCCACCCTCTCCTTCACTGCCAGTGTGTCCCACCAGCACAATGACAGGTGGTTGGCGTGTCTGCAACTCAAGCCCCAACTTAAATATCAACAGCCTCGCACCAGCGGTGCTACCAGTACTGCTCATGGCATTGTAGCTAACGCAACCATTTATAATCTGGAGGCATGTCAAGGCCACATTCTCCAACATACCACAGTCTGAAACACTCTTATAGCAAACCTACATCTGCTTCCATTTCATTATTTTCTCAGAGGCTTGTTATCACCTTTTTTCCCAACAACTGGACATTCTAGTTCTGTAAATGGTCCTTCACACATTTACCACACACCCTCCAATGCTTTCTGTTAACTGTTCTATGGTTAAAAAGTTAAGATTATATTTCCAATCCAAGCACAAAGGTTGCAGATGAAAGAATTGGCAGAAAAAAAAAAAACAAAAGGGCAGTCCTAGAAACATCTTCAGCATAGCTGTTTCAGAACTAGCCTTTTCCTGACTGAAATATGGATGCTAAATTAACTAGTCCTCCACGGCCCTATGTACGGCAACCTAAATGATCTGTTTGTCATGTATTGCAAACACATGTAACAAACTATGGCAGCAGGAAGTTACAACGCAACTGCTTCCACAATACAAACAGGGCTATCACAAAAATAGGTCACAGCACTAGCGTTCACTCAGCGAATCAGATCAGAAGCAGTTATGGGACTTTTCCTTCCAAAGGGGTCAGCATGCCTCAACACTGAGCTTCCATGAAAACGAAAGACACTAGACGGAAAACGTGTTCATGTAAAAAAAAAAAAAAAAAAAAAGAGAGATCAGATATGACTCAGACAGCATGACCACGGTCAAAACATGACTAACACGGTGCAGCAAAACAACCAACGTGTACTGTACAATTACTGTACCCACCATCATTCCCTCTCCGTTATCAAACTTGTACAGATTCATTCAACGACAGAAGCTTTAGGACATAAAATATTCATCACATTGAGTTAGGAAAGATCAAAGACTGAAATGACACTGTAGACACACCTTCTTTGCTCAATCATAACAATGCTTCTTCTTGAAGTCAGAAACAAACTTGTACAAGCAGCCAAGAAAAACATTTCAAGGAGTTTTGGATTCACATAATTTAGACCTTCTCCATTTCTTAGCACACTGTGAGTGGCAGCTCTGCTATTGTCTACAACCAGGCAGCTGTATACGCACAGCAAAAATGTATCACTGCTTTGTTTCCTAAACACAAAGAGGGTCTTTGCTTTTCTCTCAGCAAATACGGCCCCTGGCTTCAAGGAAACGGTGGTGCACGGGAGTGGAAATAAATGAACAAAAGGAGAACCGGGGTAATGTAAAGAGTCTTCGAGCAGGACCAAAGAGCAGGATTACCATCCAAATATAAGACAAGAGCAGATACAGACATCACACTCTGTTTACCCCAGATCAAGGGCCTGTTTCACTTCCCAAATCACACAGAATAAATATATAAAACAAGTTAGGAAGCTACAATTCAGGAAGGGAAGTTAAAAATCATGGATGTCTACTATCGTCTAAACTGATGGTTAATTATTTCACTCCTGCAACTAAGAGAACTCCAAACGATGATGGTATTATAAACAATTGTGCTGTCACAGGCACCTGTCCCAGCACTGTGCTGCTGACAGACACCCACTTGAATTCACAGCCAACATTTAAAGAGCTTTGAGCAACAGTCGGCGCTGAGCTGAAGCCCAACCACTTGCTGTTTTGTGTCTGTAGCATGGCATTGATCTCTGTTCCCACAGAGAAATAACAAATGACCTCCCACGCCATGCCTTCTTCTCACTTTAAATGTAATCCAAACAACACACACCCTTCCTCTAATTTCCACCTTCAACCCAGGGAGGATATCACCAGACCACACATCAACTCCAGCCTCTTCAAACCCGAAGTGTGGCACTTAAATCCATATAAAAAGGTTAATTAGAAGTATAGAAATAAATAGGGATGGTGACGGACTAAATGGGCTGGCTGTGTCGGGGATTAGCACACTCTCCACACAGCTACCAACAAGTGATTTTATTGTTTGCCCTTCATTTTCTCCTAATCCTGCCATGTTTCCATCATTCCCTGACTTTGAAAAGAACAGGAAATGGAAGCGAGCCCCCCTTTATCTGAGGGATGTGCATGTGTCATTACATTCCTGCAGGCTAACTCAGCAGCAGAAACCCAGTGGTAAATAAAAAAATGTGAAATTTTAAATTAATTTAACAAAAGCCACAAATACTAGTAAACATGATAGATGTATGCCATTGTGCTGAGGTGTAGACAGCAAATAATCCAGGGGATGCTTCATCAATGTTTTAATGATCACCTTTTACTTGATTACTAATAAATCACATGAATGTTTTGATTCTGGAAATTCAGAACTTTTCAGTAGTTTTCACTTTACTCCAGCATTCATTACCTCACAGCAAAGTATCCAAAACAAGAAAGATATTATAGGAAACTTTGGTGTTTTCTGTATTTCTCTGGGATTTTGAGTACGAATAATTGACTTAATTGAGTTTATTTGGGTAAAAATAATAAGAAAGAAATAAAGAAGGCAGCTAGAGGCCCTCAATGCCTGGGGAAATTCCACAATTCAAACCAAAGAGGAAAGTAATAATAATGACACTTTTATCACGAATTTAACTGAATTTTGCTAAAATATTTCACACTCCAAACAATTTCAGGCAGAGTTTTTGTAGTTCGCTGATAGGTGTTGTAGCTAAGCTAGCTATGTCCGGTCTCGCGCGTCATCTTCATTTCTAACCTTCTGACAGCGACGTTCTCCAACAAATTCAGTCACTAATCTCATATTATTATGCTTTTTATCCTTTTTTGAAGTGACTCAGTTAATCGGTACTTGGCAAAGAAAGTCGACCCCTTATTTAAAACTGTAGACGCATTAGCTGGGGTCAAGCAGCAACAAATACGAGCATAAACTGTAAACAAGACAGAAATTATAGGAATAATAACAGCTGAACGCAGCTGACGCCTCGTTGAACAACGTCAACACAAACAAGAAGAGGCCATTGTTCCTCACCTGCGAGACACAGCACGGGGTACACATTCTGCCCGGGCGAGACCAGTCAAATCCACCTCTGTGTAAAAACTAGATGGATGTTTTTTTAGTTGATTTGGTCTTTTTTTTTACAATAAATCCCAGGAACACGAAGAACAATGAGCCTCCCGTTCTCTCAGCTGCCAGTCCCGTTCGACGTGCTCCCTACCAGGCTGAGAATCACCGCTGGCTCCCCAACTCCTCCTCCTCATCCTCCTCCTCTTCCTCTCTCCTCCCACCGCACCGACCCTGAGAGCATTGAACGGTGGTTTTAAAGCCCAGTTATGATGTTTCGAAGTGTTTTGAAGCACTTTAGTAACAATTATCGTTATTTATTGTTTTTTCTCGAGTATAATTAAAATAAAACTTATCTCGCCTGCCCGATGACGGGGCGAGGGCCTTTTGAGGTCATTTGAGGTGTTTTGTGCGGCCATCATTGTGGTACAATTAAATCTCTCCTGGAAGCAGTTGGTGTACACCTGATGCTTTTTAATCATTTCTGTTTTCATATTGTTACCAACGAAGCATGTTTTGAACTGTGGAAAAAAAATTCACAATAAATGTATTTTTGAATTTACAAAATAAAAGTAACATTTTTATTGTCCATGGACACTTATGATGATTTTGGCCCTAAGTTGATAGCCGGCGTCGGTACAGGATCTGCTCAGGTGCAAGATCGGCTCGGGGTCCTTCGACTGCCGATGACGTCAAAGTACGGCAAACTCACTCGGACAAAATACATAACACATCTATACTGTTGGAAAGACTTTAGCAGTTTCGTTATTAAAATAATGTTTCTTACAACGTAAGTTTGTGTTTACAATGGTATTTGTAAAATAAAACACTATATTGTATTCATAATGTTGAACTCCTCTTTGAGCACATCCCTTGAAGGATCATAGGTATTGGCAACACCTGTGAAATCGTATTTGCAGGAAAGAAGTGTGTCCCGTTTATTGAAGTATTTTGTGTTTAGAGTTTTTGACGTCTTGTTCATGCGTAGTTCAGATACGCTCCTAGCTGCTAGCCAAAACTCTGGAGTTACGTTTTCTGGCTTCACTAAAATACCTGTCTGTACTTATTTGATTGATGGTAGTTTTACTTTCTATTAGACACCAAATGTAATCATTTGGCATGTTTCTAATTCATTATTTGTAAGAATGTAATTGGTGATATTAGCATTAGCATTCCTATGGGTTTTTCTATGTATATTAGCATTGTGCTAACCACCCGAACCGGATACATGGGCTCATCCAACTGTGGACCCACCACCTCGCAGGAGGAACATGAAAGGTCCGGTGCAGTGTGGATCGGGTGGCAGACCAAACTGTGGATCCACCACTCCGCAGGAGGAACATAAAAGGTCCGGTGCAGTGTGGATCGGGTGGCAGACCAAGGCACGAGCCTTGGCGGTCCGATCCCCGGACAAGTAAACTGTTTTTTGGGACATGGAACGTCACCTCGCTGGCGGGGAAGGAGCCGGAGCTTGTGGCAGAGGTTGAGCGGTACCGGCTAGATATAGTCGGACTCACCTCGACACATTGCATTGGCTCTGGAACCCGAGACCTGGAGAGGGGTTGGACACTCTACTTTGCTGGAGTTGCTCCGGGTGAGAGGCGGAGGGCTGGGGTTGGCTTTTTGTTAGCCCCGAGACTCTCTGCCTGTGTGTTGGGGTTTACCCCGGGGGACAAGAGGGTAGCTTCCTTGCGCCTTCGGGTCGGGGAACGGGTCCTGACTGTTGTTTGTGCTTATGGGCCAAATATCAGTTCAGAGTACCCACCCTTTTTGGAGTCCCTGGGACGAGTGCTAGATAGTGCTCCATCAGGGGACTCCATTGTCCTGCTGGGGGACTTCAATGCTCACGTGGGCAATGACAGCTTGACCTGGAGGGCTGTGATTGGGAGGAACGGCCCGCCTGATCTGAACTCGAGTGGTGTTTCATAATTGGACTTCTGTGCAAGCCGCAGTTTGGCCATAACGAACACCATGTTCGAACATAAGGATGCCCATCGGTACACTTGGTACCAGGGCAGCCTAGGTCGCAGGTCGATGATAGACTTTGTAGTCGTATCATCTGACCTGCGGCCGTATGTTTTGGACACCCGGGTGAAGAGAGGAGCGCAGCTGTCAACTGATCACCACCTGGTGGTGAGTTCGATCAGATGGCAGGTGAAGATGCCGCGTAGACCTGGCAGACCCAAACGCATAGTGAGGGTCTGCTGGGAATGTCTGGCAGAAGAACCTGTCAAGGCGGTCTTCAACTCCCACCTCCAGCAGAGCTTTGAGGTGGCTGTTGCTGGCTGTGGTCGCAAGGTGGCCAGTGCCAGTCGTGGTGGCAACCCCCGTACCCGCTGGTGGACACCAGAGGTTCGGGGAACCATCAGGCTGAATGAAGGAGGCCTACAGGGCGTGGCTGGTCTGTGGGTCTCCGGAGGCAGCAGACAGGTACCGGATAACCAAGCGGGGTGCAGCAGTGGCAGTTGCCGAGGCAAAATCTCGGGCGTGGGAGGAGTTTGGTGAGGCCATGGAGAAAGACTATTGATCGGCTCCAAAGAGGTTCTGGCAAACTGTCCGGCGCCTCAGGAGAGGAAGAAAGCAACTCGCTCACACTGTTTACAGTGGGGATAGGGAGCTGCTGATGTCAACTGGGGCTATAGTCGGACGGTGGAAGGAATACTTTGAGGAGCTCCTCACTCCCACCTACGTGCATTCCGAGGAGGAACAAGAGCTGGGAGACCTGGGGATGGGCTGTCCAATCTCAGGGGCAGAAGTTGCTGAGGTAGTCAAACAACTACACAGCGGCGGAGCACCAGGGGTGGATGAGATTCGTCCTGGGTATCTCAAGGCTATGGATGTTGTAGGGCTTTCGTGGTTGACACGTCTCTGCAACATTGCGTGGTCATTGGGGGCAGTTCCTGTGGAGTGGCAGACCGGGGGTGGGGGGGGGGGGGGGGGGGGGGGCTGGGGCTCTCTTTTAGAAGGGTGACCTGAGGGTGTGTTTCAACTATAGGGAGATCACACTCCTCAGCCTCCCTGGAAAGGTCTACTCCAAGGTACTGGAGAGGAGAGTCCGATCGATAGTTGAATCTCAGATTGAGGAGGAGCAATGTGGTTTTCGTCCTGGCCGTGGAACTGTGGACCAGCTCTATACCCTTGCAAGGGTGATGGAGGGGGCAAGGGAGTTTGTCCAACCAATCCACATGTGTTTTGTGGATTTGGAGAAGGCTTATGACCGTGTCCCCAGAGGCACCCTGTGGGGGACGCTCCAGGAGTATGGGGTGGGTGGCTTTCTGTTAAGGCCCATTCAGTCCTTTAGAAGAGGAGCGTGAGTTTGGTCCGCATAGCCGGTAGTAAGTCGGACCTGTTCCCGGTGAGGGTTGGACTCCGCCAAGGCTGCCCTTTGTTATCGGTTCTGTTCATTAAATTTATGGACAGAATTTCTATGTGCAGCCGTGGTGTGGAATGTGTCGAGTTTGGTTGGCAGGAGATTCTCGTCTCTGCTTTTTGCAAATGATGAGGTCCTCCTAGCTTCATCCAGCTCTGACCTTCAGCTCTCGCTGGGTAGGTTCACAGCCGAGTGTGAAGCGGCTGGGATGAGGATCAGCACCTCCAAATCTGAGACCATGGTTCTCGACCAGGAAAGGGTGGTTTGCCAACTCCGGGTCGGGGGAGAGGTCCTACCTCAAGTGGGGTCTTGTTCGGGGTCTTGTTCACGAGTGAGGGGTAGGAGGGATCGGGACATCGACAGGCGGATTGGTTCAGCGTCTGCAGTGATGCGGAAGCTGAGCCGATCTGTCATGGTGAAGAGGGAGCTGAGCCAGAAAGCCAGGCTATCGATTTACTGGTCGATCTATGTCCCAATCCTCACCTATGGTCATGAGCTTTGGGTAATGACCGAAAGAACGAGATCACGGATACAAGCGGCCGAAATGAGTTTCCTCCGTAGGGTGGCCGGGCTCAGCCTTAGAGATAGGGTAAGGAGCTTGGACATTCAGGAGGTACTCGGAGTAGAACCTCTGCTCCTCCGGATCGAAAGGAGTCAGTTGAGGTGGTTTGGGCATCTGGTCAGGATGCCTCCTGGATTCCTCCCTTGGGTGGTGTTTCGGGCATATCCTGTTGGCAGGAGACCCCCGGGTCGACCCTGGACATGTTGGAGAGGTTACATCTCCAATCTGGTCCGGGAACGCCTTGGGGTCCTGCCAGAGGAGCTGGTGGTGGTGGCCGGGGAGAGGACGGTCTGGAGCTCCCTAGTTGGGATGCTGCCCCCGTGACCCGGACCCAGATAAGCGGAGGAAGACTATGATGATGATGACGCTAACCACTCGCTGCCAAATTGCAGCCTTTGCTTTTAGAAAATCTCCTTTTGTCACATCGCAATTTAATTGCACAAGCAGTTAATCGTTCAGCCCTAATATACATGCAGCTCTATGCTAAAAGTGTATTTTCAAAGAGGTAATGATGGATTTTTTTGTAAAAGTTGTCCATCTTTCCAACAGAAAAATTTGCCTGCACCAACGTAACATGAAGACAGTGTAACGTGATTACGTAACTTCCGTAAGATTCATGTTCAGCCAATCAACTACTTTGACGCCATCAGCAATCTAAGGACCCCGAGCCAATCTTGCACCCGAGCAGATACTGTACCGACACCGGAACACGAAAGGGAGGGGAGGCTCCCTAGCTCTCCCGTACTTCGAATCCTTCATATAGCACAAGTTTGTCTCGTGAGTTGCTGGATTATAGCAGATAAGTTGCCGGAACGGTCCTTTCAAAATAACATAGTTCCCGGATCAAGATCAGGCTCAAATTAAGCCCTGCATATATCAGATAACCATTAAGATCCATGATAATTTTTCTAAACCAATAGCGTTACATAATTCATAAGGTGCACTTGTGGTAACCATAGTAACATACCCCACCCCCAGACTGAAGTCTGTAAATAAGCACAGCGATTGCTGATCTGCTTTCTATTGTACGGCTGTTGTAATCGGTGGCTGCATAGAAACGGGCATTGTAGCATACTCTTGACTTTGGAAAACAAGGAGACCCATTCACTATGGCGGCGACCCTGTTACGCTCTCCAGCGCCCACCAGGCTGCTGGAATGCACAACGTAAATGTGGATGCATAACCATAGGTATCATATATCCATTAGCTAGATGACCTAACTGGGAGTCGACAGCGTCCTTACACGTCGGCCCTCTTACTTCGGACAGCTAACCGTTCTCTAGCT